GGACAAGTCAATGTGTGTGAAAAACAGTGCCGGAGTGGAAATCAAACGAATCATGGCCAAGGCTTTCAAAAGTCCTTTGTCATCAGCACAGCAAACGCAGGTATGTCTAGTAGTCAGGTGGTACATAGTCCCATTCTATTACTGTGCATTTTCTAATGTGAGCTTAAAGTATCCTTAAACTTGAAAGTAGTATATAGTATTGTCACCTATATTTTGTTGTGCCTTGTTAAGTCTTAAGGTGTCCATTTATTTATTTTCCCTCTGCAGCTCCTTGGAGAATTGGAGAAAGACCCCAAGCTTGTTTACCACATTGGCCTCACTCCTGCCAAATTGCCTGATTTAGTGGAAAATAATCCTTTGGTTGCTATAGAAATGCTGCTTAAACTTATGCAGTCAAGTCAGATAACGGAGTATTTTTCAGTCTTGGTCAACATGGACATGTCTCTGCATTCAATGGAAGTTGTCAATCGGTAACTATTTGTCTACTTTAGATTGCTTTGTTGGCATTTTTGAATGAGCTTGATTTCTAGTATCCATGCAACCAGTTTGGTCCCATCAAGAAACAGTATCCTGGGTACCTGTATCTGAATGTTGGTGTAGTTCAGTGTTTTGCACTCAGTTCTACGGACAAAGTACATGAGGTAGAATCAGAAACAGAATTGCCGGATTGGTCCAAAGGATTTGGACCTAATCCTTTACAATGCTGTCATTAAGGGTAGGTTTAATTCCAGCCCGCCCTTTTCCTTTCCAGTATAAGAGAATGGCTGAAGTGGGGTGAATTGGCAGCGTTAATTTTTCTTCATCTCCCAAATTTAGTGTTTTGGCCTCCAGATTCAGGGACTACATAGGGGCAGGGAGGTATATTGTGTTCCTATGTACAGAGCATGTGGATGAATTGCATGTGTGCACATAAACAGGAATCCCTACAGCATTTGGGCTCTCCATATACATGAGCCCCCTTCCCATTCCTGTCCTAATTTTGCTAGTTTTTAATTAAGCTCATGAAATTGGAGAGAATGTCATGACAGTGGACCTGTGGATAGTTCAGTGGGGAGCAGCTTTAGGAGTATTCCATATCCTTGGATTCTTCTTCCTTTTTGTCTTCTTTGACAGCCAGTGTCATTGGAAAGAGCCAGTGCAAGCTCAGAGGAAGATACCCATCTATGCACTTTCAGGATGGTAGATACCAAGCAGCTGGCTGGTTGTAAATGTTATTGAGCCTCTGTGTCCATTCCTATGAAGGGACAGATGGCATTTTAAATTGGGGTGGTGTAGTGGGAAAGTAAACATGTACAGCCACTTCATGTTCAACAAATGTATAACCATCCACAGTGAAAGAGGGTCGTTATCCCATTAGTTGTGATTGACTAGTTCTTGGTAATAATCTCTTAAACAATAATTCCTCCCCAACTTCAGTACAATGTACTATTTTAATGTGCTTTAGTGATGCATTGTTAGCTACCATGGGCATTTCTTAAAACAAACAAGGATAAAAGGTTTTATAAATGTGTAGCACGGCAATTGACAAATCCATTAATTCAAAATCGGCTCATTCTTTCCCTCCCACTGACTTCATTATAAAGACTCAGGCAGAGAGATCAGCTCAGAATATATGCAACTGTAGAAGAGGGATGTAAATGAAATGAATAATCATACTGTACCATTAAAAAATAAACCATAAGATCAGGTGGGGGGGGGAGTTGAAATTTTAAGCTGACTTGTGCACAAAGCAGCCCAAATGAAGCAACAGCCCTACATTTTGAAGGATAAATTCTCTTCCTGATCTTTTCCCACCTGCAGTTGTAAATTTCCTTTTCACACTCATGATGTTAATATCACACCATAAATGTAGGAGGCTGTGTGAACATTTGCTAAAATTCATTGTAACTAAATAGTAGTTGCTAAGGAGGTGTGGGATCAACTCCCACCCCCACCCCCCCAGCATAGAATTTATGGGCGATCTGCTCATAGTTAATCAACTATTTTCTGTTTCCAACAGCCTTACCACAGCAGTTGATCTTCCTCCCGAATTTATTCACCTTTATATTTCCAACTGTATTTCTACTTGTGAGCAAATCAAGGACAAGTATATGCAGGTAGGTTTTTGGAAGCATTTCAAAATGAGAAACTATTGAAATCCCGGGACTGGTTCAGCCAGGCTTGGGGCGGCGGGGGGAATGGAAATCCTTATGAAACTGTACAGAATTTGTACCTGGGAATTTGAAATATTTGCCTTGCTCTAAATGGAACACAGTATTTTGGTGTCTTACAGTTCTTACTATTCCATACTTTTAAAGTAGGGGTGGCTAATCTATGGCCTTCCAGATATTGCTAGACTCGTTTGCATTGCCTCCAGCCATCTTGGCCAGGGTCCAAGGATGAGCAACACCTGGAAGACCAAAAGGTCCCCACACTTATTAAAGGTATATAAAAGGAACCAAAAGAAGAGGAGGAGGAAAGCACAATCTATTTTTTAGGGTTATTTTCCAAGCAATTTTTAAGCAGGCTACTTATTGCGGAATTAAAAGTGAATCCTGTAAATTTTAACTAGCTTATAAAATGAACAGTTTTGATCTTCTTAAAAGAGATTTTATTTCTCCGAAGCTACTTTGTGAGCTGCTGCTTTGTTGGGTCAGCAGTCAATATATCTAGTGTTACCCTAAGTTTGTCATCTCCATTACTTTCAGTGAGCCTACTTTGAGTAGAACTAACATTAGATATAACCCATGTGTCGTCTGTTTCAGAACCGGCTAGTACGACTTGTGTGCGTCTTTCTACAATCCTTGATTCGGAACAAAATAATTAATGTACAGGACTTATTTATAGAAGTGCAAGCCTTTTGTATTGAATTCAGCCGGATAAGAGAAGCAGCTGGCCTTTTTCGATTGCTGAAGACACTTGACACTGGTGAAAACCCTTCAGAGACGAAGACTTCAAAATAATACTTCATTTGGGAGAATGCTTTATATCGGATTAGGATTCTGTATGATTTTTGTATAGTTCACTATTTGCTTGCAATTAAGATGCTATTTGTGCTGTATTAAATATTGCTTTTTCTGCTGGAGAAGTTTGAATGATGTTGATGAGTCGATGATGTTGAACAAAACCTATTAGTGTGGCCTGAAGTCTTCATTGGAGAGCTCCCTGATGCAGGCACCCATGAAAGGCTTCAGTAAATAATCTGTCACAAACTCACAATGCAGGAAACTGCTTGCTCTCCTTACTTAGTTCCTGTTTCCACTGACTTGGCCTCAACATTGAGCACTCCTCAGAGATGCCTCTTTGATTGGATGCCAGGATTCTGAACAGAGAAGAGGTGCAAAGAGATTTCACTAGCCTCCATGGACCTTCTTAAAAATTCCACTGCTCCATAGCAGGCCAGCCATGTGAGATAATAAGTACTGTATTGCTCAGTTTGACTGCTAAGATACTCGATTCCAGTAAGCAAGTGTTGTGTTAGCATCTTAATTTACTTGCTTATCGGAGTTAAAGAAAAATAATCAAACCTATTGCAACACAAGTGAAGGGTATTGTTTGTCTTACAAGGCCGAACCAAGTTGAAAAAGCTGCAGATTTTTTACCTAAGAAGCAACGGTGAGAAATATTTTTGGGACGCTGATAACTTCATCTTCCCAAGAACAATATCTGAGGTAGGCCACTCCCTAACTGGCTGCTAGCAAGGACCCACTTTCCCCATGGCAACAGTTTCCATAGGCTGCAGCATCCCATGCCTGAAAAAACCTGAAGGTTAAAAGTTCCTCAACTGCATTACACAGAAACCCTTCCAAATTATTTCTGTTCAGCTCATTTTAAGAGTTAAAAAGGGCTCAACTCTGAGGATTCTGCAGAGGGGGAGAAATGTAGCTCTGTAAATGCTTTGAATTCAAAAGGTCCTATATACCACCTACATTCCATCAAGAGTGACCTTGCTCAGCAGATTCAGAGCTACTTCTAGACAGGAGACAAACAGTGGGCTGGGTGAATTAATCGTCTGTTTAGTGGGGGTCCAAAGCCTAAGTTCTTTTTCTAATGGTTTCAGCCCAGCCCTTGAGTCCAAAGGTACCCTTTGCAGAGAGTGCGTAAAATTTACCTTTGCAGTTGGGTACAGGATCTGGTAAATTCAAATAGGGCATGAGAGCTACTTTTGTTGTAGCCCCACCAAGGCAAAGTGCCTCACTGGGCCAGGTACCTTGTTCTCCTTAAATCTATAGAAGTAAACATTTCCAAAGCACAATGAAGTGAAAAGTCCCATTACCTTCACCTTAATAAATAACAAGACAAGTCACATTATAAGCATTCAGAAGTTGACTTTACAGTTGCATCCAGCGTCTGAACTGATGGCTTGCAGCAGACCCACAACTCCGACAAGCATCCATGGACTGCCTTGAGAGATGGGCAGGGGCCCCCACCTGTCACCTGCCTGATGTCAAATTTGAGTTTGAACTCAAGATCCCCAAGGAAAGGAGTTTGCCAACTTCAAAGTCCACATTTGCATTGGCAGGTCCCACCTCTAATCCCAGCAAGGCTTACATTGGGTGTCAAATTTAAAGGTATAATAGCATGCAAGCCCCTTGGCCCAGGACAAAATGAGAGCACGTTTAAAGGATTCAATGTGTTCCTTTGCAGCAGCACCATTACCTATCTTAACACCTGGTGTCAGGTAGGCACAGCTTGGGGAAAAGCCTTTTAGGTAAAATAAGGCCTAGTTTGATTCATGAGCCAGAGGATTCCTGTGTCTGCTTTACCATTCTAGTTCATTTTTCCTGACCATAGGGAAAACTTGAGCAGTCTCATCTAGAAAAATCCAGTTGCAACACTTAGTAGCTGAAATTATGCTGACAGTGGCTAACGGAAGGATTTAGAAGTGAGGCTGCTTAACATCTATGGGATAATTCTCGTAATTTCACTTACCAGGCAAATGTTGATCTACAAGTGGCTTTTAGATGCAAGCTTGAAAACCAGGAAAGGGAACAGGCTAATGATACAAATACAGAATGAGCTAAGTACTTTCCACATTTTTATTTATTTATAGAATGTTTTATCCTGCTCTTTAGCCAAAAGTGGCTCCCCACAAAGCTTAAAGATCGATGAAGACAGTCCCTGCCCTCAGGCATACAATCTTAAAAGACATGACCAAACAAAAAGACAAAAAAGTCGACTAGGGTGGTAGAGGTAACAAACAATGATAACCAGTTATTCATTGGAAATTTCAAGGAGAACTGAAGGACTGAATGCTTACCAGGTAGCAGTTGACAAGGTAAAGGAGGCTGGCTCCTTCACTGAGTTGTCCTGCTCCTGTCCTCCCTTTGTCGTCAGCTGAAAGAACTACCATTTTTATTTCAGTTCAAGCAAAAGCTTCAATGTGCCCCTCACCCCGCCACTAGAACGTTCAGCTCAAAAAAGGATTAAGCACATTGTACCCTGGCAAGATTTTTTGGTAACGAAGGGTGCCATGTTCAATTTTAGTCTGTAACAGCAACCCTCCACAATAGAAGTATTCTAAACAGTTACACCGTTTGTGCAGAGACAATGTAGGCAGCTTGCTTTTTTTTAAAAGCAAACTTGAATTTTGCTTTTAAGAGTGTGTAGAGATTGTTTTATACATGAAACTTGAGCCCCAGTAACGGCCTTGTAAAATTAAAACCAGGCTCAAGCACAAAACCCTCAATAACCTCAGTTTTGTACAGCAACAAGTCAAACTTATCAGTAGCTTTCTGTTCTAGAATAATATTAAACTACGTTCTAATAAATGGACACACAGGCCTTTTCAGCTGACAGGACACCACTATAGCAGAAGGCCCCACTTGAAACAGGGCCAGTCAGAAACACTTTTAGTTTGTTTCGCTTCCAACTGTCTTAAAAAACTGGACATTCAAAAGGAGCAAAGTCAGCTTTCGTTATTTCCAACTGGCTTATTTTGGTTTAAGGCAGTTTACCTACTACTGTTCTTCAAGCCTTTTTTTAAGGTGCATTTTAACACACACGTTTTAAATTAAACCCAGTGCCCTATATACAAAATGTCCATGTCTGTCATATGAGACAACACCTGCAGGCAAGTCAATCTTTTTCATACAACACACGGAATCTTTCTGCCTTAAAATAGTTGAAAGAAGGGGTGTCTCACAGATAAAAATTAAGAATGTAGCAGCAGTAAGTCAGCGCCGAGTCCATGTGGGCAAGTTCCAGAAGAGTTTGTTCGGTGGGGGAAAAAACCTAGATGAGAAAAGAAATGAGTTGTCGAAACAATTTCTGTACTACAAGTTAGCACATGTTCAAGCACATAGTTTGTCCACAGTCAGGGTTGAACAATGATCCAGGGAGCTGTGCTCAACACACAGAAAGGAGAATAAGTGATTTTCACCGTCCCCCACACAGCTCCCTGAAAATTTTGCAAGAGGGGGAAATCACTTCCTCAACTTCTGCAGGTAGGAACCTCTGCTAGATCACAGACCTCTTCCATTCACAGAACAAGCTACAAGGTTTTTCAACTCGTTACCTGAAGAAGGGGATGGGGAAACCTGTTGCCCATCAAAATGTTCCAGGACTACAACTCCCAACAATGCTATCAATGGCTACAGGCCACAAGGGCTATGCTCTGCTTCCACCAATGGAGATAGGATGCCTCTGAACGCCCTTTTTGCTGGGAATCAATGGCATTCAGGCCCTGCTTGCTTCGGACAGGCACCTGTGGGAGACTCTCTCACACAAGATGGCAGCTGCAAGCCTGGTTTGCATAGCCTGGCCTATAGGAACAAATTGAAAGCCCATCCTATTCAAGGATGTCTCCCCGCCCAACCACCAAATACACTGAAAGAAAGGAATTTAACACAGCTAAGTCCACTGTTCTAACCTCTGGCCATCTGCCATGCAAGCAGCGACTGATGGGAGTTGGAATCCAGCACCTTTTGGAAGAGGGACGTGGGTGGTGCTGTGGGTTAAACCACAGAGCCTAGGATTTGCTGATCAGAAGGTCGGCGGTTTGAATCCCCATGACGGGGTGAGCTCCCATTGCTCAGTCCCTGCTCCTGCCAACCTAGCAGTTCGAAAGCATGTCAAAGTGCAAGTAGATAAATAGGTGGGAAGGTAAATGGCATTTCCGTGCGCTGCTCTGGTTCGCCAGAAGCAGCTTACTAATGCTGGCCACATGACCCGGAAGCTGTACGCCGGCTCCCTCGGCCAATAAAGCGAGATGAGCGCTGCAATGCCAGAGTCGGTCACGACTGGACCTAATGGTCAGGGGTCCCTTTACCTTTTGGAAGGCCACAGGTTCCCCCCACCCTTGTCTTAAAGTAGTATATTGCCAGCGACAAGGAATTGCTCGAGGAAGAGATGCCTACAAAGAGTGCCTATAAAAAAGCACACCAAGAACTCAGGGCCAATGTAAGTTTCAATTGTGGGAGTGGTCCCTACTATACAAAGAGTGCCTAGGCAGGGGTATTTTAGAACGTTAGTCAAGGCAGGCTAATCCTTGGGCCTAAAGATGCTGCTCAAACATAATGGCACTGTCCCACATGCAAGGAGGGAAGATTTGTAGGTTTCCATTATTGGGTTTCCCCAAACTAAAACCACCAAACCATGTTTCATTGTTGGCTTGCTGACTTCAGACTTCTCCCATTTAGCAAAAGGGAAGGAGGGAATGCAGAAGCACAAGGTCAGTTGCAGATATATCTGAATGCAGCATCTATCCGTACTTAGGCAATATTGACCATTTGCAGGCAAGAGATAGTCTAATTTTAAAGTTCACGTAGCTCTGTCATTTTACTTTGTGTGACGCTACTGAGGTCAGAGGAAAAGGTCGCTTCAGGAAGTTTTGTCATCGTGCCTTTTAGAGAGAAAACTGTTAGCAGGCACTGCAATTCGGCCTTTTTTGTCATCACCCCTCAGCAGCACACAAAGCCATACAGAAATTGAACGATTAGCAGCCCATCTCAGAAAAAACAAACGATTCTAATTGTCCAAGGTCAGACGCCTTGTTCAGATTACATAATTTGCTTATTTATAATTTACTTTAGATAATTTACCTATATAATTTGCATAACTGAGTGTGCTTCCAAGATGCCTGTTTCCTTCCCTCCATTATTGGGCTTTGGGGTGGGGATGGATAAAGACATAGAGAGCAAAAAGGCTTACAAAACAGCTCTAGGATAGGAACTAAATTGCACATAACGCAGAAATCATACCCTGTTGCCGTGGGAAACTCTTCCCTTCCCACCAGACACCACCTGCATGTTTCTACACATCTACCTACAGCCAAGTTTCCAAGATGCTATATTCAGAGAGGGACAGGTAAAGCACATTTAGTGCCTAGCAGCTAGATGTGGACTCCATATTCAAAAATTCTGGTTCACATGCTCCGTTAAGTTTTAACATGACTGTTATTGGCTGCTTTCCCAGACCTTTAAGAAATAAACCCAGGAAGAAATGCAATCATAAACCCAACTCTTTTTACAGGGGGGAAATGTAGTTGGTACTCACCATACTGCTTTCTCCCAGGCAGGGGCTACATTGCAAATGTTAGGAAGGATCTGGAGACTTTCAAGGCACACAAAAAACGACGTCCTGCTTTTTCCGTGATGCTAAGCTGTGATGTGCTGAAAACAACTAACCAAGTAACACTTCCGCTTTGTGCTAAGGATGTAGGGAAAGATGAGTGACTGAATAGTTCAAAGGCAGTTCCTTTTTGAAAGCAGCATCCATATTGTTTGAAGACGCAGGGAGTAGTCATGGCATGGTCCACTCCATTAAGTGCTGGCTATAAGATGCAGGCAGGTCTTGCAGAGACCAATTTTAATTCATGACATGTGGCTGGGTTACTCTCATCAGAGAAGGTGGCGAGGTCCCCCCAGAATATTTTGGTAGGATTTCTATCAGAATCTTCACCCTGTTTCTTCCTGCATCTGCCCCCACCCATGTTTGAATTTCTCTTCCCCAAACTTGAAAATACTGAAATTAAATACTGATCCAATTTAAGTACTAGGTTGCATATTTTCTCTGACATTTAAAAAAGCACCTTACCAAATATCTAAGTTTAAACACGGTGCAAAACGTTTCTTACAGACTTGGCGGTATGATTCCGTACATTCATTTATAACTATTAGAATTCTAAAATGTTCATCCAACGCTTAAGAGAACTATAAATACACAATTCACCATTTTCCTCTAGAGCTTATTGTTATATAGATTTACCTGAAGCAGAGGTAAAAATTAAACAGTGCAGTGGTATCTATTTTATACACTTCAGGCTTAGTGCTTTTCAACTACTCTAAGGCACAATACTGCTAATCTAGCACAGTAAAAAAACCCAGTAACTATATTGTGCAAACCTCTACTTGGAAGCATCTAACAATCCTTTGCATAACAGAAACAATAACTTTACGAACATCTCAGGAATGAATTAAGGTAGAGAAAAATCCAAAAACAGCATACAAAAAAACAACAGTGAAGGGAAAGAGTGGAGAAGAGTTTAAGTTAAATTACTCTCCATGTGCAACATGAACAACTGCTGCACCACTGTGTTTCACAGTCGAAGGTAGCTCGTTTGCGTTGCCCGAGGCACTAATAGATTGCCTGCCAGCTACAATAACTGTGTGGCACAACTTAAAGTTATTGACCTAGCAGGCAAATGAAAAAGTCATCAGGTTTTTCGGCAAGCACGTGGCAGAAATTCTCACAACTATTGGAATACTTTGCAGGTCCATACTATGCACTCAAAACACAATTTAAAAAAAGTAAACCTCAGTGTTGCATATGTGCTATATGTACATTTATCATAAATCACCCACATTTATCTGTTGACCTGTGCAATTTGTACTCCTAGTATTGATCTTGTAATAGCTGTTCTGGCACAGAGATTACTTCTGAACTTGTTACTCTTTTTCCAGGGGGAGTTTTCACTTGGGAGCTCCCTTCCTTAACTCAATTTGTGTCCCTACAAACCAAGGGACAAGGAAACCAAGTGAAGAAAGAGAACCTGTTTCTTACAAAAGAAGTTGCTAAGGGAAATCTCCATGGAAAAAGAGCAGCAATCTCAACAAGTGCCAAAAAAAATAATAGGCCAGTTTTCTAAGTAGCAACAGATATTTTTCCTTCTGGTTCTCACCAACCCTCCCAAGCTCATAAATTTGTCTCATTTCTCAACTCTCATTTTTGGTCAAAAGAAGGAACTCATACTAGAGTTATTGCAAAGCCTCTAGTTATTAGCCCTTTTGAAACGTGAATTAGACAAGTAACACATTTAAGCTAGACACAAGTCCACAGCATTTAAACAAAACAAAATAGATATTTCGCTCCCAGTTCAAGCTGTCAAGCTTTCATACAGTGTTTCCATTAGACAGGTGTTCTTCAAGTCGATTATCTCTGCCATCCGTTTCTAGAAAAGACATAATATGTTTAATACTCTTTGAGTTCCACTGTCTATAGTATAGAAATTATAACACATGCCTAAAGTGCATCATTTAACTGGGAACCAAGTCATCTAAGCTAAAAACAATTTGCATTAACAAAAGCATCATGGTTTAGTCTTGAAGGCAAATGAATTCTGAATTCCCAAAACATTTATCCTCACAATGAACAAACGCTATTCAGGGTTATGGGCAATTTCCTAGAATAAAATATTGTTCTTTCAAGTCAGCCTCTCCTCATCTAAGTTCAGCTTGAGTTTCTATCCTCAAAGAGTGAAACATATATCCCCCCTTTAGTATCATTTCTGTTGATCCATGTTTACAATTGTGTTATGCTCTTCCTGCAGCATGACCACAGCAAAGACCTTCATAAAGTATGCAAAGGAGTTTGGGATTAGTGCTCTGATCTACAAAAAACAGCATGGGAACCTCCTTTGATTTTGCCCAGCTGAGTGAGATAATCAAGGTTTTTAAGTATATCCACAGTTCAACTGAGATGCTGAATCTGAGATCTAGTTTCTAGGATATCAGTTCCTACAAAAAAGAAACATGGCATAAGGTTACATACCAAGTAAGGCTGTTCTTTCACCTGCATCCTCTTTTAAACCGTTACTACTTGATGCAGATCCGTTAGCAGAAGATGCTGATAAGTCACTTGTTTCATTTCTGTTCTCTTCTGGCACAGCAATACTCCAGCTCTCGGCCAACATGCTGCCACTTGTTGATTCAGGCATTGCAACTTCTTGTTCATCTGCAGGCCCTCCCTTTGAAGTTGAAGGGGGGGAAAGAAGTGTTAACCAGCAAGACCATGGGTAGGCAAACTAAGGCCTGGGGGCCGGATCTGGCCCAATCGCCTTCTAAATCTGGCGCGCGGATGGTCTGGGAATCAGGGTGTTTTTACATGAGTAGAATGTGTGCTTTTATTTAAAATGCATCTCTGGGTTATTTGTGGGGCATAGGAATTCGTACATTCCCCCCCCCAATATAGTCCAGCCCCCCACAAGGTCTGAGGGACAGTGGACCAGCCCCCTGCTGAAAAGGTCTGCTGACCCCTGAGCAAGACTGTTATTGAAAAGGGGTGGGGGAGAAGGGAAAAGAGGTCAAGCTAATGTACCGGGAAAACACACACACACACTTTTAAACCAAAACTTATAAGCCAATTTCCTAACTCCTTTCACACTGTAACATATCCAGGAGGCAGGATGGAGCACGACACAGGTATTTTGGTTGGTATTTGCCTGTCTCGGGAGAAAATCAGGGCGTGTGCCTTTGGGGGTGAGGTCAAACTGCTTTCCCAAGCCCACATAGCTGTTGGCACACCGCAGCTATGACCGCCCCCACACTTAATTCTGAAATCAGCAAAACTGCTTTGCCAAATAAATGCACCACCAGGGGCAGCTTTATACACATCTCAACAGTGGCAGCCACTCATTTATAGAAGCACATCCGTTTTCAGGGGGCATGTCTAAAATTAGCAACTGAGCTGAGCCAAGCTGCTTTTAGACAACTGACTGTGTGGTAGCTCAGCAATCACAACACACACATTCCATCTCAGATACCCAGACTGGTGAAACTTCCCAGGATTATCAATCAGGGAGAGAAAAAACTTCCCCAGGCCTGCTAAATGAGATGCTATGGACTGAGCCTGAAGACCTCTTCAGACCAAACATGGATTCTGCTGCAATAAAATAAATAATAATAATAATAATAATAATAATAATAATAATAATAATAAAAAAATTATTTATACCCCGGCCATCTGGCTGGGCTTCCCCAGCCACTCTGGGCGGCTTCCAAAAAAATATTAAAATACCGTAATACATCAAACATTAAAAGCTTCCCTAAACAGGGCTGCCTTCAGATGTCTTCTAAAAGTCTGGTAGTTGTTGTTCTCTTTGACATCTTGTGGGAGGGCGTTCCACAGGGAGGGTGCCACTACCGAGAAGGCCCTCTGCCTGGTTCCCTGTAACTTGGCTTCTCGCAGTGAGGGAACCGCCAGAAGGCCCTCGGCACTGGACCTCAATGTCCGGGCAGAACGATGGGGGTGAAGACGCTCCTTCAGGTATACTGGACCGAGGCCGTTTAGGGCTTTAAAGGTCAGCACCAACACTTTGAATTGTGCTCAGAAACGTACTGGTTCAGGCTCACATCCTGGATGGCTGGAAGAGATTGTAGCACAGCGGACTTAACTCAATGAGTCTTCTCACTGAGGAGCCCAACTACAGTGATTTAGGAAATGAGCCACTGGGACAAGAAGGAGCCTGAGCCTGAGATTTGGTCCTATACAAGGAGAACATATGATGGGTGGGGGGGTGGGAGAGGCAAGCTGGCACTTTGCAGTCAGCAGTATTGAGTTTTGATCTTGGTTTGGTTGCTCTTGCCAGATTGTTTCGTCAACATGTACCTAGTTTTCACTGGTGAAGTTCAACGAGACAGATTTTCGGCTTCTGGTTATGCAGAATTGAATTCACCATAACAACAGGCACCTTCTCTAGATAAAACCAGCTTGGGCTCCTCCCTGCAGAAAGTAATATGCCGTGGCTGGCTGGATGCTTGGCTGGCGCAGGTATTACTTGGCCCCAAACAGGATGCCTAGAGCCTTATCACAGATTAAGTTACACATTTCCAACCTACCCAATATCCGAGAGCTTTGATGACATCTAGTTTGCACATTGGACACGTTCTGTGTTCCAGCAGCCAGGGATCGAGGCAATGCCTGTGAAAGACGTGCCTGAAGAGACATCATAGTTTTGAAATCAAATATAAGGGCTGTTCCTTTATGCAATGAAATTTGGCAAAATTAAAGGAACAAAAAGCTTATCTAAAGCAAAACTTTGATAAGGCAGCATTGCAGCATTTGCTGAGCAGGCCGAAAACAATCCCCACCTTGACAAGACCCAGGGTAACTATGCAATTCAAGCTCCCACAGAAATTAAATCTGTAGTTAACAGTGGCGCATGGACCACTGAATGACTGTATGGTGTTGCGCCTGGGGGGTGGTCTTGTAATTTCAGCTAGCACAGAATGCTGTGCTCAGCGGCTGAATGAGGCCCTGTACCACCAGCATATAATGCCCCCCTTTAAAGGATCTGCTCTGGCAGCTAATTTGCTAGCAAGCCAAGATAGATATTGATAGAGAGATATATCCCTAAAAAACTTAGGACCTGGTAATTTGAGAAGCTGCCATCTCCCACAGTGCCCTATTCAGTCCCCGAACTGGGAAAACCCTTCTGCTGACAGTACATGCCCCTGCGGTTGGTTTTGACAATGTACTCATAAGAGGGCATTTCAATGTGATGGCACCCACTTCATGGAACCCACTCTGGACAACTTGTCAGGAAACGCTGTCCAGCAGCCACAAGTTCCTCATCCCTGTTTTTAGGGCACAGAAGTTGGAAGAAGTGAACGAATGCCTCCCTATCGCCAGCATTGTACAAAACAAGGATGCTTTACCTGCGAGTTTATAGGCTTGAATGAAAAATAAATCAAAAAGCTACTGTGCACTTATATTTCTCCAATCTTAAAAACACTGGGGACTCGATTTTTTAAAATGAGTTTTGTTAACTAGTTCCCAAGTAATGATACCCCACTGAAGCAAATTTTAATAAGCTTACTTGCAAGGCAGGATTCGAACGATATCCTTTGGTTTGTAGTTTTCAATGCATACAGCGCAATTTTCAGCATCGATATTCAAGCCCTTTAGAAGAACAAAAGTATAGTTAATGTTGAAGTTAAGCCTTGCACACCTTTGTAAAATAAAGGTACTATAAGCATCCAAGTCTTCTGCAGCTATTTCTTTGAAAATGAGCAGGGAAGCGATTCAGATACCAGGACAAGAATTTCTAAAGAAATGCAACGTTACAGAGAACACAAATGATACAAAAAGACTAACTTAATCTGAAATACCATGTTAAGAATATACAGCAAATATCTTTGCATCTGCAAAGCGGCCAACTTAAATTCTAAATGTTGATATACCATAACAGATTACAAAAATTGGCTGGAGTGAGCTGATCAATTTCAAGCCAAGTGAAAGTACAGCAAGCTACATGAGGTATTCCATACAAGTCTTCCCTGAAATTCCCATTGATACTCAAATAGAGTGAGACTTATGTTAGAATATTTGTAGTTTCTAAGTCAGGAGCAGAAATCAAGTAAACCAAATTATTCAGGACACTGGACTATAAAGTTAAGCCACAACCAATATACCGTGTTTTTCGCTCTATAGGATGCACTTTTCCCCTCCAAAAATGAAGGGGAAATGTGTGTGCGTCCTATGGAGCGAATGTAGGCTTTTGCTGAAGCCTGGAGAGCGAGAGGGGTCGGTGCGCACCGACCCCTCTCGCTCTCCAGGCTTCAGGAAGCTATCTGCAAGCCTTTGGAGCCCGGCAGGCATGCCCGCCGGGCTCCAAAGGCTTGCGGATAGCAGCCTGAAGCCTGGGGAGCACAGCGCCAACTCCCGCTGCACACCCCGGGCTTCAGGCAGCTATCCGCAAGCCTTCGGAGCACGGTTGCACGCATATATATATATATATGCGAGGTTGCACGCATATATATATATATGCATTTATTTTACGCAATCTCTTAAGCCACTCATATACGGTTCACGTGATGATCAGGACCCTTGATGCTAAAATACATAGCTATAAAATGGTTTAACTCGGCCAAGTGGCAACAGCAAGACTTTTGCTGCTATTGGCTCTGCCCAGAGAAACCTATTAACTCTGTTTGGGCAATTATGAACACTCTGCTGTAAGTATCCAGGCGTGGCTCAGTCATATTAGCATTTGGTATCAGTCAGATCATCTTCACAAATTATTGCAAAGTCCAACTGATATTATTATATTACGGTGTTAGTGCCAGAAATTCAGAGCAGTTCCCATAACTAAGAACAATAATTATGTACAATTTTGTACTTGTGTGTCTTCTTGTACAATTATGTGGTGCACTGAACAAATTATAGACTCATGACCTAGGGTTTTAGAGCAAACAAGAACATGAGACTCCCTTTCTCAGAAACAGCGTGGTGGTTTTTTTTTTTTTTAAAAAGATACTTTTGGCCTGCCTAAGACCTTGGGTTTGAATTCTGGAATGCTTGTTCTATTATTATTGTTCTGTTTTTGCCATATCACAGACTTCTTTAAAAAAGCTCATTGGTTTCAGAAGCAGCTTACTATGTGTCATCACAAGCTGCTATTGATGAAGTTCCCTTGGGTGTATGGAGCAACCAACGAGATTCTACATACACCTACCCGTGTATGCAACCAGGCAAAGGAAGTTCACAGAATCACACAATTGAGGTGTTGGAAGAGACTGCGAGGGTCATTTAATGTAATAATAATAATAATTTTTTATTTATACCCGCCCTTCCCGGTTCAGAAAACCAGGCTCAGGGCGGCTAACAACAAATTTAAAACACTTAATTGATGCAACAAAAAACAGCATAAAATACAGTATAAAACGTGAATAACAATAAATTCAGAATTCAAAAATCAATTTAGGGGGGAAAATCCATCCAATAAACATTAGATGATCACCAGGGCTAGCTGGCTAAATTAGTCCTATTTGGGCCAGTTAGGAGACTTAGGGGAGAATTAGCTGTGGGATCCCAGAGCGGGTAATCTTCATAAAAAGGGGAGGGGGAGGGAAGAAAAGGAAGGGGAATAAAAGATCAGGCTAAGTTCAAATTGAAAGCCAGGCAGAACAGCTCTGTCTTACAGGCCCTGCGGAAGGAAGTTAAATCCTGCAGGGCCCTGGTCTCATGGGACAGAGTATTCCACCAGGTCGGAGCCATCACTGAGAAGGCCCTGGCCCTGGCCGAGGATAATCTGACTTCCTTAGGGCCCGGGACCTCTAAACTGTGATTATTCATGGACCTTAAGGTCCTCTGTGGGGCATACCAGGAGCGGCGGTCCCGTAAATACGAGGGCCCTAAGCCCAATTTTGTTCAATTCCCTGTAAAGCAGGAATATTCTGGCCAATGTGGGGCTCAGACCCATGACCCTAAGAATAAGAGTCTCATGCTCTTCTGACCAAGCTATCTTTCATTTCATTTCATTTTAAAGAAACTGTGCTAATGGAAGACGTTTCCATCTACATTAGTCTGATTGACATTACCTTATCTTCATGCTTTACAATATGCAGTGGAAGCTGGCCAATTGCTTTTATGGTTTCTTCTCTATGGCCCTAAAAAAAAAAAAAAAAAAACACCACACACACAACCAATTCAATCAGTAGTGCATATTTAAATGAGATTATATGAGAAACCACCTGAGACGCTGAGTAATCTAACAACTCCACTTATCCAAGATCTAAGGGTTCCCTTTAACTGAAAGGCACAAAAGCAATCCTGTTTCCTATGTTGGCCAAGTGTTAACACATGAAATGGGAATGTGCACATGTGGCGTTTGCCTCCTAGGTGGGTCATAAGGAAAGGGTTAAAATGAGTGTGAAGTGATTGGCCAGTGGGAACCCGAGGGGAGGGGTTAGAGTTAGAGTCGGAGTCGTGTGGTTCAGTTGAGAGCTGAGACTTGGGAGTTGGAGAAGGAAGAGAGAGGATAAGTCTGTGGGTTGGTCGAGTTGTGTTGAGAGTGAGAGTCAGTGTTAGGTGGAGTCAGATAGACAGTTGGGATAATCAGTTTGAAGTTGTTAGGAACGTATAGGACAGTTAAGGAATTAAGATTAAGAAACTGACAAGAAAAACTAACTGAAACCATAAACTTGTTCATGTTTATAACAATAAACTTGATTATTAGTTAATGTTAACAACTGTCTGGACTCTGTGTGTACCCGAGGGAAATGGGTTGGTGGCAGCGAAGAGGCAATCACAGTGGTGGCACAGGAATCAATAGACCATCAAATGTCCGGGGACCCTGTGTGATCGCCACAGCACAGGATATTAGTAAACGTGCAAGATGCACATGAAGGTAAGACTCAGATCAAAACCGTTGCAACAGTGCTTCTCTCTATACTAAGTACAGGATTCGCAGCCCTAATTATAAGCAAACATTTTTCACTACAGAAATTGAAGAAGAATCACCCATGTAATTACCTGGTTTCTAAAATGCGATCCGCTATAGAGGAAGCGCTGTATATAAAAAAATATAAGCCATGCCAACGATATGATCATCATGGTGATAAATGCAATCGATACAAATACAACAGACTGTCCACTGATATATTCTTGCATGTGTTGCTTGCCAACACCAATGGACATCCTCACTGGTATCCCTCTTCGCACCAGTTCCAAGATCTCCATGCCTTTGGGATATCCAACCATAATTACAACGGCATTGCCAGTACCTGTCGAGGGGAAAGAAAAACAGGAGTCATGTGGGCTCTTGCACAACTTTTTTATTCTCTGTATGAAATCCAGGCAACCTTACATAAAGTTAAGTACACAAGAAGTAATTTTGCTGTAGTTTTTCCCTTCAAGATCCCACCTAGCATGTTGTTGGATATGATGCAAGACCAAGTCCTACAACTGCCATGCTCTCCCCCTTATAATAGAGAAAACCAAGTCTTAAATTATAATAAAATCTTAGAATCCAGGAATCTTTTCACTCTATACATTCTGTGGCGTTCATCTCCTGACATGTCCTCCTTCTATTTGAGGGTTATCAAGATTCCCACATGCCAATTTGGGGTTGTTGTTTTTTTTTTGGCGGGGGGAGGGTATGGTCTTCTGTTTGTAATATTTTGTATTTCATCTTATTTCAGTCTATGCCACTTAGGTAAATTCTTGTTGTGAAATGGTTTATAAATCTGCAATCAAGAGACATGTAGACCGTAAGAGTGTCTTGATATTTGAGTTTTCGTCTCTACTAAACCCTTGTTGTTTTGGATTATTGGCTCCTTGAGATTGCCGTACCCGACAGCCCAAGCTAGATTACACATAAGGATGAGAGGCCATATCATGCATAAATTTAGCTTGAGATTAAGATTCGTTTTGAAAATATAAATACAATGAATGATGGTGAATAGACCTGCGATGTAACTGTGTTTACTTGCTACCCACCTGTTCCCAAACTTTAAATAGCATGCACTTGGGTTCAACTTTTACTGTCCTTCCTATATGTATGCTTAAAAGCCAGAAGAGGCGGAATAAGATCAACAGCATTGTGTTGCTATAAGTAAGCCGATAAGAAAAACATCCCTCCTCCACATTAAGTTTGTAACTGACAGTATTCTGATTTTGCAAATGCTTCAACACTGACTAAAGTGATTGCAGACATTGTAGCTGCAATAACTAATTTCACAACACAGAGAAGGGCTGTGTTCGAGAAAAGAAAAATATATAGTGCATATAAACAGTACCACTGACCTACTTTTAAGAAGCAGTTTCGTATCCTGGCCTCTTAAGTTATCAGGATGTCAATCACAGCTGCTCAAATGTTGCAATCCAGAGATGCTACATGTTTGCTTTTAATCAAAGAAGAAACAGGCCATTCATGATTCAACCACGCTTCCCTCAACCAGTTCCTCCATTTATCAGCCTTCCTCATCTCCAATTTCCATACATGTAGCATTTGGGGCTTGGGGAAGAGAACTTAATACTTCTATACTCATGAAACAATGGCCTCGGGGCTACAAGCTAGGCATCAACCAACCACGTGCAATTCCCCCACCCCACAAAAGTCAGGACAGAAGAAGAGGTCCCACACAAAAAGGCCATGGGAAACAATCTGTGTGTAGACATAGACTCCAGTTTTGCTTCTGGGTCCAATTCAAAGTGCTGGCGACTAGTACACAAACTGCTTAGAGCCACATTAGTAAAGGTAAAGGACCCCTGGATGGTTAAGTCCAGCCAAAGGCGACTATGGGGTTGCGGTGCTCATCTCGCTCTATAGGGCGAGGGAGCCGGCATTGGTCCACAGAGAGTTTTCCGGGTCATGTGGGCAGTATGTCTAAACCGCTACTGGTTCACGGAGGACCGTGACGAGTGCCAGAGCGCATTGAAACTCTGTTTATCTTCCTGCCGCAGAGGTACCTATTTATCTACTTGCACCAGTGTGCTTTTGAACTGCTAGGTTGGCAGGAGCTGGGACCGAGCAACGGGAGCTCACTCTGTTGCGGGGATTCGAACCGCCGACCTTCCAATTGGCAAGCCCAAGAGGCTCAGTGGTTTAGACCAGTGTTTCCCAACCTTGGGCCTCCAGCTGTTTTTGGACTACAACTCCCATCATCCCTAGCTAGCAAGACCAGTGGTCAGGGATGATGGGAATTGTAGTTCAAAAACAGCTGGAGGCCCAAGGTTGGGAAACACTGGTTTAGACTACAGCGTCACCTGCGTCACTTAGAGCCACATTACCAGAATCTGAAGGACCTCCTCCTCCCATGGAGATCTGCCCGTAGCAGATAATCTTTGAAAGCCCTGTTATATGTCAGCCTACCATCAAAATTTCACTTGGGAATAATACAGATCAGGGCAAGCACCATGGCTATGAAATCCCCACTAGGAATGCTATGCTGCCCTGTAACTTTTAGACTGGAAGCGAAAACATTTTCTTATTTCTCTTGGTGTTTGATCTTATATTTAATGTTTTAACTCTGCTGTCCTTGGCTTTGGGTGTTGTGCTTTTATTCTATTATTGCTGTGTAGTTTTCTTTCTTTTCTGAATGGCACCCAAGCTGGTTTTCCTGTGTCCTCCAACCCAATCTGCATCAAAAGTGCACCTGTATGTTACCAGGCTTCTATTGTACATGATGCCCCCATCTGCTCATGCAATCTGGCTCCATTATGTCTTGCTTTCAACAAGCCACAGAGTTTTTAAAATACTTAGGAAACCTGAAATATTGCTGCGATGAATCATACATATGCAGTCTCCTTGAGGCTGTTTTCCCCAAACGATTCTTGCAATCACTTCATATGCTGCTTTCCACTCCATTACACCAAAATGCACCCAAGAAGAGGTTTTATACTTGTCCTCACAAAAAAAAATGTTAGTTATAAAATCATGCTCAGCATCTTTATGCAGGTCATTTTGAGTACAGCACATTTATTTCTGAATGCTGATGGAATGCTGTGTCCTATAAAAGCGCACATAGTATCTGCCTGCTAAGGCTTCTTTCCTGCACCTCTTGTATAACTGCACAAGCTACAAAGCCAAAAAAATATTTAGAGGAACTTGCAAACAGGTAGCAGGCATACAGGATGTGGATCCAGGAAGCTACTGTGTTTTGAAATAACTAGATCCAAACAACTTGCTTTTCTGTTTATTCGGTGTTTCATACAGAAGCACTGACCATTTTCTCTTTCAGCTACAGTGGTACCTCGGTTTAAGAACAGTCCGCTTTAAGAACGATTTGGTTTGTGAACTCTGCAAAACCGGAAGTAATGTCCCGGTTTGCAAACTTTACCTCTGTCTAAGAACGGAAGCCGAACGGTATAATGGCACTGGCAGCAGGAGGCCTCATTAAGGAAAGACTGCCACAGTTTAAGAACGGTTTCGGTTTAAGAACTGACTTCCGGAACGGATTAAGTTCGTAAACCAAGGTACCACTGTATCTGAAAAGTCCTATATCACATTTTCATAAAAGGGAACAATACAATTTTGTAGGCCTCCCTTCAGCATCTTCATTTCCTTGCTCCTCCCCACAGCTGCTCTTGTTTCTGTGTCAAACCTGCTAAACCAAATCACATCTCCAAACAAACCTGCTGTACAAGCTCAGCTCCGTTCCTATTTCCAGAGACTTGGCAAATGATCCCTGAGTAAGGAGTTTACCTTCCCTTAAACCTGGCGTAACTTTTGCACAGCTTCCGTTGCTCCTCTTGGTTCACTGCTAAGCAATATTATTATTATTATTATTACTACTACTACTACTACTACTACTACTACTTCAATACCGTCCTATACCCGGAGGTCTTAGGGCGGTGTACAGTATGCACTCCTGATTATGTAGCTCAGTAGTAAAGTACTTTCTAGTTTGAGGCTTTTAATGCTTCCATTTCCACGCTAAGAAGTTAATGGGGGGCGGGGTGGGCGGGAAATAAAATTATGCACAGTATACAGAAATAATTTTTTATTCTCACACAATAACTAGGACCTGGATTCAGGACAGACAAAAGGATGCATTTCTTCACACAGTGCATAATTAATTTATAGGATTCATTGTCACAAGATGCAGCAACAGCCTACACTCATGTGTACGTAAAGGTAAAGGGACCCCTGACTATTAGGTCCAGTCGCGGACGACTCTGGGGTTGCAGCGCTCATCTCGCTTTACTGGCCGACGGAGCCGGTGTACAGCTTCCGGGTCATGTGGCCAGCATGACTAAGCCGCTTCTGGTGAACCAGAGAAGCACGGAAACAGCGTTTACCTTCCCGCCGGAGCAATACCTATTTATCTACTTGCACTTTGATGTGCTTTCAAACTGCTAGGATGGCAGGAACACTCACGTTTAGGTGGTTTTAAAAGAATGCTAAACAAATTATTGGTGGATAAGTCGAGTAATGGCTGTAAGAAACGATGGCTACACAGAACTTCCATATTCAAAGGCAATACTTTGTAGACACAACCTTTAAAGCACATTTGAAGCACATTTCCTCCCACAAAGAATTCTGGGCACTATAGTTGGTTAAGGTTTGCTGGGAATTGTAACTTTATGAAGGAAAAACTATCGTGCCCAGAATTCTTTTGGAGATGTGCCTCAAGAGTGCTTTAAAGATATAGTACGTCCACAGGAGTGTGCCACTGAAAACCAGTTGCTAAGATCAGCAACCAGCAAAGGCTTCATCTCTATTTGTGAACTTCTTGGGAGTCATTCAGTTGACAACTGTGTGGCACTGTGAGGAGCATAATGAGAGGACCAGGTCCATTACCCTTTAAACCTCACTGGTAGATCTTGGGCCAGTCACTGTATCACCAAAACCTATTTCACAGGGAAATGATAAAGACAAAATAAAGGGGGGGGGAGGCAATCATTGCAGCTTGAGCTTCTTGGAGGAAAGAAAAGGATAGAAAAGAAAGGACAGAACACAAACCAAGGTGCTGGGCTGCCTTTGGTTTGATGCAACAGGGCTAATTTGTTCTTACTCAAGCCAACTTCTGCTGCTCCACATGTGCAGCCATAGATGTGAGGGATGCTTGGTCCAAACTAAGGCCTTGCCTACACAAACGAGGTAGTAAAACAGACCATCCCTACAGGTGGGGGAGAGAACTTTTTGAAGATGTTCTCTGAAAACAAGCACAATACAAACTGGGCAGACTGGGCCAGAGGAGTGTGTGCTTTCACATGGGACTCAAAAGTAGAATTCACCACCTGTGCGCAGCTTGTGGCACTGCCTGCCACATGGCACACCACACCAGCCCTAAATTTATAAGGCACTTGCTTCCAGGGAAGTTTTCTGCAGCCTTGTTCCCCCCTTTTGAGGTGAATACACGATGCGCCAAACCCCAAAGGTCCCTCCACTCCAAGCTTACCCGAGTTGCCACTTCCCAAACTCTTCTTCCCTTTCAGCATCACTCACCGTAATTATAGGACATGGTCAGGGTGGAGTTGCCGAACCTGGGCTCGTTGTAGATCACCACGGCAGCCGCCCGCTTCCTCACGGCGTTGGCGATTTTGTCCTTCAAGCTGCAGCCCCCGTGCGCCACCAGAGCGATCCACGACGGAGGCGTCCCCGCGAATTGCGCTCCGGGCGGCCTGGGGATCTCGTAGTCGATCCCCGGCGCGCAGCCCTCCATGTGGCGGCCGCTCCCCGCTCCGCCGCGGGGGATGCCCACCAGGCCTTGCGCGTTGTCCTTGGGCGAGCCGTCGCCGTAGCGGCCGCTCTCGGTGCTCTCCTGCACCGTGCGGTTGGTGCCGGGCTCGGTGTACATGGTGGTCACCCAGGCCGTGTACCACACCAGGGACCAGGCCACCCGCGGGCACCCCACCGCCGCCAGCGCCAACAGCAGAGGCAGAGCCACGCGGCGCAACAGCACCATGGCAAACCCCTCACGCGCGCGCGCTTGGCGAATGGAGCGCCCAGACCGCCTGCACCGAAAAGCGGCAGCGGCGCAAGCGGCAACCTCCGCGTTCCCGCCCCTTCCTTCCTTCCCTGGGAGGCGGCCCGGCTCGCTCGCCCGGCCAGGAGAAAGGCAAAGAGGCGGGGACTCGGCGGCCAGGCCTCCTTCCTGCGCCCAAGCAAAGCCGCCCTCTTTCCTTCCCTCATAAATGCAGCCTGGCGCGCGCGCTCGTTTGGGGACCGCCCCCTTCCCCAGGGGAGAAAGCAAAGGGCTGCGCGCGCGCCCAGGCAACCCCAGCCCTGTCTACTCAGGAGTCGTCCATGAATTCAGTCCAGCTCGCGCCCTAGTGTGTAGGATCGCAGCCTAAAACTGCAGTCCCGACACACCTGGGAGTAAGCCTCGTTGAATTCAATAGGACTCTCTTCTGGGTAGGTATGATCAGGGTAATAATAATAATAATAATAATAATAATAATAATAATAATAATAATAATAATAATAATAATTATTATTATTATTATTATTATTATTATTATTATTATTATTATTATTATTTTATTATTACCCTGATCATACCTACCCAGATCATACCTACCCAATCATTATTATTATTAATGATTTATACCCTACCCATCTGGCTGGGTTTCCCCAGCCACGCTGGGTGGCTCCCAACAAAATATTAAAAACAAAAAATCAAACATTAAATACTTCTCAAGTTGTCCCTTGGGCTGTATACATGATGTATGTTTAAATAATAAATCAATTTCCCCTTTCCCAAGTACAGTATGTTGGGAACTGTAGTTTATCCATCAAAGCTACAACTCCCAACAACCTTTCCAAACTACAGTTCCCAGGATTCTTCTTCTTTGTGTGTGTGGTGGGGGAGATGTTATTTAGTTATGTGACACCTGATTCCTGGCGACTGTCCTTTAAGGGTGCTGGCAATTGTAACTGTGAGGCGATAGCTCTGTTTTCCAGGACTCTTGGCGACGTCATGTACTTTAAATGTATGGTGTGGATGTATCCGTAATATTTAATGGGGGGGGGGATATGCTAGAAATGAGTATCCCTAGGTGAGATTATGGCAATGTGTTAGGCATGGCCTGCCTCTGAAAATGTTCGAAAACTTCAGCTGTTGCAGCTAGTTCACTCCATCTTCTTCACAATGTAGACAGTTGCTGGGAAGCGCAAGTCAGGAGGCTGCTGTTGTGCTTGTGGGCTTCCTGTGAGCAACTGCTTGACCATATTTCTATGGCACCTTGAGAAGAATAAAATCTATATTCTCCCCCTTCAGCTACTGGGCAAAAGTTTCAATTACGAGTACATTTTGGCTTTATCCCACCACATGGATGGCCCTTAAGACATTTTGAAAATCCTATTATGTCAAGTAACCTGGAGGTGGGAAGACCAGCAGTGCCTGGTCCCTGCCAAACAATAAAACAGTGCACTATCCACTGAACTATGAGCCATGGTTAATGTTAGCTGTGATGTACTGAAACAACCCAAGTTCATTAACCATGGTTTGCAGTTGGCTTGCTTCAATAGACCATAGCTACACTAAGCACACAGCATGTCCAGGTCCAGACATAAGAAATCACTGTCCACTGAAAATCAAAGCAAAAGCTTCTAATAATCTCATACTGCAGAAAGAGAAGAGAGTGGGGTGTCCATGAGCCCAACACTAAGGCTCACAATACCAGGCAACAGTTAAATGTGAATGCAGCCACAATCTGAATGGTTTAAAGCAAAGTTAAAGACCTGACTTCTTCTTTAGTCTTTCAGAAAAGCATATTAGGATACAGAGTTGTCCCAAAACCATATTGAAAGCATCTTAAGATTATAGCATTTTGTAAGATAATTAAAGACAAATGTGTGCCTAAGGAAAGGTGGAATCTATAATGTCAACTTAATTAAAATTCTTTACATACTTTAGGCAGCTCTTTAGAGTTTCATGTGAACAACTAGGTGCAATAATATAACCACCATATATATATACTAGCCATTTCATTTTGGGTCGCGATTCTTGTCCAGTTTCAAAAATTATAATGAGCACATCCTGTGGTATACATGTTCATAAAAATCCAGGAATATTTAAACACCTTAAAGAAGAGTCTAGTATAATCTGTCTCCAGCCTTAACATTCATTTTCATTTCAAAGGCCCTTACTGTGTCAACCTACTCCATTTAAGAGAAATGGAGCCATTTTAAGTACTTTGCACAAAAATACTGTTAAATAAATAGTCGGTACCATAGAATATAAAACAGTTGCACCCCCACCCACCTCCCAAAGTAAATATGAAACACTGAATCCTCTTATTTGGAATTTTGATCAAGCTTTACTGGGAACTGCTTTGAAATACTCCTCCACCGCAATGGCGGCAATTCCTCCATACCAATTCTGAAGCCAGACATGTTCAATGTTCATTTTCATAAAGAACCATTCATAATTGCGAGGCCATTTTCTCATTGCTGGATGCCTGGAAGAACAAAAGGTAGCCAAACAGGTTAGAATAAGGCAGGTCCAGAAGGCTTCTCTCAGCCAATGGTCCCTAGAATTCTTTGGAAATAATGTGAGTTTCAACACTAGCAGTTTCAACACTATCCTTTAGGACAGCAAATATTTAAGCCCAAATATGTGCATGGCACAAACAACAAGAAACCCTAAACGTTCAGGGATGAATCCAGACTTTGTAATACTTAAGAGTAGTCCCGCTGAAAACTGTGAGACGTAGGAGTGTGTTTATCTTCCACATTTCCGCTTGTCCTTCTTGCTGCTTTGCCCCGGGGAAAACCTGCTGTTTACTGCTGAATTGGAGCAAATGTCAATCAGGTTTTCTGTGGACTGGCGTTTGTTCCAATTCAGCGGCAAACAGGGGGTTTGCCAGGGGAAAGCAGTGGGACAAGCAGAAAACCTCACAGACCCATTCTTTTTAAGCACAGGACAAGTGGAAGCACTAAGTATGACTAAGGGAGCAGTCCAAACCCAAGGTTTGCCAGGATGAGTGGCGTTTGGAAGAGGCGGCTCTCTAGCTAATGCCCCTAATCAGCTGTAGATACGCCATTGTAAGTCCTTCATTCTGGCTCAGCTGAACCAAGGCCAGGGTGCATCCTGAAAAAGAGGTGTTATGGGTCATGGGGAGGCAGGAGGAGATTTACTCCTGTTCCAAACTCTTTCAGCTCAGTCATGGGACCCAGCAACCCAACGGAAACTACAGTGGTAAAAAAGGGTGGTGTAAGTAAAACTCTGCTTTAAAACTATTTAAAACTCTATTGTTTTTCCTTACAGGCGCAGACCAGCTCAAGCTGCAGTAGCCCCACTCTTGACCTGAGTATGCCATAGGGGCAAATTACACACGACACAAATTACCCTGGCATAAATTACCCTTGCTTTCTGTTGTTTGGGTTGCTCTGTTGGGCTGCAATACTAGCTACGCTTACCCAGGAGTAAGCGCCACTAAATTCAACAGGACTTAGTTCTGCATCCTGACATGTGTAGTAGGATTGTGATGTTGTGCCAGCTAGTGTACTGCCGAGCATTCCCTCACATTAACCTTGGACATTATTCAATCAACGCTAAAGCATCTTTAAAACCCATGGATTTCAAATACGAGAGTTAAGCACTGACCATAAGGATTTACAAGTACTTAAAAAGTGCCTGGGAGGAACCCAGGTTTTCAATTAACATTTGGCTCTTGCCAGCAGATGCGTTTGGGAGAAGTTCCGTTCTGGGGGCGAGAGACAATGCTCGTGTATTATTCCTTCAGTTCTTGGTCCAAATGCCTTATTTTACATTTCACCCCCACCCCTCCTGTTAGCACAGTAACATTAGATTCATACAGACCTAGAAAACAATGCTTGCTTGGCAAATTCCATTTCTTCCAGAGGCACCGTTACCATCTGCCCTGTAAGAATAAGTCTGACACACCGCGGATCATCAGGGTCAACGATTGTTTTTCTGTAAGCAAAGAAAAGTGTTTATGTTATATGGCAGCTTAAAGATTAACTGATTTATTATGGCGTAAACCAGTCTTTGCTAACATGGGACCTTCCATGTGGACTACAATTCACATCAATCTCAGCCAGGAGTAGGTTGTACTGGCTACAGCTGATGGGAGTTGTAGTCCACAAATTCTGGAGGGCACTCTGGTTGGTGAAGCTTTAGTGGACTACAGTCCATTTGTTCAAAAGTTGTGTTACTGCACTTCAGAACTTGTACCTGCAGATCTACATGTGTTAACTTCATATGTAAACTTAAGCAGTCTTCAAAATATGGATCAGACCGTACCAGTTTATTGTGAAGGGCAGATATTACACATTTCTGATATGAGTGATATAGATAGGGGTGTCGGAGGCAATAATATAAGGGCGAATGACGACGTCTATATATCCTGTCTCACAAAAGGCAATGATTCTCAACGAAATTCCATTATCTGTTATAAAATAAAATAGGGAACCAATGAGACACACAAACAGATGCCTACGACAAATATTAACCAGCACTGTATTCTCAAAAAGAAGGTATGGATACAAACCATTTGTTTTTAACACTATCAGAACCCTTGCTGAAATAAAATAGTTTTATTAATGTTTGGTACAAAGAGGTATTGCTGTGCTGATCCCCTAAAGATTCAGGTTATCTGTCCTACTATAACAAATTTATACTAAACTCTTTGCTGCTCTTTATGTAAGAACAACATCAACGATTGGGTAACATATAGCAATACCAGCAAAGGAAGTCACAACAGGTTCAGTAGAACTAATACCAGTTTCTATTTATTGTTCGTTTCTACTTTTATCCCACAAGCATTGGAAGGTTATTGCTTATTATGCAGGCATAAATCAAAGTCACATTGTGTTTATTGGGGGGGGTGTTATTGGATTGTTTTTATTTTGAGTATGTATTTTGTTGTTTTATATTTTGCTTTTATTCTGCGACCCGCCCTGAGACCTCCGGTTATAAGGCGGTATATAAATTCAGTAAATAATAATACACATGAATAAGCTTGCATAGGACCGCATCCTTAACTTTACAGATTTGAAAAGCTGCTCGTAGCAATATATTTCTGAGTAATAAGAAACTGGAATTAATTTCCCCTCACTTGAATTATACTTGGTTTAGGTTGCCATTCTAGGCACACTTTCTTGCGAGTAAGCCCAGCTGAATGCATGTTGCACTGTATTCACTATATCATATAAGATGATGACTCTAGAAAATCTGATTTAGAGAGCTGCAGCCTGTGTGCAATAAAAGCTGTCATTCACAAACCATATATTCTGGAGTAGTTTCTCTATTGTACCATCCAGCTGAAATTTATGCGAGTTCTCCAGATTAAATGCTTTGTGCACCGCATCCCAAAACTGTAGGTCCAACCTCTCGCAGCACTTCACTATTAGCATACCTACAAAAAAGAATAATAGCATACTGCTTCCGTCTGTCTAGACTAGCTTGTTTTTCTCCTATGTTCTGCCTCTTTAGGCAGCTGTAATGTGCCTGTTTTATGAACAGCATTTAGTTTAGTGCAGTGGAGAGAAATAAGCTTGTACTAAATTCTCATAGACCGCTAGAACCCATTGTGGTGCCCTTGAAAAGATGTTCGATCTTCCATCACCTTGATGGCTTAGGTTGATGGGAGTTGTAGTCCAAAAGCATCTGGAGTCACCAGGTTGGATACTACTGTCACAGGGCAACGTAAGAGGTGTTTCAGTATTATCCAGGTCTTTGGCTAATTCAACAGTCTGTGGTCTTTTGAATTATGAAGGGCAGGGGGACATTGTTTTTGCTTGTTACTATGTTATGTATTAGGGACGCGGGTGGCACTGTGGGTTAAACCACAGAGCCTAGGACTTTCCGATCAGAAGGTCGGCGGTTCGAATCCCCGTGACGGGGTGAGCTCCCGTTGCTCGGTCCCTGCTCCTGCCAACCTAGCAATTCAAAAGCATGTCAAAGTGCAAGTAGATAAATAGGTACCGCTCCGGCGGGAAGGTAAACGGCGTTTCCGTGTGCTGCTCTAGTTCACCAGAAGCGGCTTAGTCATGCTGGCCACATGACCCGGAAGCTGTATGCCAGCTCCCTTGGCCAGTAAAGCGAGATGAGCGCCGCAACCCCAGAGTCGGCCACGACTGGACCTAATGGTCAGGGGTCCCTTTACCTTTATGTTATGTATTTTTGTGCTTTTATATTGTAAACTGCCTTGTGATCGTCGGATGAAGGGCGGTATAGAAATTTAATTAATAATAAGAGTAACAACAACAACAACAACAACAGTCCTTATGCTTAAACTAGGGTGCTTCCGGTAAAAACAGGTAACCTGTTATTGGGCATTCATCCCAGTTTGATTGCAGGGAGGTTAGATTACATTAGCCAATTATTGAGCATGCATTCTGAATTTGCAGAGGTGGTGGATGGGGGGGAGTTACGCAACATTGCTTCAAGCAAGTGTTATCCCACATTTTGCAATGCCTTTCCCCAACTCTGTCCTTATCACGTGGGGGGGCAGGGGCGGGGTAGGAACCGGTTTGTTGTGCACACCCTTCAAATCATCTTTAGTTGCCAACCTGAATGCGGCTGGAATGCGATTGTGAATCTGCACCTGAAATGGCAACAGTCTGGAAGTGCCCCCAGTTTTAAAGCGCAATCCTAGATGTATCTTCTCAGAATTAATTCCTGCTCGGTTCTGTGGGGCTTACTCTCAGGTTACAACATGGCAGCCTAAACATCTGGATAAATTCCAGATTGTGAAGAAACGCAAACAAAACAGTTGTGCAATTCTAGGTGGAGGATGTGTTGAAAAGCATTGTTTCTTTTCCACCTACTTATTCCTCTTCTTTCACACATGTGAATTCCCAGTTTGAGAATGACTCAGGAAAGGAGCATGTCAACCTGCTTATTAAGGTCTGTGCCTACACGAGAGTCCTGTCAACATCAAATTTATTAGTGTCTGCGGGAGTTTCACTGAATGTTTCACCTGATCATTCATAGCTGTCATGAAACAGTTCAAAGATTATTTATGCTGGTGTACTATAACAGACCTCAGCATGGAGGGCTGCACCAATAAAAGTGGTCCATGAATCTCTTCTTCTGAACTAGGATCGAACTCGAGGATACATCATAGTATCTGTGCTCAAAAAGTGAGGGTGGGGAGCCTTTTGAAGCCTGCGGGCTGCATTCCTTTCTAGGCCATTTTCTTTTACTCCCCACAACTAGGTCCATCTCAAGGCTGACATTCCCAGGATTTTGGGGGAGAAGCCATGATAGCTCAGTTTCAAAATTTGCACTGATGTCCCGGAAAATACAAGGCAAGCAAATGGACGGGCATGGATTGTCATGCAAGCTACAACCTGAAATTCCTTCTTTTACACAACTTTTGCGTAGACTTGAGGCAGGCCGAAAACCAGCAGTGTGGCAATGCAAAAGGAAGCTCTCACTAACAAATGGCTCAGTCAAAGAGATTAGGAAAAGGATCAGATATTGGAGTGTTATATCAAATAATTATATACGAGTCCCCAAGAGAGTAGGGCTAAAGAATGGTGTATTAGTTCAGTATCCTAGTTCAAATTTCCCTCTAGTCAGCAGACCGACTCCCAAGCCATCTGATGGCAGCCCTGTATAGGGAAGTTTTAAAATGTTTTATGCTGTTTTTATATATGTTGGAAGCTGCCTAGAGTGGCTGGGGCAAGCCAGTCAAATGGGCAGGGTAGAAATAGTAAAAATCTTCCTCTTGTTGTTGTTGAATAAAGGTAAAGGGACCCCTGACCATTAGGTTCAGTCGTGGCCGACTCTGGGGTTGCGGCACTCAGCTCGCTTTATTGGCCGAGGGAGCCGGCGTACAGCTTCCGGGTCATGTGGCCAGCACGCCTAAGCCGCTTCTGGCGAACCAGAGCAGCGCACGGAAACGCCGTTTACCTTCCCACCAGAGCGATACCTATTTATCTACTTGCACTTTGACATGCTTTTGAACTGCTAGGTTGGCAGGAGCAGGGACCGAGCAACGCGAGCTCACCCCGTCGCGGGGATTCGAACCGCTGACCTTCTGATCGGCAAGTCCTAGGCTCTGTGGTTTAACCCACAGCACCACCCGTGTCCCATTTGTTCAGTATCCTAGCTCAAATTTCCCTCTAGTTAGCAGACCAACACCCAAACCATCTGATGGCAGCCCTGTATAGGGATGTTTTTTGATGTTTTATGATGTTTATATTTATGTTGGAAGCTGCCTAGAGTGGCTGGGGCAAGCCAGTCAGATGGGCGAGGTAGAAATAGTAAAATTCTTCTTCTTGTTGTTGTTGTTGTTGTTGAATAGGACGTCCTTATTTTCCTCAGAGAAATGTTGGAAGGTATGCTGATAGCATAGGGAGCAGGAAATTAGCTCCTAGTTTGAGCCTTTTGAAACACTTCTGTGGAATTTTTTGTCCTACAATTTTTCTTTTCCCACTTAGCCTCTTATGGGTTCAGACCCAGTGCTAAGCAATCTTCACTCCGAAACAGTTCAGCATATGTGGACAAGCAATGGCTGGCATGATATTGGTGTCTTCAAACATGACTCAGCTTGATGGAAACCAGGTTCCAAATATTTTGAATCCCCTCCACCACCACCACAGCAGTACAGAAAGCAAAGCTATATTAACAGATAAATACTGCAGCTAATTTATCAGAAACCCACATCACATTCATTTTATGTTTTGAAAAGCACAACTGCATACCTTACACGCATCCTCTGTGGCCCATAAATCGTAACACACCCTTAAAGGATATGAGCTGGTAAGCATGTATTAGCTTTACTAATCTGTGTGGTACGGACATCAAACTAAATCTCACTTGAAAGCAAAATTCATAATCTGAAAAGCTTCTCTTGATCTTTGGCTTTATGCTTCTGGGCACTGTTAACTTCCTTGCTGCTGCAGCTTTTGCGATAAAGAGCTTTCCCTTTCTTACACACACACCACACTTCAAAGCTCTGAGTTAAAATTCCAATAGCTTCTAAAAATGAGATGCCTGCACTTGATTGAATTCCCTTTTCTAGTTGAGTTCACAACCACTTGCATGCTGCAGACGGAATTGTTAAAGAGTTTAGAATCTACTTGTTTCTTCACCTGCTAATTTCTCCTTGTTGCTACGTGCTAAGATTTCCTCATATGCACCCTCTGAACAGGTGGCAGTTGTCTGACGGCAATGATCACCTATTTGGGCAGAAGACGGACTCTGGATTCCGTTCCTGCCATATGCCCCGAGGCATTATGTGCACTTTCAAAACTGACTGCAACACACCAGAAAACAGAGTATCCTGGAGGCTGTGGTGATGCTGGGGGTATGTACCACCACATAATCAATTTTGACAAACTATATCATCCTGGTTATTTCGAAAAAGTTGGTATAAGACATTAGCACTTGAAGAAAAACCAGCACCTCTGTCCTACGGTGAATCTGAATAAGCTCTGGAAACCTGTTAGTGAGCAGACGAGGCTCAACTATGCCAAAAAACCAGGCGGGATTAGCTCCAGTTATTGATGTTGTATGCTCGGGTTACTACCAAGTCCTGGCATGAGGAAACTGCCCAGACAGCCTGTAATAGCAGAATTTTTCAGCAGAAAAGCAGAAGAGAGGATCAAAGAAGCTGGTGTGTTAGTGGCGTAAAGAGTTTTTGTATGTATCCAGGCATAAATAAACACAATTTCAGATGTGCATTGAAAAATAAAATGTTTTATATATATACACACACACATAAAAGGCTGGGTTTCTAATCAGGCGGCATGACAACTAGATCCAGGCACATGGAACCAACTATAACCTGGACGTTTTTTCTAAAGAAAGCCAGCTTTGGGAAAGGAGGGGTTTGAGCAGAGAAGGGAGTGCTCCATTACTTTCCCATTGGCTGCTGTTGACGCTCCCAACTACTTTTCCACCTTGCCCTCACAGCATTCTAGATGCGCGTTTGCTCTTGAAAGCATGCCTTTGGCACGCTGTCTGGTGAGAGCAGCTGAGGAAATGACTCGGGGAAGGAAAACTGCAGGTGGAGAAAGGGTCAAGACAGTCCTTCCCTTTACGATCGCTTGTCCCCCCAGCTGCTCAGCACTTGTCGCATGACGGAATGGGTGAGTTAGGGCCCATCTGGGCCTATAAAACCCAGGCTGAGCAATTGGTCACGGTCAAGCTGCTCTCAGAATGTGTTTGGTTTCTTGCCTTCTGGTTCTGGGTACTTGTCAGAGCTTGCTTTGCCTCCAGGCCTCAAAACCAGACGGGTGGGTGCATGGACCCAATCTGTGTCGATGACAGCACACACAACCCCGGGGTTCTCCATGTGTGTATTTTATCTGCTCTGAGATCAAACATATAGTCCCTGTGGTGCTAGACCAGAACGTCTTCACTTAAATATGACAGCCGTGAAGTGCTCTGCTTCAAACGCAAACAACTTTCTTAAATGTTAACAAAATGGCATAAGTATGGATGTGGATTTCTTGGTACTTGTCAACATCAGTGACGTCCCAGACACCATCTGATAGGTTACACTTAGAATATACAAACAACAGCAATACAACTCATTTCAGCTTGAGCACTGGGAAAGTCCAACATCCGCACGCTACAAGAAAATGTGAATCTCCCACAGCAAATGAGTAAACAGCACCATATTTGTTGTGATTTAAGCTGAAAAGAGCCTTCATGTTAAGTAACACAACCACCTAATGCTCTCATAATCATTGTACCTGCAGATATCTCCTTCTGCCTCTGGCAATGTCAGGGAAGCAACGGAATTTTTCATCAGATCAGCTACTGTGTTGTCCTTTGGAGTCACATAAAAAAAAGGAATTCCAGTGCTATTGTCTTTGGGGCCATCGCTAATAGATAAGCAATTCCCAAACGGTGCTCCCCGGATCTGAAAAATTCCAAGCAAGTTGTGCTTAGAAAGCGTTGCAAATGTCTTCTACAAAGATGCTTGCCAGAAATTAAAAGAACAAATGTAGTATATTCAGTTCTACTTCCCTGACTACCACTGGTTTGTACTTCATTAAATTAAATTTGTTGATCAGAATTTATAACATACACACACATACAGTATATCTCTCTCACTTGTTCAGGTAGAAATATCTATATAAAAATTGTCCAGTAGCACTTTGGAGACCAACTAAGTTTGTTCTTGGTATAAGCTTTCATGTGCATGCACACAAAACTTAGTTGGTCTCTAAGATGCTACTGGACAATTTTTTTTTATTTTTTAATATATTTTGACTGCATCAGACCAACACAGCTACCTACCTGAATCTAGAACCTTTCTCAGGTAATCGTTCACCTGCTTTCTCACCTTTTCAGGTTAAACCAGACTTAACTTAAAAAAAACCACAGGCACTTTACAGAAATAATTTAAAAAGGTGTAGATATAGGTAGGTAGCCGTGTTGGTCTGCCATAGTCTGCATGCACACTTCTTCAGATACCTGATGCATGCATACGAAAGCTCATACCAATAACAAACTTGGTCTCTAAGGTGTTACTGGAAGGATTTTTTAAATTTTGTTAAAAAGGTGTGTTTGTACTGCAAATAATAATACACCCTCTTTAATAATAAAAAAATGATGTTTCTCCATGAATCACTAAGGCTTGTGGCAATTTTATAAAACTGAATATATATACTGTAAAGATTCATATTGCTTTGAGGACTGTAATTCTGTGAAGATGGCTTAAAGATTTCTAACACAGAATTGTGAGCATTCTCACCTAACTATATTTCACATGATTCACTTGGGAAAGTAATGAATGTCAGTTTAAAAAATTAAATAAATAAGAGAAGATTTTTATCCTGCTTTTCCACTGTGCAATGCCTAAGGCAGCTCACAAAAACCCCCACAAATACTTCAAAACAATTTAGTAGAAAATAGAAATTTGCAGTGCAAACAAATACTCCTTTGTGTGTGCATCTCATACATAACGTGCTATTTCTTATATATCTAAATGCAATTTGTCTTCCACATAAGCAATGAAGAGGAAACGTTTCAGATTAGTAATGCACTGCAATCAATTTTAAAAATCTGACAGTTGCTCAGAGATATATTAATAATCTTACATCGTCAATGCTCATTTTTAAAAAATGCAATTCATAGCAAACATGTTAACCCATTATTTAGAAATCTGAATGCAAATTATGCTTTTTTGTAACTTACATCTAGGTTTCAAAGAACTGCTTTAGGTTCACTCTGAGGCAAGAAAATCTCCAGTTTTAAAGGGCACAAGTCCAAAGTTATTTCTGTTCTTTTTTATTATTATCGTGAGCTATGTATTATAATTGCAGGCAACCGTTCATCTAACATCAAGTCTGCACTTCTACTGAAAGACCTTGCAAGAAAACAAATGATAATACCTGAGGCTTTATAGTCCAATAATGTTATCGGAGACCTAAGATGGTATTACAGACCTCTGCTGCACAGACTTCTATTGCACAATGGGGAATATTTTATTTTATTAATATTTCATTAATGACCTTTTGTTACCAACTAACCCGCTGCATTTCACTGCCACACAGAGAGAAGGTTGTGTTAACAGCGCCTTCTAGAGACCGCAAAGGCTGATGCTTATACACGTTTCCCTTTAAAAAAGAAAACACCAGCACGATGGAGCCAAAGTTAAGCAAATTAAATGCCACTAACATCAATGGGGATATTTAAAGCACACACTAAACCTTTCCACTGCATCCAACATAATGTTTAATTTTATCTGGGAGACTAAAGCTGGGATGTAGGGGGAGAAAAATAAGAAGAGCATATTTTGTTTTTTACATATAAAATCCTTCTCTGCGGCAACACTGAAAATATTCACATTAACTACTTATGTAAACCAATGTATTTCAAAAGCAAGAGCTTATTTTTGGACTACTCTTTTGTGCAAGCATGGTAGATCACAAGAGGTATATGTGCACATGTAAACAAATACCCATGGGTCTCAGGTTTCCTGGCTTGGAGCAACACACAAACTCACACACAAACGACTGCTGTTTTGTGCAAATCTGGGAGATTGAGAAACTTGTATTAAAATAAATAAAGGTGTGTGCTTACAGGTAAACAGATACCAGTCTGCATGCCCATAGTGACCTCAGGTAAGGCCAGCCCACCCATGAAGTAGTTATCTCAGACAGCGGGTGCCCCCGAGGCAGCACCCTCATGAGCACCTCCTGCCATGCCCTCCTCACCTCTGCCAGAGAAGCGGTGCCAGGATAGGTGCGGATTTCCTGCAAGATCTCATCAAAGTCTTGCGAGATGTCAAGGAGAGCAAAGGATCTCATGAGATCTGGGTGAGATCTTGGCAAGCTCTTTCAGGGCATCGGCGCCCATGCCAGCACTGCTGCTCCACAAGCGGTGGTGGTGACGCAGCTGGTGGCATAGCTGCAGTGCCACCGGCAGGTGACGCAGCGGTGGGCAGTGTCCCATGGGTTGTGGTGGTGTGGCAGAGCAGGGTGGAACTTCCTGTTTTGCCTCAAGTGGCAAAATGGGACGTACCACCCGTGAACTCAGGATTCCAGCACTTACAGTTGTCAGTTCTGAGGAAAGGCAGGCAAGGACCCACAGCCCAGGTGGGGCTGGCTACCTTGGGGAGGAAGTGTGTGATTCCTCAGCTGGAACAGGCTCAGGAAAGGTGAGGGTCACATGCCACATCAAGCCCAGAAGGTATAACAGCCAGGCCAACAAATAGCTCTCTTGACAGATGACTTGGACAGATGACTTGTACTCAGATAATTGAGTACTTTTTTTTTTTTTAAAGATATTTCAGAGAATGAGGAAAACAATCAAGAAAAGACACGCTAGCAGTTTAAATGTTAGCACTTCTTTGTCAGATTTGTAAGATTGTAAGAAAATGCAGCGGGTTAGTTGGTAACAAAAGGTCATTAATGAAATTAATTGAAAAATAAAGGATGCATTTAAGATGGCTGGAGATCTTTTGTTAAGGCTCAGGGTGTTTTACAAATTAAACCCATGCAGTAAAACATAGGAGCTTACTCCCAGGAAAATATGCATTGGATTGCAGGCATTCTGATAAATTTGGCATTATGCTACGTACGCTCCTGTGTCTGTAATGACAGATCAACTCAGCTATTTGCATTTTCGGACATTCCTTGGGGGTGTGGCTGTGGGGACTGTTGTGATAAGCTCCTGGGCTTCAAAATTTATCACTGCACTAGACTGTAGTGTCACTGTAGTAAACTAATCTTGCACAGTGTACACCTTTTAGTAATTTGGTCCACATTTCAACTACCTTTCACATGGTTTTTAAAATACTCAACTTGCAATACCAGAATTCCTCTGTTGTATATCCTTAGTTAAAATATGCAAACTTCTCCTCTATGTTTACAGTCAGATGATGCCCCTTGCAAATGGCTCCTAAAGATGTAAAAGAACAACACCCCCCCCCTCTGCAATTTCTCCAGTGAGACAGCAGCGATCCATTAAAAGCTGTTCCATTTATATAGCTAGTATCGGAAGGTTTGTCACGGAGCAAAAATAATCGCTTATCGCATTTACAAGATGCTGTTGGGAGTGCACAGAAGCCTGGATTGAAACAGCCCATCCCAAACAGCATTCCTGTGCTATCATCATTATTCCCGTTTAGCAGACTATCCTTCAACAAGAGTTCTTAGGATGGATGGTGGAGGACATTCACAACAAAATACAAAACTGCAGCATCATAAAATGAGGCTATGTATTTTTTAAAAATATATATAAAGCCTCATTTTTATGATATATATATTTTATATATAGCCTCATTTTATGATGCTGCAGTTTTGTTGTGAATATGGTATATATGGAGGATATATATATATATATATATATTTGCTTTCGTAGATTTTCACGGTACAGGAATAGGTATTTTGTCCTCTTATCCCGTGAAAGTTGGGTGTCTAGGGATTTCAGCACTCGTCATCTTCAGGCTTGCTTTCGGCCTCTGGAAAGAGCTGTTCTGTTCGTACAAGAAGCGAAAGATTCATCAGTTGTTTCTAGCAGAGGCGTGTACTTTCTGAGGATCTCGTGGCCAGAAATCCCAGCTGCTGGAATGGATCAGGAACCGGGCCGCCCTGGCCGCTTGCTCGTGGGGGCGCGAGGCTCTCCGTGCCCCCTTTGGCGCTCGCTCTCCGGTAGGAAAACATGCGGGAAGGGACGAGTTCTGCTTCGGCTCGCCGCCCCCGGCCTGGACCCTCATCTCCTCCTCTTCCTCTTGTACACCGAGGCCGGGTAGCTCTGCTTCAGATGCCCGTGGTGTCTTCCAGGAGCGCGGGGAGAACCTCCTCGTTGGAGGAGCTGTGCAGCTCTTCCTCCACCTCGTTGGTGACGGACCACGACACCGAGTTCACGATCACGTAGCCGCCGGCCGGGGCCAAGGCCAAGCTGCACCACAGCAGCGCCCACGAGAGCCAGCCGGGGCACGCGGCGGCCCTGGGCACCGGCGGCGTCCGGCGGCGGCAGCAGCACGCGGGCATTTTGGAGCCAAGCCTCCCCGAGCTGCGTGCGCCCAGCTCCGCAGCCCGGAACGCGCAAAGCCCAGCAGTCTGGAGGGAGCTTTTGGCTGCGAGAGCAGCGGCCCCTTGAGGCGGAGGAGAGCGGCTGGCCTGAGAAAAATGCCTAAGCTGGCAAATCGCCAGCAGCAGGGAATTATCGGAATTCTCTTGTTTGCTATGACTCGGCATCCCGCCCTTAAGCATCCTCCGCGTTACTATTTCTTGCATTTTTAAGAGCCCTTAATCTCAGCGTCATGGGTTCGAAACCTCACGTTGGGCAAAAAGATTCCTGCACTGAAAGCGGGTTGGACTAGACGACCCTCGGGATTCCAGACCCTCCAAGTGTCCCTATTTTCCAGGGACAGCCACAGATTTATAGAAACCGTACTGGTTTCTGATCTTATCCTGGAATGTCCCGCTTTTCCTTAGGACGTCCCTATGCAGTTGTGCCACCCCTGAGACAACAAGGAGATAAGTAACTATACAACCTCGAGAAGGCATCTGAAGCCAGCCCTGTATAGGGAAGGTTTTTGTAACGTTTAATGATGTTTTTATATATGTTGGGAGCTGCCCAGAATGCCTGGGGCAACCCAGTCAGATGGGTGGGGTATTAACAATAACATTAACAATAACAACAAATTATCATCATCATCATCATAATTCAAAACAACATCCCTATTTTCATTTCTATGATTCTGATTCTTACACGGAGCACAGGCCAGGATATGCAGCTCCTTCACTCCCATTTATTTCCACAACAACCCTATGAGGTAGATCAGGCTGAGACATTGTGACTGGACTGGACCAGAGTCTCCCCAGTGCAGGTAGGGCACTCTGCCCACTGCATCGCACACGAGTGTAGTTAAACCTATGGGGATAATGGCCTTGGCTGCTCTTGTACAGCTGTTGTAAAGATTATTGAGATAGAATCACAGAGTTCAAAGGGACCACAAGGATAGTCTTGTCCAATGCCCCTTCAATGCAGGAATTCTTTGCACAGCGTGGGACTCGAACCCACAATAATGAGGTTAAGAGATTCACACTCTACTGACCGAGCTATCCTTGTGAAGCCTTTTTTAACTCTCAAAATGCATAATGTATAATGTTGATGTCAAAGTAGTTTGACTGATTGATTCAATAGTCTTATACCCCACCCTTCCTCAGGGCACACTGATGACAATGTGTTCCAAAACTCTGCATGACCCTACACGGCAGTCTCATGTAGATTTAAAATAGCATGAGGAGGCAAGATCACACACTGGAGAACCCACGGGACTGCGCATTATTCCCTATGTACTACCTTCTGGTCCAAGTAGGAGTGGAACCACTTCAAAGCAGGGCCCCCTACACCAGTCTCTCCCAGAATGGTACCATGGCCAATAGTATCAAAAGCTGCTGAGATGACCTGACACAGGTAATCATAAACGGAGACCAAGGCAGCTTCTGTGTCAAGCCAAGCTCTGAATCCTGATTGAAATTGATCCAGAAAAACAGTTTCTTCCAAGACTGCTGGATCTGGTTGGCAACCGCTCACTCAAAGACCTTGCCCAGGAAGTGGACATTTAGTTTAAGTCGAAAATTATTAAGATCCTCTGAGTCCAGGGTAGGTTTATCCAGAAGTGGTATTACCACACCTCTTTCAGGTGCCTTGGGACTAGTCCGTGTTAGAAAACACTTATCAAATAGCTACTTCCAGGATGAAAAACTGAGTAACAATTTGGGGCAAGGGTTACACTGAATATTCCCCCCTCCCCCTGAAAGTTTGAAGATGTTGAGTCAGAAGCACATGGGGTATATTGGACTGAATACATTTGGATATCCCCAGAGAAGTCTGGTTAAGAAACACGTACATCTACACACATACAGCTTTCATAGTAAGATTTTATGTAAACTAGATACCTAAGCAAATCTCCAACCCATTCACTTTGGAATGGCACCACTGATGTCAAAGGAACTACCCTTCTAACCCTATAGCAGGCACAGGCAAACTCAGCCCTCCAGATGTTTTGAGACTACAATTCCCATCATCCCTGACTGCTGGTCCTGTTAGCTAGGGATGATGGGAGTTGTAGTCCCAAAACATCTGGAGGGCTGAGTTTGCCTATGCCTGCCCTACAGGTATTGATCTGAGGACTGCAGGCAGCAGTTGACATCTAATAATAATAATAATAATAATAATAATAATAATAATAATAATACCAGGTCTTGTGTCTGCCTGGAAGCCACACATGCTTTGATTTTGAGACCCCTGTTTTTTAATCCCTGATGTGTGGCTACTCTGCAGTGAACTCTGCACAGACATCTGTTTTATTACTTCTTTACCTGCTCCAGGACTTTAAAAAGTACCTGGGCTTCCTGGTTCAAATTAAGTCCTGACTGCCACCTTGAGGAGACAGTTCGCTCAGATTAAAATGCTGTCCCTAAACTGCTGGGCTTTGGAACATTCTACATATACAGGATTTGTAGTAGGACTTCTCGAAATTCAGACTCCTGCAGGGACATGAACCACACCTGGTAGCCTTAGGTACAGAAGGCATAATTCTGGGACTATTTGTATTGGCGAAATGCCTTTCCTTGCTATTAAACTTTAGATTGCAAGCTCCATAGAACAGGGTTTCTTGTGGGAGTGGGTGGAAGGAATGGTTTATACTGTAAAATGCCATGTACAGTCATGGTGCTGTATGTATTAACATTATGGGACTCAACCAATACATATTGTCCCTGGTTTGCATCTTTCAGCATTACAATTGCAACTGAAGTGGGAATGTCACCTGAAATTTATTTACTACATTTAACAAAATCGTTAGTGTTACTTCCTACAACAGCTATAGAACGTAAGACACCGAAGGGGAAATTTCATTAACTATGCATGCTAGGCAGATAAAATACATCAGAAAAATGACACAATTTTAAAAATGTATGCATGCTCGTCATAAAAACTACTTACTTCCACAGAATATACACCGGGGCTGTGCTAAATCTATATTCGAATCAACTATGTACAAAACACATTTTTTTTGCGATGGTCGTCAAACAGTCTTTCAGATCTGCTTTGTTTCCTCCCAAGCACTGCTGCAGTCTTCTTGCGGGTCAGAGGTATGAATGATAAATTTCTGCCCATCTTTTAGAGTAACAAGTGCTTCCTGTCCAACAGGAAGATTCACTTTAACCGAACTTTTAGATGCTTTGTCTTCCAGAACTACCTGGATAAGCTGCACATTAAAAAAGAAAGGAAGGAAGGAAGGAAGGAAGATGCAATATCACTATCATTGCTGTGGGAAGACAGGATTGACTAAGGGCTTACTATCACTTACCTTTCCCCCGTGCTCACAGTAGGCACAGGCCAATGTTTTAAAGCTCTGCGTCCAAGCACGCCTTTTTTCGCTCTGCCACTTTCACCAGTGGCACTTTCCATTCATTTATGCTGAATCGGAAAAAAGGCAATTTCTGGTTTTCCACAGCTTAGACACTGAGTTTTAAAGCACAGACCTGTGCCTTGAAACGCAGCACAAAAGGAAGTCTGGACAAGGAGCCCATAAACACAGTTCTGTTTATTCTCTGTCTTTCTCTGAAAAACTTTGAAATGAAAGTCTCCAGAGCAAAAGCAAGGCAGATAACACCCAAGAACAGCGAGGCAGTATGTCTTAGTCCTCCTAAAGCCAGACTTTTTGCTGCTTATAAAAGCTGGGGAACTTTCAGAGCTTTCACATAGTCAGAAGCCTCCAAAGGACTGTAGCAGACAGAAGGATTTCTTGGCCGAAAGTAGTAATCTGAATACTTGAATCCAGGGGAAGCTGTGGCAGATGTTTTTTGGACATCAACTTCCAACATCCCCAGCCAGCATGGCCAATGACCAGGGATGATGGAACACCAGAAGAAGAAGAAGAAGAAGAAGAAGAAGAAGAAGAGTTTGAATTTGATATCCCACCCTTTAAGGAGTCTCAAAGCGGCTAACATTCTCCTTTCCCTTCCTCCCCCACAACAAACACTCTGTGAGGTGAGTGGGGCTGAGAGACTTCAGAGAAGTGTGACTGGCCCAAGGTCACCCAGCAGCTGCATGTGGAGGAGCGGAGACGCAAACCCGGTTACCCAGATTACGAGACTACCGTTCTTAACCACTACACCACACTGGCCATGAGAAGTTCCTCATGGTCTGGTATAAAGCCCTACTTCAAAGCTGAAATGAAATTCACCTACTCTTGATCATAGCTGCTGGGAATACTTTTTGATATTGTTCACAGATATCACAAGTACAGATAGAGCCCTGTGTACACGCCTCAAGCATGCATCCATTTCCAACAATCTGATTTTCCACTTCTCATTCAGAAGCAAATATGAAGAACTGGGTTTTTACCTTGTTGCCTGTGTCAGCATCTACTAGGCAGCTGAGGACCTTCAGAATAATGCTACTTAAGTTAATGTCGCTTTGACTCTGGGTCAGAATGATTCGAGTTGGTGCTGCCTCCCCGCCATCAGGCTGTTCAGCAGCAAAATCGTCCAGAAGACAGACTGGTTGAAGAGCCAAGGTATCCTGCGGCATCGTCAACGGAGCCCCATCTCCTTCCTCCTCCACATGGGTTTGAAGTATGTGAATAACATATTCAAGCAGAAGCAGATTGAACAAATGCCAGGAGCCTAGGTTTTTAAAAATATAAAAACAGATGGGATAAATTGTGAAGCCATCTATTAGACCTTCCTAGTCAGATGAAAAGGCAAAGGCATTGGCTAGCATTGAGATAGGAATGGGGAGATGGCACTCAGCTCTAAAAATCAACCAGTGACCTCACACTCGGAGAGTAATTGTGTTGTCCTTTACATACAGAAGTACCGTACATGGACACATTTGCATAGTTGCAGAGGACAGAACTACAGAGCCATTTCTCCCACTGCTTTGAACTTCCCCAAGCAGGTCTTGCAAAGGAAGGAGTTACAACTGCATGGTTTGCACAACAACAGGGCTTTCCCCCTCTTAGCTGCTCCCTGGTGAGGAGCTGTTGGGTGAGTCCCAGAGCTCTGGGTGAAATCAAGATGTAGTTAAGAGAGGAAGTACATCTCAGAAAACCTACCAGTACTTATCAGCACTATTGTAACAGGCAAGGAGTTGCTGACTCTATTTGTATTTCCAGAGGGTAGTAAATGAACTGGCAACAAACCTCCCTTTGTTTTGCAGGTGACTGTTGTATGGATTTGAAGTGCCCCAACACCTACAAACATCTCTGTCTAGATGCACCAAGACTGACTTTAACTGATTTTAAAATGGTCATCCTGGAGCAAAGAAACTTCAAATGAAAACTGCACAAGTTTGCACCAGTACAAAGTGGTTGGGTTTTTTTGTTTTGTTTTGTAATAATATTTTATTCTTTTTCCCATAGAGAAAGTAATTTGTTGCTCAACAATTATATTCCATTTCAACAAAACTAGTGACTTCCCGCTCACCCAACATCAACGTTTATAACTCAAATCACGAACAACTGCATTTTAAGGTTTCCATCTTATCTAATTTCACACTCTCTAACATGTTTCTTAATGTATTCTGCTGTTTTCTTACACTACAAACCCCGCTGTGGTCTTTGCATATGGGAAATAATTTTACATATAGACTAGGAATGGTTTCCAGTCTTCTTTAAAAGATTCTAAATCTGTATCTTTTATCAAGTGCTTTGTTTTGTTTTTGAATCACACTACATGTGTCAATCAGCTTACCAGTGCCAGAACGTGTTACCATCAAAGCTGTTTTGTGGTCACTGTAACACAGCTATCACTGTCTGTACTTCCTGCATTTCATTTCCCTCTTGCCTTACTGTTTACAACAAGAATGTGGAATATGATGCCCTCCAGATGTGCATAGTTGAACATCAACTCTCAGCAGCCCAAATCAGCATGGCTAATAGCCAGGTACGGGGCTTGGAGTCCAACAACATCTGGAAGTTTACAAGAGGTGCATCTTCAGCCTTCACAGGAAGTTGCATAATGAAGATGCCAGGCACACCTCTGTGGGGAAGAATTTCCACCACTTAGAGGCTGCCACCCCAAGCTTCTGAGGGTAAGGAGCTACCCCCTCTGCCAGTCTTGGCACCCAAAAGGGTCTGTAGGGAAGCAGGTGGTCTTTCAGGCATTTACAGTATGTGCACCATCCGTCATATGCACAGAGCAATGTACAACGCCTGCTGGGTTGAATGGCCTGGGTTGCCTGCCTCTCTTTGTTCAGTTACTAGACTTTCCCAACAATGCATCTATTTTACTTTTGGGGAAACGTGGTTAGGCAGGAAGAAGAAGAAGAGTTTGGATTTGATATCCCGCTTTATCACTACCCGAAGGAGTCTCAAAGCACTAACATTCTCCTTTCCTTTCCTCCCCCACAACAAACACTCTGTGAGGTGAGTGGGGCTGAGAGACTTCAGAAAAGTGTGACTAGCCCAAGGACGCAGCTGCATGTGGAGGAGCGGAGACACGAACCCGGTTCCCCAGATTACAAGTCCACTGCTCTTAACCACTACACCACACTGGTTGCCCAGGCCAGCAACAAACAAGTATCACTGCTGCCAACACAATGTCTGAGAAGGATGGGAAGCGCTACTACTGGTAGTAGGGCCAGCATTAAAGGCAGAAATTGAGGTTCTAAGTATGGCAGGCTGATTTATGCCATGCCTGACTCTGAGCAATCCATATTGTTCTTAATTGCATGGAATAAAGAGGGGGTATTTGTTGTGGGATCCGTGCTTATGACGCATGCAAGCTTTTTTTGAAGCCTCCACGTGACATAGCTGCCATCCAAATGCCAACCTTCCTCATTTAATCTGGATTTACACTTTCTGGGGGAAATCCGATCGCCCCCCCCAAACCCATCAACAATCTGTTTGCAATATCTCCACAGCCCTTTTGCAATATGAAGGCCCCCTCCCCACCTGAAAGCAGACTCCTCTTCCATCGTGGGCCTCAAGCGCACAAGTCATAAGCACACACTGAGGCAGGTGGCTCATTAGATGAGAGTCCCGCCCTCATGGCGCAAGGCTCCTTGTTCAAGATCCCAAGTTCTTGACCACCAAATATGTTTTACAGCAGAATACGACCTACAAAAGACCATCACAGGACATCACTGACCAAAGCTCTCAGTGTGGCAGAGGGTCATTGCCTTGCTGACAGATGTCAAGAGGAAGTTCCACCTCAGCTGGAAATTAGCAGCAAGCTTTCTGAACTCTTCTTGATTCTTGCTTGGCTGCAAAGAGTCACACAAAGACATTTCATTGTAACATGGCCCCAAAGACTGCATAGACAAATGCTTCAAACCTATACCAGCCTCCCTGAGAGTTAAGTCCCACTAAACTCCAGTGAGTTCATTTTTGATATGATTAGGTGTTTGGGAATATAAATGTAGTACTTTTCTTCCACTATGGATAAATTTCTTCAGACCTGGGACAGCTGTCTAGTGGTTTCTGGCATACCATCAGGATGTGCTTATAAAGAAATAGGAGCTGCTTTAGTGAATGAGACTTTGGGAACAAGGTTGAACGTATACCTGCATTTATGTTCATGTTACAGGTAGGTAGCCGTGTTGGTCTGTCCTAGTCAAAACAAAATTAAAAAATTCCTTCCAGTAGAACCTTAGAGACCAACTAAGTTTGTTATTGGTGTGAGCTTTCGTGTGCATGCACACTTCTTCAGACACTGCATTTATGTGTTTGAGATCATACTGAAACGTCCCTCTATTTTAGCATTGATCCTCACCCACACTCCAAGCACACAAATATTTCAGTTCAACTACTTTCAACTAGTGTAGAAACTTCTCATATATATACACATATGAGTGTGTGTGTGTGTGTGTATGGGTCATTGTACAAAGTATGCAGTGGGGATGGGTTGACCTTCTCCAGACCAAGGGCTATATTTCTGCTAATCAACTTGCCAGGGACCTCATGCCCGCAGTGGGCAGAGCCAAATTGACACTGGGAGGAGGGCAAAGTGGACAAGTCCAGAGCTGGTAGTGAGCAGGGTCACCCTATTCTCCCTCCTTCACCTTTTTCTCATATCAATGCACACACACCAGCTTCATTTCAGGAGCATCACCGTCTCTCTCGTGAAATAAACACAGTATCTCTAAGACCGCCTAATTTTGTACCTGAATCACGAAAGCCTCAAGGTCCGAGGACAAACAATTTAGCAAAACCCTAATATCTGTCGAAGTGTCCAGTGAAGACATCAGATTATTCAAGCCTATAAAACAAGTGAATATGCACTGGCTCGTAGATGACTCAAGGCTGTTCCTTAGTTTAAATCTCTTTATACTTAACAGAGACAAAACATATTAAAAACAACTATATGAAGACAATATGTTTTCTTATTCACTTCTAGTTAAATAGGATCTTGTTTTTATAGCCTGTTGATTCCAAACTTCACTGCAACCTCTACGGAGAACTAGGGCTTTAGTCAATCAATGTGTGTTTGTTCTTATATGTGAGAAATACTGTGCACAGAGCAGCCGAAATTCAACATTTTTTATGTTCAATTCATTTGAGTGAGATTAAGAATCAACTTAGTGTTCCTACTGAATCCAGCTTGGGCTGGACCATGTCAACTGTTGTTGTCACATGAAAATGTAAGGCAGGGAAACCATGAAAGCTTAGTCAATGAAAATGTTATTCTTTGATGCAAAGGACTGCATCATATGATACTTTGATGTGTAGGACTGCATCTCTGTACTAAGGTTACAGTTATTCAAGGCACGCATGTCTTGTGTCCGTTGATAAAATTATGACTTCCCCATTCACATACAAGCAAGAAGCTTTGCCATGAATATTATCTACTTTGATCAGTTAGGTCTTCTGATATTAGTGTACAACAAAGGGTGTTAGTTCAAGTAGCAACATATAATTTCAACAGTGATGTGGCATGAAAGTTTTCCTATTTCATCAGTTCCTTAGTAAGAACGCCAAAGGCAAACACAGTATTAGAGCAAGCTTGTCAGTTTAAAAAAAAATCACTAAATACAGGTAAAATGGACAAGAGCACTTTCTAGGGCATGAGAAAACTTTCCAGAGCAAACTGAAAACTTTCTGATGCAAATTGCCCTAATTTGCACAGGAAGTTCTCCCAAGTGCTAACTTCCTTTCATCACAGCCATGCCCACTGTAATTAATATGAGGAGAAATCTTATTAGTCATATAAAACTTCAACAAGAGGTCCAAACCAAACCAAATGTTACAAAAGAATTTGGAAGAAGGACATCCACATTTGAAACTAAGAACAAACTGTGAAATAATCCTCATGTGATATCCACATAAGGAAAACATTTTGTATCAAGGAAAGAGGGAGAGGCTCTCTATCAAATTCTAGCAGAAAAAGTGAACAAAGTACTCCATCAAATAGGAAAATAGTAAGAGCCTGTGCTGCTACATTTCAGCTCTGTGCCACTTTCAATTTCATCCACATTTCTAAATGCAATTTGCAGCGAGCTTCCAGGAATGTCCGAAAACCCCTGAGTAATGATTGCGTTCATGTCCGATTTCAAAACATTGACCCTCCTGCTGTTGTTCAAGACTATTCTCATGGTCTGTAAATGAAGAGAGAAAAAGTGCACATCATTTATGTCTTGGGAAAAGCAAAAACAAAACAAATAACCCGACTCACTTTCAAAGGGTTTAATCTCAGTATACAGCTAACACTGGATACAACCCAGGCTTATCAGATTGCTGATGATCCCTCTCACCTCCTCATAACACACAATATCATCACCATTATCATGATCAATTACCATATTTTTCGCCCTATAGGACGTACCGTCCCATAAGGCGCACCTAGTTTTTTGGGGGGGAAATAAAGGAAAAAAATTCTATTTCCTTGCATTCCTCACTACTATGAGCTGAATAAAGAGCATGAAATCCACACTCGACTGCAAGTATATTTCACTTTTGTACTCAGCAAGGAACACAGGGGAAATGATTTTCGTACTGCTCTGCATTACAGCTTACTTTCCCCACCAACCTGCCCAAGTCCTCCACCGATCCCACATTCTGTCCAGAAGGAGGCAGCATCTCATAACTGCACTATGTCCACCAACACAGCACAACTGTAAACATAGGCCTGTGACTGATCCATCCTAACAGAACGTTTTTGTCAGCTAATTCATTGTGAATGACTTTGGCTTTCACCTTTGGGATACATACCTTTGCCATGTTAGCAAGGTAAGTCTTCCTCCGAAGTCTTTTTATAAACAAAGTCACCTCTGAGAGGAAAGGAAGAAACAAATGATCACGATTCACCACCACTTAATTCTAAACGACTTGTGTTACAGCCTGCATTACCAAACAGTTTGAACAGCTTGTATCTATGAATATTGACCCTGCTTTTCAAGTTCACATTTTCCAATATTGACCGTGCTTTTCAAGTTCACAATACTTGAACATACCTTTGATTTTAGAGGCACCCAACAACGGTGGGAGGTCTTCCATAGTTGCGAGCAGCCAGCTTTTAATATTTTTGCTGAATAATCTGACCAGTTTGAGGTACTGTATAGAGACATCTTCCAGAAAATCATGAAGCAGAATCTTCTCCATTTCCTAAAAGTATTGGATAGTTCTTACCCAAAGGCAAATGCAATGAACACAACATGAAAACAGATTATTTCCCAACAGATTGTTCCAAACCACTGAAGTGACTAGGAATTACTTTCCTCTTGAGGATTAAATACAGCGACCCAGTTCAGACAATTACTTAAACCATGGTTTAGGTTTACGAGATTAGGAATTACCACAGTGAGCCCCCTCTCCCTTTTAATGTGCAAGAGAAAAATGAAAGCTTCTGCTTTCACTTTAGTAGAAGCCGCAATTCCGCATTACATTACAAACAGTTCTGCATTACAAACTTGGAGAAGCGTGATTTCTTGCTGTAACTAGGGTTGGACGAGAATCCATTTTGCATTTAAAGCTGAATATATCAAATCAGTACCTTCTGAAACAATATGCAAACCAACACACATCTTTCCTTAGAAATCTGCACTTACCTGAATTTTGCAATGAAGTTCTCCAACCACACAATGTTCACCAAAAATATATATATTCATGTATTATAAATAAAGATGTTAGTGAAAATAACCTACAAAATGCATATTGTTCAATAACATACAAAAATATGTGTGTTAGTCATTAGGAGAAATTCTCACTAAAATGCTGATGAATTTTCATGAGGATATAGAAGGCAACAAGCAGCTGAATAAAGTTTGCACTTACAAATTTATATGTACAGATGCAAAATTAGAAATGATGATTACAATTTAAATAGAAATGCAAGTAACATATCTCACCATGATGGAGAAGACAGTGATTAGGTAACCTGCGTGCCTGTATAGTCTGCTGTCTTGGGGCTAACTGATTATGGGCAACCACAGAGCCCTTGATGTTAAACCTGAAACTGCTTGCAGGAGCTTTCAAGTAGAGGACTCCTTCAAACTCTCCACTGTAAAGTAGGACACATGGCCACACTAAGCAGCAAAGGGGCTCATAATAACACAGAGCGGCTCTGTGTTTGGTGTGGAGAGAACAATCTGGCTCTTAATACGGCTAAGACCAAGGAATTGGTGGTGGATTACAGGAAAAAAAAGGCGGACATTCAGCCCTTGTATATCAACGGGGAACGGGTGGAGAGGGTGGCGGAATTCAGGTTTTTGGGAGTAACTATCGATCAGGGCATGACTTGGAGCGCACATACCACTGCTCTGGTGAAGAAGGCCCAGCAGAGAATTTATTTCCTCAGACTTTTAAAGAAGAACAATCTGAGTGAGAGACTGCTGGTGTCCTTCTACGAGGCTCCATAGAGAGCATTCTTACATACTGTATTTGTGCTTGGTTCTCCAGTTGTACAGCTAGGGAGAGGAAGGTGCTCCAGAAGGTCATAACCACAGCCCAAAGGATTATTGGTCATCCTCTCCCATCTTTGGAAGAACTGTACGGTTCCCGTTGTCTTAGGAAAGCAAATAACATCCTGCAGGATTCATCTCACCCGGGACACAGTCTGTTTGCACTACTGCCTTCTGGCAGGAGATATAGAAACATCAAGTCAAAGACAAATAGACTGAAAAACAGTTTCTATCCAAGAGCTGTGGCCTTTTTGAATGCTGTAACTCGATAGTGTGACCTGGGAGTTTGATGGGTGTTGGTGTGGGTGTGGCTGGAATGTGGTTTGTTTGGTTGTTGTTGTTGTTTTGCTTTTGCTGTTTTAAGGGATGGCATCCAATTTCGTTGCACTTTGTGCAATGTTGCACTTGTGTAATGACAATAAAGAATCTATTCTATTCTATTCTATAAGGTCTCCTCATAAGATCTCCTCAGAAAATCTCAGTGCCAGTGTGGCTTCGTGGTTAGGGTGCTGGACTAGGTCCTGGGAGGCCAGGATTCAAATTTCCACTCACCCATGAAGCTCACTGGGTGACCTCAGGCCACTCACTGTCTGTTCTTAGCCTAACCTACCTCACAGGGTTGTTGTGAGGATGAAATGGGGAGGAGAACCATGTACACCACCTTCTGAAAATCACAAATGAGCACCAATCATTGGAATACGAGAGCAGCCCTTCTGGGGTTTCTTTCTCCCCAAGTGAGGTTGAGATGATGAAGGACTAGGAATGCAGCCATCCCCACAAATCCTGTACGAATATACAAGGTTTCTCTGTCAACCAGGGGCCATTCAAGCCATACATGTATTAGCTGCAGAAGCAAGGAAATGCCCATCTGGTTGAAGAACTTCGTTTTTATCTGCACACTTCTGCCCCACTTCTTCCAAAGAAGGTCTGACTCAAAGTTTGGGAACCTCTGGTCTAATATATGAAAGGTGGTACCTGGAAGAGCTGCCTGTCGTAGCATTGAAACAGCTGGCAAACATCTGCCTGGGACATGAACATTATTGCGTCAGGCTTCAGAGACTTCCAGAAAGAACTGAAGAGCTCTTCCACCTAAAGGAGCACATACTTAATGAATTTTCACTGCAGCATTGAAGTCATTTATTGTCGGGAAAAGAAGCTTAAGGACATTCGCTTAGCCCAGAACCCACCATGTGCTTCTGCCGCCTTCCCAGATGTTGGGAATCCCCTGGAATGCTTCCTTCCCCTAATGCAACGGCCACACAGCTCCTGAACATGCATCTCCACATAATGGTGGTGGGCTGGGGGGGGGGTAGAAGAAGACTTGCTCTACTCATGTTTGGCTTAAAAATAAATAAATGTCACAATGCAACTGGCCTAGAAGTCAGAAGTAAAATATCGGCAGTGGTCCCCATTGTTTCCCAAAAGGAGGCAAAATAAAAGTCTTGGGAGTCTAAAGCGTATTATATTAGCAATGAAATCTAGAAAACAAAGAGGTTACAGGACTGTTCATTTTGCCTGCCTGATAATCAAGAAGATTTGGGATAAAGTAGTTGGAGTAATGAGATTTACGGGAAGGAGGAAATTCCATTGATGGCTACAATCTTATATATATGCACGTTTCCTTGGGAGCAAAGGCATGCCCCCGCTCCGCAAAGCAAATAGCATCTTAAGAACATGAGAGCCCTACTGGATCAGACCAAAGACCCACCTATTCCAGCATTCTGCTCCCACAGTAGCCAGAGTTGCCCAAGCCTCTTTCAGAGGAGGTATTTTCTTCAGGACCACAGCACAGAAAGAAAGAGTTGAATTCCTCCTCCCTGCCTCCTGCAGTCCTAATAATTATCAGCCTCTCTCACCATCTGATATTTGCATTTTAAAAACTAAAACAAACCTATGTGGCAAGAGCAAAGACATATTTAATCTCACATCACCTTTGGCCTAAATACAGCCAGAGAAATTATGTGGAACTTCCTATCAAATAAACATGGAATGGGTTGATCTGAAGGAAGGCTTACGCAGACGCAGGGACCTAACACAAACATCACACCTACCTGGTCAAGATCCTTGTTTTTTACATTCTGCAACACTTCCTGGCAGTGGGTGCAATACGCATCAGCAAATAAAGAAACCTGGAATATATACAAAACAAGGCAACATGAAAGCACCATGGTCAAGAATTCATAATTGCTCCATTCATTCAGTCTTCAAAGAACCATGCAACAATCTACAACCAAAACAGGCCCAAACAGGCCAACCCTATCATAAAAAAATCTATTCAATAACCAGAAGCGGACTATTGCAACTCAGAGGTTTGGGATAATAAAAATAGAAGATCTTACTTGTCAACCTTAAAGGGACAAGGGTGTAGGTTTCCCTTTGGGATAATTTCCACAATATGGGGGCTACCACCAAGAAGTCACTGCTTCTTACAATCTTGCTGTCCTTGGTGGCAGTAGCCACAACAGGGTCTCATGACTTGATTTGATCTCAGCTCTGGAAGGGTTGCTATGCTATGAAACATACCATTTTACAGGAATATTTCTTTTCTAGCTCCTGCTCCCATGAAGAAAATCTCCTGAATTCAGGAAGTGGATATCCAACTGCTTCTTGGTCCTTCTGCAAAACGACAACAGTTTATTAAGTTTACAACACACACTTACAACTATGTTTATTACTACTGGGTGGCACAACATTGGGAAACAACAGAGTGGGGTCCTTTGGCATTGGTGTGTATTTGCAACAGCCACATCGATCTGGGGCAACCTTGACATGAAGGATTTTTTGGGTGGATTGGACTGTCGTTGTGCTTTTACAGAGTGTTTCCAGAGCCACTCCTATCTAGTAATCCAACTCGCTTTCCCATTAGCCTGATCAAAGGATTCTCACACTTGGTTTGCTACTCTTACACAAAATACATGGGCATCACTGTCAGTTGTGAAGTGCACACCCATGTATGGCTAGCTCCTGCTTGTTCCTTTGCTAAACTGCTCCAGGGCTTGAACAGAAAGCTTTCTTGGGAACATGATGTGGGGCAGTCAATCAGCACTGCGCATAGCCAGCTTCTGTTTCAAACTTGCAAATCTATCCCCCCACCCCACTCCGAATTCCATCATGGAGTAGAAAAGAGACTACTGGACTGAACACAGAAGAGGCAGTTTCAGAGTGAATCTAGGGCTCCAAAATTGTTATGCCTGACTTCACCTTTAAAAAGGTATGAGCAGCAAGTCACACTCTTGTATTTGGTTCTATGAGTCTATGTTTCACAAGTGATGCAGCTGTGTACTTAAAGGTAGCAGCAGAATCTCCCCTGAGATCGACTAACACAGCAGAGTACATGGACTGAGGTACAATAATGATCCTACCAGGAAGCAAGCAAAGAAATGGGTCACCACACTTAAAGTCTCTCGCATACAGGATTTAATTATGCGCTTACTGATTCAGTGCCATGGCTCCTGCCAACTTCCTACAGCAGAATCATAGCCAGGAAGAAAAATGCTTTTTTAAAAAGCGTTCTCAGCAGGTTGCATTTCACTGATCCATCACAGACGGATGTTTTAACAGTCCTTGGCTCGTAGCCACCTCGTATTAAATCTGCTTTGAACAAATACTCACTGTCTCTTTTCTGCAGCCACTGCTCTGATAACTTGCCGCATTCTCAAAACTGCAAACCTCCCCACTGTGGTAGGACAGACAACAACAAAACCTACTTTGAAATAGCTCTCTTTGGTTAACTATTTCTCTACAATGTTTGAATCAGGAGAGGCTGCGAGTGTATGAACCAATGCCTGGGTGTTGTGATGGGCTAACAATCTCTCTGAATCCTTGGCAGCAAGTGGTTCCTGGGTTCAGAAATTAGTTTGTTTGCCTGTTTGGGGCAGGGTTGCATTCCTTATGAAGGAACAGGTACATAATTTGGAGGGCGCTTCTGGAATCATCTTTGCCACTAGAGGCCAAGGAGATCTCAGTGGCAAGGAGTGCCTATTACCATCTTCAGCTGGTATGACAGCTATGTTCTTTCCTTAACATGGGTAGCTTGGCCATTGGCAACCTCACAATTAGATGGCTGGCATGTACTGTCGGTGGGGCTGCCTTTGCATCTGGTCCAGAAACTGCAACTAGGGCAGAATTCGGCAGCTAGGATGCTGAGAGGAGCTCTTAGATATTTCATCCATGCTGAAAGAACTGCACTGGCTGCCTCTTTGCTAGCTCACCAGATTCAAGAGCTTGCTGCTGACATGTTATTTAATTTATTGTCTATTAAATTTATGCTTTGCTGTTCTTCCCCACATGGCAAACACATCCCTGGGGAAACCCAGCCAATAATACATTTTTATTATTATCCCCGATAAAACAAGGCAATTAAAAATGAAATAAAGACGTATTTTAAAATACTTTAAAACAATTTAAAGCATCTAAAAAGCACCACAGAAGTGGTGGCACCTCCCCTCTGAGCTTCATGCATGGATTTTGCCAGGTCAACCTTGGCCCCGGGTGTCTACTGACCAGGGAATGCCTCTGTTTTCTAGTTCCTATCAAACGGTAAATCCTCTTCCTATTTTTGCCTTTGGGGAAACGCTTTGTTAACATTTTGTTAACATTTTGTTAGCGTGCTAGAGCTGTCATCCTTCAGGATTCAGCTATTTATAACTCAAAGCTCTGTGGGATGGTGGTTCCATCTTGTCTGGAGTTGTTGTTGTTGTTCAGTCGTTTAGTCGTGTCCGACTCTTCGTGACCCCATGGACCAGAGCACGCCAGGCACTCCTGTCTTCCACCGCCTCCCGCAGTTTGGTTAGACTCATGTTTGTAGCTTCGAGAACACTATCCAACCATCTCATCCTCTGTCGTCCCCTTCTCCTTGTGCCCTCCATCTTTCCCAACATCAGGGTCTTTTCCAGGGAGTCTTCTCTTCTCATGAGGTGGCCAAAGTATTGGAGCCTCAACTTCACGATCTGTCCTTCCAGTGAGCACTCAGGTCTGATTTCCTTAAGAATGGATGCGTTTGATCTTCTTGCAGTCCATGGGACTCTCAAGAGTCTCCTCCAGCACCATAATTCAAAAGCATCAATTCTTCGGCGATCAGCCTTCTTTATGGTCCAGCTCTCACTTCCATACATCACTACTGGGAAAACCATGGCTTTAACTATACGGACCTTTGTTGGTAAGGTGATGGCTCTACTTTTTAAGATGTTGTCTAGATTTGCCATCGCCTTTCTCCCAAGGAGCAGGCGTCTTTTAATTTCGTGGCTGCTGTCACCATCTGCTTGTCTGGAGTACATTCATATAAATGGCAATAAGCACAGGGTGATAGCCAACCAAACAGTTCCAGTAACATAAAGACTTTGGACTGAGCAACGGAACTTTACCTCCCTCTCTTCTCCTCATGTGTCCCCTATGTCTGAGTTGGGGGAACGTCCAGAATTTACTTAGGAGGTACATGGGACACACAGAGAGAGGAGAGTGAGTGTCACTGCACAACCCAAAGTGTTTGTGCTAGCAGAACTGTTTAGTTGGATACCATGGCACTAAACGCAGCCTATGATTTCACACACTGCAGCTCCCGAACCAGTTAGCATTGTAGCACGAGGGTTATGGTTTCGTTGTTCAACGTTAACAAAAAGAAAAGAAAAAAGAAACAAAAAGAAAAGTCGCCCACTTGGCTTTTAAGCTAGCAGAGGAGGGGACCGCTACAGATCAAACGAATGTTGCTGCAACATGTAGAAATGCACAGTGGAAGTGGGCGATCCATGTTATGAAAACAGACACAAATGTGTGTGTATGTACGTATGTATGTATGTATTTATTTGGTGAAATGTTGGGAGCGCACAAGCTTTTTTGGCTTGCTACTACAATTCCCATCATGCCTGACCATTAAGAAGCCATCCTGTCTGGGACTGGTGGGAGTTGGGACTCTAAGCACAGCTCAAGGGTCTCAGGTTTCTGATCCCTGGCTTACTGTGAACTTCTAAGAACTTGAGGGCGCAGTTCTATAGGGCGGCAAACGCCAGAGCTGTTAAGATTTATTATGCTTGGCCCCCAAGTAGTTTCAATGCAGCAAGAATTATTTAAGCAAGTAACAAAAAAAGAAAACAAATATGGCCGTAATCAGCTTAAAGAAGGCCTGCACAACTGGTGACAAAGGCACTCCAGTACTCCTCTATTACAGCCTGCCAAGTTTTTAACCACCATCCTGTTTTTGCAGTGCCAGCAAACAGCTGCTTCCATTGGGGTGCCATACATAACCAGCAGGCTGTATTCAGCTTGGTGGACAATAGCATGGCTTTTTTTTGCAGCCGGAGCTCACCAGAATTCAGTTCTGGCACCTCTCAGGTGGGCGCCATTGCCATTATACGAGAACAAGGGAGTTGTTCCTGGTCAGTTCTGGTACCTCTTGTTGTAGAAAAATAGGGCTGGTTGTACAAGCTGCATAGGAGCCAACGCATAGGGGCTGAGGTTCCTTCGGACCCCCTCAATACAATATTTGAGGGGCCAGCGCTCCCCCAAGTTGATGGGCATTGACATTTAAATGGTGTGCGTGTGCCGCATCATGTGATCCATTACGCAAGGTGGGCCTTACCTGCCCCCCCCCCAATATTTTATTCAAGTTGGCACACCTAGCAAGCTGGGTATAAGTTGCTTTGCGGGCAACACTTCTTGAAAAACCAGGTTTTCAAGACTGGGACTTTTCTTTCTTTCTTTTTAATAAGGCCTTGGAGCAGCTCGACTTGAATTCTAGGATAAACTGCCGGGAGTGTAGTAATACGTTTCCTGAGAATTCCCAGCCCCTGCTTCTCTGGGAAGAGAACTCCGCCCAATCGACTGTTGCTACTATAGCAACACGCATGGATGGTGCTCTCTCTCTCAATAGGCTGGCTGGCATAGCTGTCAGCTCTCGGGCCGCCATCCTGCTCCTCCTCAAGAGCCAATTGAGCTGTACGCATGGTCTCGTGGCTGCAGCTGCTGCCTAGAAACAGGGAAGCAGGAGAACTCATCCCTCTGTTCGGTGATGTCAGCACCCTAAACACCTGCTTGAAGCTTGCCATATGTAGCCACAGAACACTAGCAAACATCCATCCTGACGGTGCTCAGAATATCCTAGAGAAATGAACAAAACAAACCATATTTTTTTTTGCCTCAGAGTGCTTACAGTCTGAGTCGAATGAGAGAACTAAAGAGATGGAAAAAGGATCACAAGCAGGGATGAGGCAGCAGGGCTCACCCTGCAATGGCCTCTCCCTGCTGCCTTGTGTGAGGAAATTTGTGTGACGTGTTTTGTTTGTTTCCTCCTGAGTCTGAGGAGAAACACCACGCTTCACCTCCGAAGTCACTGTGAGGGCATGTGTCGGTAGTGCCAGTAGTGGACTCCGTGATTCCTTCTGTCACCCACATTCCCTCACATGCATCCCTAAGACCCATTGGCTGTTTCTTCTCTGTCAGCACACACACACACAACCTTCCGCCATACCACACGGGGGGCTTTTGGAAACAGGCAAGGCCCACCCTATCATAGGCAAAGTAAGGCAATCGCCTCAGGTGGCAGATGCTGGCGGGTGGCAACAGCCCTCTTGCTGTTCCTCTCTCTTGGACAGAGCTGTTTACGTTACACGGCATGCCTTGCTCCGCTTATTATGTTGTCAAGAACAGCTTGCAGAATACAGCCACAATAAATCACCAGCCTGGAGGGACCCTTTGTTAGTTGCCCTGTGATGCTTCCCAATGCATATTTGTGTCTTCCCATATACGGTAAATCCTTTTCTTTCTCCAAACCAGGGATGCGGCCTGTGGTGAGACAGGAATGGCTTCGGCCTGTGACTGCGCTGTGATCACTGCCACATGGAAAGGGACTCTTGCACTATAGCACAACAAGAGTGGGACAAGAAATAAACTGAGACATTTGTGGCATTAAAAGATTCAGGATTTCACTAGCAAGTATGGGATGTGCATTGGACTGGAGACAAAGCAGTCTGTCAACTGAACCCCAAGATGTTTGCAGGCACAATCACTTCTGAAAGTGGGCTCATTTATAACCACTCCAATAGCACCATGAGCATGAGTAATCATGAATTCACAATAAAAACGACAAATGAAGGGCCCTAAATTGAGTGGATGTTATATAGCAATGCCTACCCCAACAAGAAAAATGGACGGAACCAGTAACTAGCTGTGAGTCATGTCAGGTTACACTGCACATCCCCATCATGGTTAAAGTTATTTTTCCACAGGCTACCCAAGACTATATGCTCATTTTTTCCAGCTCATTTTTTATTTTGCTACATTTTAATGGCATTATTTCATTGTGATGGATGTTGTCTGTTTTTGTGGCTGCCCTGGGCTCCTTTAAGAGGAAGGGTGAGATAGAAATTTAATTAATGAATAAATGAAATGAAATTCTTAAGACTGGTATTTTAATACGCTTGCTGACTTTCATAAAACACCTTGCAGGTGCCTGGCTACATACTTAAAACCGCATAGGGCCACAGGAACAAATCTGCCTATGCTAATTTATATGTAGAAACATCACAGTAGGCAAGACAACTAATTTCCCACCCTAATCAGCCCAGGTAAATTTTTCCAATGAATTTGCACTCCACTGCAGTTCACACCAAACTAATTTCTCTTCAATTCGTTTATCCCCCATTAATTTCTCAGTACATTATCCTCCAAAACAATTCAACTCCCCTTAAATTATCCCCCATTCATTACCTCCAAATCATCTGGACAAAGTCATCTTAAATTAGTTTATTTCCCCAATTTAAAACCATACCCAGTATGTCCCAGGTTCAATTTTCCCCAAATTCATTGCTCACCCTCCAGATTTGGGGTCACCTTTTTCATCTATCACTAATTCAAACACAATCATTCCAAGAGCAGAAATTGCTTTTTGCTAGTGGAAACACACATTTGGATTCAACCCCACGAATTTTCACAAGTAACTTGTTTCCTCCCCCCCTCCCCCCACTTGTGTAATATGAATGTAGAATATATGATTTAGTCTCCAGGCAGAATCTCCATGCTGCACAACTCAGTTAAGTGGATCATTTTGAAGCAATTTTTTAAACCCACACTTCATCCATATATACTATTGTAGGCATCTGCATCCTTCTACTGCGATGTGTAGCTCATTGCAGAAGATGTGTGTGTGTGTGTGTGTGTGTGATCAATGTGTGACAAATCTGATTTTAAGTTTAATCAGAACTTGGCAGCAGTAGTTTTGACATTTAAGAGTAAAATCTGCCGAACCGAATCTTGCTCAAACAGGTTATAACTGACAACTAGAGCTTGCAAATATATTCTGTTTGCTCAACAATGGGCATCCAAAATTTGAGTTAATTAGCAAAGAGGGTCCCACTCTGATCCCTCAGCTGTTCAAATAGCTGAATCAGTAACTGGAAAGCTATCTGAAGTCCTCTTGCCTGGGACTTCATTAAACGGTCTCAGTTAAACCAGCTGACCTTTGCAAACTTGGTTCTTCTTATTTGTTGACCGTAAAGCTAAATGTCACCCATTAGACTTGGGATTGGACCAAGACATTTTGTGAATAACAAGATCACACTGGGATAGCTCAGTTGGTACAGCATGAGACTCTTAATCCCATACTGTTTTACAGCTTCTGTTGCAACTACAAAGCAAACTGGGACCCCCAATCCTCAAAGTGCCAGGGTTATCATTATCCAACCAAATGGCATAAATTCACTGGAGATACAATTTCAGTTATCCGTACCCACATTTTGTCATGAAACATATTTAAGAACCAAACCTGTTCTCCCTTTTCTCAGCCAAAAGATAGCAATAGTAGGCATAGAAGGGTGAGCTCTTCTTTATCTGTATTCCATCATAATGATACCTGAAGAATAACAGACAAATTTAAGAGATTAATGAAGATGCCAGTTGCGTGGCGATCTTTCAGCCATGATCTGTAAATATCTGTCAGAGATTCAAAATATATAAATAAATGGGATACTTCCTGCGACACCTTTAACCACCTAATATGCTATGTACAACCTTGTTGATAATCAACTAAGCCAGTGCAACGAAAACTGTGGGTCCTGATGTGGTTCTGTTGGGTTGCACCAGGCATAGGCGAACTCTGGCCCTCCAGATGTTTGGGACTACAATTCCCATCATCCCTGACCACTGGTCCTGTTAGCTAGGGATGGTGAGAATTTTAGTCCCAAACATCTGGAGGGCCGGAGTTTGCTTATGCCTGGGTTGCACAATGAATGACATGCTCCCTTGCCCCATTTCCACAGGTCTTAGGTTCTTCCTTCCTTCCTTCATCAGGCAGACAGCACACCCTTCCTACTGGGCGACCCCATTAATAAATAAGCTCCTTCCATTCATGACAAGAGTGGGGAACCTGTGGCATTTCAGATGTTATTGGACTACAGCTGTGAACCTCCCTGGCTGCTGGCCAATGCTGGTTGGGGTTGATGAAGGATGAATTCCAACAACATCTGGAGGGCACAGTTTCCCCATTATTGCTCTATGTCACAGCTTAAATTCTATTCCAATACATACTGCCTAGAATATGGGTGGCCAAGGTATGTACTCTGATGTTTTAAAATACAGCTCCCATCAGTTGTAGAGCAGTCCCTGATGTTGACCCAGAAGCTGCAGCTTTGAAAAGCAGGGATGTGGCTGCTCACTGTGGCAAACGATCATCATTATGTTACATTGCTGCTGAAAGATTTACACTGGGGTGCCAATTGCCTACTGGGCTAAGTTCAAAGTGCTGGTACTGGTGCACAATTCCCTATGCAGTTTGGGATCAGGAAACCTAAAAGACCCTATCACTCCTTATGTAACCCAACTGGTCACTGTGCTCTGCAAGAGAACACCAACTGCAGATACCATCTCACCAGGAGGGCTTGTTCTGCAGGACATAGGAACTGGGCTTCTAGAGTGGTGTAACCTATTCTTCGGTTTTGTATCAGACAGCCACCCTCCCACCTACTGTATTGTCGTTTTGATGCCTTCCTCTTTCAAAAAGCCCTTTAAGGGAAACTTTTGTCCCCATCTGTCTCAGATTTGAAATTGTTTTTATATACAGAACTGTGTCAAGTGTTTTATATATGTTTTCACTGTTGATGTTTCCAGTGTTAAATGACTTTGCGATGTCTCATAGGAAGCAATTAACAAGTGGAAATAAATAAACAAAACAGCCCCAGGAAGCATGTCCATTGGTCAGTGATAATGGGAGTTGTAACCAACAGCATCTGGAAGACACTACATAGGCTATATACCTATGTCGTCATTAAAAATGGATATAAAATATAAACATGTGCAGTGTTGACTACTGATGATATATTCTTCAATGTGTTTTGAAGAGGGAGGAAAAATAAAATTAAAGGTGGGTCCCACTTCAAAATGTTTGAGAAGCACTAAGCTACAGGCCTTTGACCAAACTGCGGGAGGTAGTGGAGGACAGAGGTGCCTGGCGTGCTCTGGTCCATGGGATCACGAAGAGTTGGACACGACTAAACGACTAAACAACAACAAAAAGCTACAGGCCAGATTTTTATATGCTGCAATTTGACTTAAAACAAATAGTTTCTCTCCGATAAACATACGAAAACTGCTCTAAAGATACCATGTTTTCCAATGTGAAGCTCTGCCCCACTATTTCAAGATTTGCCAGATTAGTGATAAATTTAATTCTGTCTATAGACGCGGGTGGCGCTGTGGGTAAAAGCCTCAGCGCCTAGGGCTTGCCGATCGAAAGGTCGGCGGTTCGAATCCCCGCGGCGGGGTGCGCTCCCGTTGCTCGGTCCCAGCGCCTGCCAACCTAGCAGTTCGAAAGCACTCCCGGGTGCAAGTAGATAAATAGGAACCGCTTACTAGCGGGAAGGTAAACGGCGTTTCCGTGTGCAGCTCTGGCTTGCCAGAGCAGCGATGTCACGCTGGCCACGTGACCCGGAAGTGTCTCCGGACAGCGCTGGCCCCTGGCCTCTTGAGTGAGATGGGCGCACAACCCTAGAGTCTGTCAAGACTGGCCCGTACGGGCAGGGGTACCTTATAGATTAATGCCACATGAGGTGTGGGTGTGTTAAAAACCACAAGCATTGACTGATCCTTCTGTTCCACCTTAGAATATTTATGAACGTTAGCACCATTCAGCAGTCAACTGCCACTGGCAGAATATTAACAAACTGCAGCTACTATAAGGAAAGTAAAAAAATGAATTTAGTGTGAATGCACACACACACACTGCCTGAAGGGGAGGAGAACAGGTGTGCTGTTTTCAGAAAGGAAAAGATGCCAGGAGGTCAAGGACTGTGAGAACAGATGGGGAAGCGAGGAACAGAGACAGGGATCTTAGATGCGAAGAAATTGAAGAAAAGAGTACAATAAGCTGGGCAGAGAGAGACTCGGTGATTGACGGGGGAAATGATTTAACACCCACAGAACATTTAAGGGAAAGAGATACAGAAGAGGGAGGGAGTTGAAGATTTCTCTGTGAATATATTTCACTGTTTACAGATGTTGCTACCATGGTTTTGCATGAATGTTCACCTTCCTTATTACAGTACCCATGAACTCTTAAATGCACAACTAAGCAGCTGACTATTGACTTTTCTAATAGCCTCTAAATCTTCAATTAATACAAAATAAATGATAATGTACCTTGCACTTCCCCTTGTGCCCAGTCTTCTGGTTCCTAAGTCTGGGAACACTAACCGAACAAGCTTAAAAGAAATGCACAGAAAAAGAACAGTTTTTTTTGGGTTAGTCACACTGGTAAAATATTTGTGTGCTTCCTGTATCATCTCAGAACATTTTCAACCCATTTTCTAGTTATCACCAGGTGATGTACTCACCTGGTATTTACTGATCTGAACAGCTAGTAATTTCCCCACATTCTGTCAATCTATCTGGAATATTTTACATGTTTTACAGTGCATTCCTCAGTACACATCATCTACTCAGAAGTAAGCCACATTAAATCCTCCCAGGAATGTGTGTTTAGGACAGCAGCCTCATGCCATTTTTCACTCGACAGTTTATATCCAGAAATACGAAATGTTTACTCAAGTATGTGCATGTCTCACAGCAGTTGTGAGTGGAACACATATTAAAACCACCATACTGAATCTCCCACTGGGTCTAATTTGAACCTAAGGCTGCCATTGTATGCAGATTTAATAGGGAGTTAATTCCCATTGAAATGAGCTGTACTGAGCAATTATGAATAGGAGTGTCCTGCACATGTCTCAACACAATATACAGTACCAAGTGATTACTGAACAGAAGGGAAGATTTGTTTGATAAGTATGTACAAATATAACATCACTGATTCTCTATAATAAATGAATAGTAAAGGTAAAGGTAAAGGGACCCCTGACCATTAGGTCCAGTCTCTGGGGTTGCGGCGCTCATCTTGCTTTATTGGCCGAGGGAGCCGGCATACAGCTTCCGGGTCATGTGGCCAGCATGAATAAGCCGTGCACGGAAACGTCGTTTACCTTCCTGCTGGAGCGGTACCTGTTTATCTACTTGCACTTTGACATGCTTTCGAACAGCTAGGTTGGCAGGAGCTGGGACTGAGCAATGGGAGCTCACCCCGTCGCGGGGATTCGAACCACTGACCTTCTGATCGGCAAGTCCTAGGCTCTGTGGTTTAACCCACAGTAGTTCTACTTAAATGTATAGTAGTTCTACTAAAATCAGCTCCCAGAGGAGAAGAAACTGATACAGTTCCATCCGAAACCAATAACATTTTAAGGTAGCAGCAGCACACTGTGTATACCTTTCCAAATGTAGCTGGATTTACTTGAGTCTGGGCCTCCTGTCTGCAGTTCTCCACATACATTTCGTACAGCAGACAACGTGGCACACTGCATCCTTCACATACAAAGAAATTGTCTGCTATCCTTGGAGGGGGGAAAGAACCAAGAGGAAACAAATGTTATGCCTATTTACGTTCAGAAGATGTGGGTTGCCATGTTTACTTTGAAGGACAGAATGTTTGCAGTAGGTAAAATAAAATTATAACTTGGAATTCCTGGGTTTACAAAGCGTTTTGTGAAACAAAATTGAATTCCATAAAATTGTTAATTGTTTGAATACAGTGTCTCCATATCTCAAGGTTGTTGGTTTCACTTTGGTTGCATTCTATTTTAATGCTTTTATATTTTATTATTTCATTTTATTTCAATCTGTTTTAATCATTTAACCTTCATTTTGCCTACAGAACTTCAGTTGTCACGTGGCATTAAAATGTAGTAAATACATATATTTATGCATACTAGATCGTCTGGTCAGCTATTGGGGGGAACAAAATGCTAGATTCAGGGCTAATCCAGAATGGCTCTCTCTTCTTATGCTTCTTACTCACTAATCTGCACACAATTCAGACTAACCGTACCTGATACCAAAAACAGAAAAACCCTATTTAATAAATAAACGATTATATATATAGCCCACCTTTTCCCCATCATGGAAATTGTGGCATCTCCCATTCAGACACTGACCAGACCAAAACCTACTTTGGTTTAACAAGCTGGTTTCCTCAGACATCATACTTTTGCTCTCAGCTTATGCCCAATCAAAGGTATTACACAATAGCATGGGTGTCATTAAAAGCAGGTTGGAAGGATGCCATTTGAGGCTATCTATTCTACAACCAAAACAAACAGCACAATTATTTCCAACTTCCAAAGCTGGTGGGAACACTGAACCACATGGCAATTTGTGTTAAGAGGTTTAAAATAATAATAATAATAATAATAATAATAATAATAATAATAATAATAATGCAGCGAAATGCCCCTTCAGGAAACACTGTGACAAAATCCATGTTTGCAAATGTAGTAATTGTGAGGGAAGGGCCACAAGCTCATTGGCAGAGCACAGCATCTCAAGGTTGGGCTGGGAGAGAGACTTTTGCCCAGGACCTCGGAGAGATCCTACCCCTCATCAAAGCATGCAAATTCTGAGCTGCACAATACAATGGTCTGGAGGCAGCTGTAATACTGCACTGCGCAGAGTCTCTTGAAACTTATTTTTGGGGTGGGGTGGGGGCAGGGCCAGATTTTGGTTTGATGAGGCCCTGAGCTATTGAAGGTAATATGGCCCTTTACATGTCCAGCTGTCCTCTGTCAACAACAAATTGTTGCTGTTTTTGTGTGTTGAATATATGCTAAATGGTAATTTATGCATAGCATCTTAAAAAGTAGAGACATCACCTTGCCAACAAAGGTCCGTATAGTAAAAGCTATGGTTTTCCCAGTAGTGATGTATGGAAGTGAGAGCTGGACCATAAAGAAGGCTGATCGCCGAAGAATTGATGCTTTTGAATTATGGTGCTGGAGGAGACTCTTGAGAGTCCCATGGACTGCAAGAAGAACAAACCTATCCATTCTTAAGGAAATTAGCCCTGAGTGCTCACTGGAAGGACAGATCCTGAAGCTGAGACTCCAATACTTTGGCCACCTCATGAGAAGAGAAGACTCCCTGGAAAAGACCCTGATGTTGGGAAAGATGGAGGGCAGAAGGAGAAGGGGACGACAGAGGATGAAATGGTTGGATAGCATTCTCGAAGCTACAAACATGAGCCTGACCAAACTGCGGGAGGCAGTGGAAGACAGGAGTGCCTGGCGTGCCCATGGGGTCACAAAGAGTCAGACACGACTAAACGACTAAACAACAATTTATGCATGCAACCAGTCCATGCAGAATGTAGGCACCCTATATATAGAAATGTGCAAAGCAGAGATATTTTAGGCTAGGCGAGCTAGCAGGTGGGGCCCATTACTACAAGCTAGCAGGTGGGGCACACAATTCAGACCATACCTGATACCAAAAACAGAAAACCCTATTTTAAAAATAAACAATTATATATATAGCCCACCTTTTCCCCATCATGGAGCTTGTGGCATCTCCCATCCAGACACTGACCAGACCAAAACCTACTTTGGTTTAACAAGCTGGTTTCCTCAGACATCATACTTTTGCTCTCAGCTTATGCCCAATTCAAAGGTATTACACAATGCTATGCATGGGTGTCATTAAAAGCAGGTTGGAAAGATGCCACTTGAAGGCTATCTTCAAATGTATCACAGGAGCCTGCACAACACAAAACACTGTTGCTGTAGGTAGGTTTTATTTTATTTATCTTATATTTTGGAAATGTACATCCAGTTGTTGTTTTTCTTTAAAAAAATTTTGGAGCCCCCAAAAAAGTGAGGCCCTAAGCTGTAGCTTGTTTAGCTTATACGTAAATCAGACACTGGATGAGGAACAAACTTATTCACCAGTTTCCTCCTCCTGACACGTCATTTATCAGGTCGCTCGCTTTCTGCCCGCCCTCCCCAGAGCCAAGCAGCTCGGCTTTCCCTTCAGCTGCTGCTACTCATTGCACTCGCAGCTCGCGGGGCTAAAAAGCAGCAGGGCTGCTTATAAAGAGACGCCTCCACCTCCAGGAAATGAGGTCGTGGTGGTGCTGAGGACACCTACCACTGAGTAATGGGCTGGTATATGTTACTACAGCCGTCGGGGAAATGCTCGGCCATCCCGCTGCGCGCAGGCGTCCCGAGCCGCCCCGTCGAGGGCTCGGCGCGCGCCGCTGGTTCCTCTGCTGTTTATTTTAGAAGCCGGGCTCTAGACGTCGCGCTCGTTCGCGCCCGCCTTTGGAAAGCCGCGCCGCTCGCTGATTGGACGACAGCAGCGCTTGGCCACCTTCCATCGATCGCTGCGCCGGCTGATTGGGCCGCTCGAGCAAACCGCGCTGGTGGGGGGGGGGGGAGGGAGGGCGGCCGCCGCTTCTCACGTCTGTTGCCCCAGCATTCACACACGAAGCAGCAGCTGTTGCGTTCGTTCCCACCTGCTGTGTGGCTCATAAATAAAGCAGCCGCCGTTTGGTGGGGTAGTAAATTCCACTGAGCTCAATGGGACTGACTTCTGAGTGGGCTTGTATAAGGTTGCGTTGTGGGCCCTGTCCCTGGAGAAAATATTATTGTGAGTTCGATGGAGTTACTCTATAATGATGCCTGAGGACCTTCTTATCCCCGGAATTGTGGAGCCAACAAGAGTTAAAATCTAATAGAGGCAGAGGTGCCGACTTAAATAAACTTGTTGGTTGGTCTGATGCATAGTTTCTCAGAACTAAATCCCACTGGGTATAAATAACAGCCTGATCCCATGGTATACTCAGTGCTTTTTTCTTTTTAAAAAAATGTTTAGGGGTACTCTCATTTTGACTCAAGAAAACCACCATTTTATAGTTCAAATCTGGGGAAAATAAATACAGTAAATGGACGAAAGTACAAAGATTCATGAAATGTTTAGGGGTATATATACCCCCAGAAAAAACGCACTGGGTATACTAATGCATTTAGCCTGCAATCCAATATTAGCACTTAACCTGGGAGTGAGCTGGGTTGAATTCCTTGGGGCTTACTTCTAAACGTATATGTATAGGATTGGGTGGTTATGTGCATAGGTCCAGGTTGCATCTCTCCTCAGCACACTTAACTTGAGAGGAAGGTGCATTTTGTTACTTCAGTTATGGAAATACACTATGGGAATTAAGGAATCATACTAGGGACGCTGGTGGCGTTGTAGGTTAAACCACAGAGCCTAGGGCTTGCCAATCAGAAGGTCAGCAGTTCGAATCCCCGCGATGGGGTGAGCTCCCGTTGCTCGGTCCCTGCTCCTGCCAACCTAGCAGTTCGAAAGCACGTCAAAGTGCAAGTAGATAAATAGGTACCGCTCCGGCGGGAAGGTAAACGGCATTTCTGTGCACTGCTCTGGTTCGCCAGAAGCGGCTTAGTCATGCTGGCCAAAGACCCGGAAGCTGTATGCCGGCTCCCTCGGCCAATAAAGCGAGATGAGCGCCGCAACCCCAGAGTCGGCCACGACTGGACCTAACGGTCAGGGGTACCTTTACATTTACATTTACTAGGCTCTGCAGGGGGCTGGGCTACTGCTTTCAGGCAGGATCACCAATTGCCATTGTAATTTGCTTTCCACCTGGGGAGGCATACAGTTCAATTGCGTTCCGAGTATATATGTTGGTGTTTTGGAGGAGAATTTTCTGAACAGGGATTGAAGAATACAACATATGGCTATGTGCTGATTGCTGAAGTGCCATGGCAACCCACTGCTGTGCCATACATACATACATACATACCTAATAAAAGATAAAATAAAAGTTCTGGATTTTCTCTTACTTTTGCATAAATGCGATCTATAATTACCACGTCTACATGGGCGTAGCCAAGGGGGGGGCAGCTCCCCCCCCAGTCAAGTAAAACAATAGAAATACTTAACTAACTGACCACTCACGTTGGTTCTGCCCCCCTCCCAACAAAAGTCCTGCCCCACCAACAAAAATCCTGGCTACACCCATGAATGTCTAGGTAACAGGACAGGTTTCTTTCCTCTTCCAACTGTATCACTAATGGCAATCCACTTTCCATATTAAGACTAGCTCACATAGGATTTTTTCACCTGGGGATGTTTCTGAAGTCTCCATGGCAAGGATAATGTGCAGGACCAGACAAGACATTTCAGTGCCTGTAGCAGCAAATGGTGTGTCTCCCTTCACCCCGGTTAAGGTGCATGCTACCCAAATTATTAGGTGCATGCTACCCAAATTATTAGGTGCATGCTACCCAAATTATTTTGTCATCAGAAGCCGAAGACTCCCTCTCCTTAGCAGTTAAAACCACTATGAATAATAATTAAATTTGCTAACTGCTTCTCCTTTCAATATTGTCAAAATGGGCTTGCAAATGGTAGGGCCAGCTCCCACAATGGAGTACTGTACACACACACAGCCATCATAATGAGAGGGTCTTTTGCCTATTGCAAAACAATGGATTGCGTGGGGGTGGGACTTTAGGAGCAAGCAATAAATCAGCTTGCAGAAAGGATTTCAAACAAAGGAAAACCCCTTGCTGTCAAATTATCAAAAGGAAAGCAGAAAGGAAGGCCACTTGGTCTCACGTGAAGATGAAGAGTTTAGATATTTCATTGAACTTTGCTCTGTGTAGAGGCTATAAGCCTTGCTCTCCGTGATGTATGTAAGGCTTTGCCACTTCTTCCTTGGAGCCCCAACACAGGTAAAATGGGATAGTGATAGCAAAGCAGCAAAATGGTAATATGAAAAGTGCAGTGGGAAGAAATTAAAGGGCACAGAGGAAAAATAGTCCCTTGGTAGCATATTGCATGCAGTTGACAGGAAGCCTTTGCTAACTTGGTGCACTCCAGGTATTTTGGACTCTAACTCCCATCAGCCCCAGTCATTGCAGCAATGGTGACAGGAGCTAATGGGAGTTGTAGTCTCTAAGTAGGTGAAGGCTGACTTACCTGTTGCAGACCAAAGTTTATGGGAGGTTATTAGCTGAGCTGTTTCATTTAGCTTGCATATGTTGCAATATGGATGCACCAAAATATACAGTGGTACCTCGGGTTAAGTACTTAATTTGTTCCAGAGGTCCGTTCTTAACCTGAAACTGTTCTTAACCTGAAGCACCACTTTAGCTAATGGGGCCTCCTGCTGCCGCTGCGCCACCGCCACGCAATTTCTGTTCTCATCCTGAAGCAAAGTTCTTAACCTGAGCTACTATTTCTGGGTTAGCGGAGTCTGTAACCTGAAACGTATGTAACCTGAAGCGTATGTAACCCGAGGTACCACTGCACTACTTTTAAAATATATTAGTTTTGATACTGTTAAGAGTGGTGATTTTTATTGTGTTCCCCCTTCTCCCTGCCCCTGGAAATCATCCATGTACTTATAAATGTTTGCTGCTCTGTGGAAGTGTTATGTATCTAACAACAACAACAGGATTTTTTTTTTATCATGCCAATATCTTAAGCTTCACGGAGGCATTGCTCTGTGGGAAGCATAATGTTTTTATACTACCTGGGGGCTGGTGCAAGCATATATTTCAGCGAGGGCATATGTTGTCAATATCTGGGTGTAGCAAAATGTACTGTTTGTGTTTTACATTTTTGTTGTGCTATTCTTTTTTTGTAAACCACCCTGGGATCATGAATCAAGGGTGGTATAAAAATACCTAAATAAAGAAACAAGTTCAGTTCCACAGAAAATAACTTTTGGTATTTATGATCCAGTTTTCGCAATTAATTCATCCTAGGAAACTTATCAGGTATCCACAGAGTCTGTTTTGATTCCAGCTAAGGCTCTCTTGATATGTTCAGTGAATCCATCACAGCAATATTGCTAGCATTGGTGTGGCACTGAGACAAGAGTGGTCTAAACAGCAGAGGAAGACTTCTGTGTGTCTGACAAGAGTACTGAAGACCGATGGACTCTATAGAAGATATTGAATGTATTAAGCCCCTGCTTCAATACAAGTACGGATGCCTAGTCTCAAAGGTATGATTTGTGGGTAATGTCTATGAATAATGAAACTCTCAAGGGTTTTCTACATATGAATGGTGGTGCAATTAAAATTCCTGTCTTTTCTGAACATGTTTGCTTCCCCTTTTGGACCTTGGCCTAGTTTTGGTGTTTCCCTTTGTGGTAACATAAAGTGAAGGCACTTCCAGACGCTTACTAGTTTGGGGTGGGATTCACGTAAAATACCAGCAAATGCAGGTTACACAATTACAGCTGATTCATTGGGAGGTTTTGCGCAACAATCCTGCTCCCCGCAAAGGATGGATTTTTTGCAATAAGTAAAGTCATAGGAAAATGTGTTAGGAAAGGGTGAGATAACATTTTCTTTGACATAGTGCTATCTAATCTCTCTGAAAACAATAGGAATGAATGTTCAATGGACACGTCACCTGGAAGCACCCTGAAAAAACGTTAATGTGGATACAACACGTTCATTATAGCAAAATTTAATACATTTTAAAAAATGTTTCATTAAATGTGCATTCCAACTAGGTCATACTAACTGAGGGCATGTTTGAAAAGACTGTTTTTCCATGGGCATAGTTATGTTGGCGGGGGCAGGCTTTATGTTGGGGGGGCAGAACCTCAGTTAGTTAAGTATTTTTTTATTTTATTTTACTCGATTTAGGGAAGGGGCAGCTACCTGGTCAACTCCATTCCACATTTCAATATTTTAATTTCTGCAATGCCATTTAATCGCAGTTTAAAGGACGCAATGCTAACAATCTGCTTCCAATATATGAAGCACTGAAGCAATCAAGATCTGTTTTCCTGCTCTTATTGCATGATTTGTACACGGGAAATAGAAATAGGGAAGAAATACCAGATTCTCCATTTATTCTGTTGGAACGCATGAGACTTGGAGAGGCTAGACAAAACACATTGCAGCCGATGACTGTCACAAATGCCTGGCTTCACCCAAACACCTTGCGCCACTCTGAATAAAAAATACAAGCAACTCGTCTGTTTTCTCGTTGCTTTTGCCCTAGAGAACTTCGTACAGAATGGCTTTATGTTTTCAGTGTCAAAACCAGGCCAGATTCCAAAAGGGGAAGCAAACGTGTTCAGAACAGACAGGTACATTTTAATTGCACAATGTCAATAGTCAAGTCTCAGGCTTTTGTGTTCAGGCATAAACTAACACGGCAATCCCCTATTGCCAGAGATTCCCAAACTGTGATCTGCAGACCACAAGCAGCCTGTGAGCTTCATTCAGGTGATCTGCAATTACTACATTCCTTTTTTAAAAGTTCTTTTGTTCCACTTTTCCTTGTACATTCAAGGTAACTAACAAAAGATGTAATGCAATGCAGTAGAAACCAGTAAGCTCTATATTTTGACTCTGTGTGCTCCAAATGAGGTTGCCCAACTGTGCATGTGCAGTGCAGACTGAAACGTACACACCACCGCTTAACTGTGTATTTCGGTTTTAAACCGGACGCAAGCTGGTTTGAAAGGAAATGCATTAAACAACAGTGTTTCTCAAAAAGCTACAAGATACACATGGATTGTGGCTCATGTCATGGGTACTTGACTTTAAACACCAGAGGTGGAAGCGTGCTGGAGCCAGCGTAAATGGTAATGTGTACACAGCCTTTGTGTCTCAAAAACATCTTCTCTCAACATCCTTTCTTCCTTCATAATTGTATATCAGGGATGGGGAGCTCATGACCCTCTAGATATTGGACTACATATAGACTGTGGCTGATGGGGAACCCAACAGCTTCCAGAGGTCCATGGGTTAACCACTACTATGTAGATGGCCAAAGGATGACCTGGATTCACTTTTGTAATCCCCACCCCCATTTATTTCCAGGTTATGTTTACTGCTGCTGAGCTGGGAGTATTTGACCTTCTTTTGGAATCAGGCAAACTCATGCCATCAACAACTATTGCTGAACGTCTGGGCACCAGCTTCACTGGGATGGAGAGGCTGTTGGATACCTGTGTGGGCTTAAAGCTCCTGCGAGTGGAGAGGACGGGCAGCCAAGGTAACCACACTGGAAGGAGGAAGCAACTCAAGTTGTTTCGAAATTCTGACTCACTTGTAGCTGAAGATGACTGTTTTCAGCCATCTTATCTGCTAAAGTGTACAATGGTGCCATCAGGACGCAACTTCAGGACAGATGCCCAAATGGAGCAGGTCTACCATAACTGGAAGCAAATGAAGTCATGAACATTGCCATCTAAATCAGGGAGACACCTAAGAACCTAGAGACGCAGGAAGCTAACATTGGTCTATCTAGCTCAGTATTGTCTCCACTCTGACTGGCAGTGGTTCTTCAGGGTTTCAGACGGGGTCTTTCCCAGGAGGGCTCGTGAAAGGGGTGCACATGCCAGCAGGGGCCCCCAGACTTTTTTTAAAAGGAAAACCGGACGTTTCTGAAGAAAGTTAGAGCACAAAATGCAGAGGTAGCTCTAATGCTTCAGCACTTGGCAGGCAGCACCATTGCTGAGGATGCTTGATTACTTCATCACTGTTATTATCAGAGGCAGGAATGTTGAGCACCCTCACCTGGGACTCTCCTAGCGTAGCAGAAGACAGAGGAGGATGCAGGAGCAGGAGAATGTTTGTTAAAGCTCTGCCTGGAAGCACCTTGAAACACAAAGTACTCCGGCTAAAATCTAAGTTGTATTTTCTTAAATAATAAGCTTTTGAGCTCACCCATTAGGAAATGAAATGGAAATAAATGTCATCACAATTATAGCTAGTGAACTTGATGCTTTGCTCTTTTCTGAAGAATTACTAGTTTGTGTAGGAAAGGGATGTTCACTTGGCTTCATCTCACTACTTTCAGGGCTTTAGATCATTTATTTGTGAGTTGTTGCTTCAGACATTTTGTTCACACAGTTGCAGTTAGGGAGAAAAACTTGCCTTCTACAAAGGTGTGAAAACGTTGATTCCTTTGTTCCCTTCTATCAGCTCTTTATGGAAGCACAGAGTTTTCCAATCTCTACCTTGCTGAATCGAGCCCAAAGTCTCAGTATCATCATATGATGTTCTTCTCTGAAATCACATTTCTGAATTTGAACTACTTGACAGATGCAGTGAGGTAAGAGGGTGTGTGTGTGTGTGTGTCTAGCTCTGTGTACTCATGTAGAAAATGGCTCTGTGCAATGAAATGCTGAACTGCCTTTGGAAGATGATTGCCATGAGGAAAGTCAAGATGTCAACTGTTGAAAGTGATAAAGCTAAGACTGTGTAGACATTTTTAGCTTAAAATGCATCTAAGTTGTTCTTTTTCTCAATTCAGATAAAAGCTGGCTTGGGAAAGAACCCCGTGATTTTTACAGCTACAGTTTAAAAGTGTTACTCAGACTCTGGTCTCTGGCTGTTTCTGGACTCCAATTCCCATCTTTCCTTGCTAGCAAGACCAGTGGTCTGGGATGATGGGAACTATAGTCCCAAAACAACTGGCAACCCAAGTCTGGGAAACACTGGTTTAAAACAATACATGTAATCGTTTGTGCAATGTATTCTGTTTTCAGGTGGTGGTGGGGAACATCTGGAATTTTCTTTGGTCATCATGCTACCTAATTTTCATTCAATTGAAACAAATTTTCTGTTTCAGGCAAGGAAAAAGCCCAGTTGGGAAAATATATGGCGATTCATCTAGCAATTTATTTGATGTCATTTTTAGGTAAAAGCAGGGTGTTTTTTTTAGAGGCGGGAGTTCTTACCTTTGAGGAAATGGGTGTTTGCTTGGACAGGCGGAGTCCCCCCAACCCCAGGTGACCCCCGAGCGGAATAATGACTCAAGAAAACGTGCTGTGGGATTAAAACTGGCCACAACTTTATTAAGTTTCAGATGTAGGGAGACCTTGGCTCAGGCATTGGGCGTTTATCCTTCCCAGTCCCCAGCCGGGGATCTGGGAGACATCAGGGTTATCCAGAGTGTGTGGGGATTGGGCTGGCTCTGGAGAACATATGTTCAAGCAGAGAACCCTCCCCCCGTTTCGCCGCCGTTGGAGGGGAGAACAATGACAACCTCTCGGCGTATGGCCAATGCCTCCCCTCAACGGGGAACCCTGTATCGCCGCCGCAAGGGGGGTGTGGGTCACTGGTTCATGCCCCCCCTCCATTTAGGAAGATAAAGGATTCCGCCCAAGGCCTGAAACTGCCAAAGTTGTGATGTTTTGCTACGGAAAAGGCAAAACCTGCCAGTGCAGGAAAATTCCTTTCTGGCCCTGACGTAGCAGCGCCTGCGCACCTGTGGAGAAGAGGTTAATCTGCAAAAGAAGACTTAACTGGGGGAGGGGAGGGTGGGAGAAGCTCTGGAGCCAACTGACGCTTCACAGGTAAGATTCACTTTCTGTTGTGTGGGCAGGATGGTCCCTCCCCTTACCTGGCCATTCCCCTGGCAACGTCTCCCCAGGCGGGAATGGGCGATTGGCTGAGGTAGGCGGAGACCTCTAGGTATCCAACCTGGGGAGGATGAAGCCAGCCCGAACTACTAGGAGTCACACTGGGATCTGGGGGGGGGGCTTCGCTTGACCACACAAAAGGCGCCCGCCCCCATTTGATGTGGGGAGCGGTCATTCTTGTCAGACTGAACAATTGTGCAATTGTAGGAAACATCTCTGGGAATGTGCATACAATCCAGACGTCCTCCATTGTCCCCCTTTCTGGCATTTCTAGTATTTCTCCAGCAGTGCTGGGAACAATGTTTTCAGTGGCCTTTGCCTGGGATTTGCACATCCTGGGCCAATTCTGGTTGGATTTCAATCACAACTGGTTAGAGCACCTCAGTCACCCAGACACCATGAGACCGGATGCCATGGGGCTCTTGCAGATGACCTATTTATTGAGCACTTTGGTTGTTAGGAGCATTCCTGTTTGTCTGGTTGTGGGGAGATTACCGTATTTTTTGCTCTATAAGACTCACTTTTTCCGTCCTAAAAAGTAAGAGGAAATGTGTGTGCGTCTTATGGAGCGAATGCAGGCTGCACAGCTATAACAGAAGCCAGAATAGCAAGAGGAATCGCTGCTTTCGCTGCGCAGCGATCCCTCTTGCTGTTCTGGCTTCTGAGATTCAGATTTTTTTTTCTTGTTTTCCTCCTCCAAAAACTAGGTCCGTATTATAGAGCGAAAAATACAGTATTTGACAATGAACATTCTTCCTGCATCCTTCCTGATTTTCTTGCAGGCTGTTCATACATCCTTCCAGATAATCAGGTTATTCCTTCCACACATTTCAGTTTATTTCCCCATCATTTTCCAAACTGCAAAAAAAAAAAAAAAATCACTTTCTTTTTTAAAGTGGGTCTGTTGCACTGGAACATTTTATTTCATTTTAATTCTGTAAAACTGAATTTCCCAGTATGCTCTTCAGTCCCTCCTGTAAACAATGACAGTATAGAGGTGTCATATATAGCTTCAGGTGTCATATATAGCTTCAATAAGTCATATATAGCTTCAGGCCAAGAATTTCCTGAAATCATTCCTTCCAGCACAGCAGTTGACAGAGCAACTGGGGCTTCGTGGTGTTTGCCCAGAGCGTGATTGTGTGATTGCCTAAATTACAAATCAGGCTACACCTGGGTATTGTTTCCGCTTACCTGCCAAAGTCATTTTGAATCTACAGGTCAGAGGGCGAGATGAAAAGGTTCTCTCACAGCATGAATTCCAATTGGCATCTGTGCGGCAGAGATGTGATGGCTGCCTTCAATCTTTCTCACTTCCCACTCATTTGCGATTTGGGAGGTGAGTTCCAGACAGGAGCAAGCTGAAAAGGCCTCAGCTGTCTTTCTTTTTCTGCCTGTCAACATCATGTGGGTGTCTCGTGTGTGCCCTATTCTGGAACAGTTTAGTCATTAACAGCAAAAAGATTCAAAACAAGACCACAAAAATTCCAAAGATGGGTGATAACAAGAAGGAACATATTGTTTCTGCTCTCCTGTTGAAAACATCCTTCAGTGGTATTACTCTATTTGCCTCCCAGCTGTTTTCCTCTATTAGTTTGCATATGTCAGGACATGTTGAGTAATTTTTTTGGTCAAGTTCATCTTCTTCATCTTCTTGTCCTGCAGCGTTCTTCTCCTTGACCTGTCTCTATCTGTTTTGAATCTGTTCATTCTAACCTAGTATTTCGCAAACTTGGGTCCCCAGCTGTTTTTGGATTACAACTCCCATCATCCCTAGCTAGCAAGACCAGTGGTCAGGGATGATGGGAATTGTAGTCCAAAAACAGCTGGAGACCAAAGTTTGGGAAACGCTGGCTCTGTCTCCTCCCCAAACTTGACATCGAGGGTTATCCTTGCTAATCATTTCTGCTTATCCTTATTCTACCTGCAGTCTTTCCCCCGCCCTCCTTGTACGCAGTGAATTGTGGTTGCTTTCCCATGGCAATATCCTAATCTTGTAGTTTGATTTTGAAATGTTCTATTCTATGTTATGCTACTCCAAGATATTATGTTACAGTGGGGAGAGAATATGGATGCCATAAATAAATAAAAAAAATATTGCTCCATTGTATTGTGTTCACATATTTTGATCTGCTTATATCCTGAATAATCTGTGGCACAAGTTCAATCCTGTCAAGTCCCTGAAGCTACTCAGGTGGTGATGTGTGTCCCTGCCTATGAAACGGTTGGAGAGGCACTTACCTGAGGTGATGTCCTGATATTTTGCACAGGAGTGTTTGAAAGAAGCTTTGAGATGCACAGAAGTTTTCATTTTTGTTTTTCCTTGTTCTCCCTTGAAGGAAGTGGCTGCGGCTTGGCTAAAGAATGCATTGCATTGTATCCAAACTCTACGGTGACCATTTTCGACTTACCCAATGTGGTGGAAATGGCAAAGAAGCATTTCGTATCCCCAGAAGAACACCGGATTACTTTCCATGAGGGTAACTGTGGTTTGTTTTGATGTGTCATTACCAGGGATACCATGTTCTAGGGGCTGAGCCCTCCCCCCCATATTTTTGGGGAGGGGGCCGGGATTCTCCCATGTTCAAAGGAGGAGGAGGAGGAAGAAGAAGAGAATAATAATAATTTGGATTGGATATCCCGCTTTATCACTACCCGAAGGAGTCTCAAAGTGGCTAACATTCTCCTTTCCCTTCCTCCCCCACAACAAACACTCTGTGGGGTGCGTGGGGCTGAGAGACTTCAGAGAAGTGTGACTAGCCCAAGGTCACCCAGCAGCTGCATGTGGAAGAGCGGAGACGCGAACCCGGTTCCCCAGATTACGAGTCTACCACTCTTAACCACTACACCAGACTGGCTCAGGTAGAGGAGGAGGTGGAGGCGGAGGAGGCTAAGCACCTCACAGCTCCAGTGACTAATTCCTTCTCCTCCTCTACCTGTTGCGGAGAGGAAGGAGCAGAGAACCAGTCGTGGTGGTGGGAAGAGGAGGAGGACCCCCCCCCCCGACATTGAAGCTGCACTGCCACCATGTTTGGCTCCTCCCTGGCTCCTCCCAATGTCTTGACATCACATGTGCAACCTTGGGACATTGCCCCCTCCATTCTTGCTCTCTTAGGTGCCAACTCCCTGGGACCTTGGGTGCCCAAGCACCCACAAAATTACCCATGAAGGGGCTGGGCACCCACAAATTTCAGTGCCAGGGCCAAGCTGGCACTCCTGTTCCCTCAAAAGTTGGCGCCTCAGATCATTAGATCATCTTGGAAAGGAAAGAAGGTATGGGTAGACATGAAACTTCCCATGCCTTATTATTCACCTACTAGAGAGTAAAATGGATTCAGAACAAAATCCAAGTGTGGTTGTGCTTTGAGCGGTGAATTCTGCTTCATAATTTTGCTTAATCCTTTTGTGTTAGATAATAGTCATATCCATGCCTTACATTTAAATCTCTCTTTTACCACTCTAACAGTCGAAGAGTCCTGGGAGCTTGGTTTGTTCAGGCTGCTGACCTTATATAACTACAGTTCCCAGCACTTTTAGCAAACTGTGGCGCCCAGAACTCTTTGAGGGGAAGAATGTCCTTTGAACGTGCCTTGAAGTTATGGTGTGTAAAAAGCCTTAGAAATCAAGAATGACATATTCTGCCTGCACCAGCTTTATAACCAGGGTATTTTTGAAGGGTAGAGCTCAACTATTTAATTGAACCCCTTGCTTTAATTTACCATCTACCCATTTTATTACAGGGGATTTTTTTAAAGACCCAATTCCGGAAGCTGACCTCTATATTTTGGCTAGGATCCTGCATGACTGGGACGACGAGAAGTGTGTGCAGCTGCTAACCAGACTCCACAAGGCCTGCAAGCCTGGTACATGTGTTTATAAGGCGGGACTGGCCAAAACTGCAGCTGTGGTTGGCAATAAGTGCATACCCTCCAACATTTCTCTGTTGAAAATAGGGACTTCCCATTCCATAATAATAATTTTACTATTTATACCCCACACATCTTACTGGGTTTCCCAAGCCACTCTGAGCAGCTTTGAATATATATAATAACATAATAAAACATTAAACATAAAAACCCCTTCCCTATACAGGATTGCCTTCTGATGGCTATGGGGTTGGATAACTCCATACCCGCCAACATTTCTCCAATGAAAATAGGGACGTCCTAAGGAAAAGTGGGGCATTCTGGGATCAAATCAGAAACCAGGACAGCTTCTCTAAATCAGGGGCGTCCCTGGAAAATAGGGACACTTGGAGGGTCTGTAAGTGAGCCAGAGCTCACTGTATGCATTGCCTACAGAAAGGTTTTAAAACTTGTCTTGGATTGGGTCCAGGTTGGGGTTTCACTTGTAGGTGCTTTGAGTGTCCTGGATGAACAGAAAAAGTGGGACTGAAATGTTTTCAAAAATAAATGTAGACTTTGGCCCAAAGTTGGGAAACGTGTATGTGCACAGTCATGGCTTGGGCCTTGGAACAGATAGCCCCGTTCAAGTCCTAGTTATTCTGAGCAGTCCAGAGACCAGAGGCCTCAATCATTAACTCATCTGTTGACACATTGGCACCTACAGTGAGATCTCAATGCTTCTGATTATTTTCTGGTGCTTGACGCTCCATCCCGCTACCAGTCTGCCACTATAGTCCATTGGCTCCTCCTGCCCTGGATAAGAAAATACCAATAAGGTCTGGGATTTGTAGTTGATGATGATGATTTTATTATTTATACCCCGCCCATCTGGCTAGGTTTCCCCAGCCACTCTGGAGAGAGTGTATATACGATAGGGAGGCATCATGTCTCCCTCTGTAGCTCTTACTACAAATCTTAGCATTTGCTGCATAAGTGCATTCTTTCTCTTATAAAAGAGCACCTCCAACACAATCTGACTAGAATGTCACTTCTGTATCAGGGAATTAAGTTTGCGCTGTTAACGTTCTGTTGTTGTCGGTTTTTCTCACAGTAACAAGGTTCCTGTTTCATTTGTGCCACCCCTGCCCATGTGTGTTCCTAAGCTAGGAACTCAAGGTGAATAGTTGTAGCAACTTGCATTATCAAAATTCAGTGACTATAGAAATTGCTGCACGTATGCTGAGCACATTTCAGGCAGGCTACTGGAGCGAAAGTGGTGGGGAAAAGAACATTCTATGAATTATAATTCACAGCCTGCTTTGGTTGCCACATAGATCTTCCATTTTTATACAGTAGGGCCACTCAAGGTTAAACTGCTTTTCATTTGACTTGAGCTTCTGATCCCAGGATGCTTGGAAAGATGAAGCCGAGCTCTTTGAACATGCTGTCTCAAAAGAAGTAATGGTCTATCTTTCGTTTCCCTAACTTAATGAAATATACTTTGAAACAGGTGGTGGAGTGTTAGTGGTGGAAGTAGTTCTCAACGAGGACAGAAGTGGGCCATTGGAAGCACACCTCCAATCCATGTTGATGCTGCTTCTTACCGAAGGAAAAGAGCGAACCCCTTCAGAGTACAATGCACTCTTCAGTGCTGCTGGCTTCAAGGAGGTTCAGCTAAAGAAATGCCAACTCTATGATGCCATTTTAGGAAGAAAATAATGTTTCCCCTGCATCATTCTTGTGCGTTGTCCAGAGAATGCTAGAACAATAAAACTTGTTGTTATATCATCTATTTATCTTTCGGCTGTAGACACACGTTTATTTCAAAACACCAAAACACGACACTTTTTATTTCATAAACTCCAAGGTCCCTTGCAGTAGAGTTTGAATATCAAGATACAGTGGTACCTCAGGTTAAGTACTTAATTCGTTCCGGAGGTCCGTACTTAACCTGAAACTGTTCTTAACCTGAAGCACCACTTTAGCTAAAGGGGTCTCCTGCTGCTGCTGCGCAGCTGGGGCCCAATTTCTGTTCTTATCCTGAAGCAAAGTTCTTAACCTGAAGCACTATTTCTGGGTTAGCGGAGTATGTAACCTGAAGCATATGTAACCCGAGGTACCACTGTACTCTTTTGAAGTGTGGTTGAAGTGCTTGATTCCAGAATGTTTGCAAATCTTTCCATTTTGTCTGTTCAGGGACAAAAAGATTCGCCGTAGAATCATAGAATCATAGAGTTGGAATAGACCACAAGGGCCATCGAGTCCAACCCCCTGCCAAGCAGGAAACACCATCAGAGCACTCCTGACATATGGTTGTCAAGCCTCTGCTTAAAGACCTCCAAAGAAGGAGACTCCACCACACTCCTTGGCAGCAAATTCCACTGTCGAACAGCTCTTACTGTCAGGAAGTTCTTCCTAATGTTTAGGTGGAATCTTCTTTCTTGTAGTTTGGATCCATTGCTCCGTGTCCGCTTCTCTGGAGCAGCAGAAAACAACCTTTCTCCCTCCTCTATATGACATCCTTTTATATATTTGAACATGGCTATCATATCACCCCTTAACCTCCTCTTCTCCAGGCTAAACATGCCCAGCTCCCTTAGCCGTTCCTCATAAGGCATCGTTTCCAGGCCTTTGACCATTTTGGTTGCCCTCCTCTGGACATGTTCCAGTTTGTCAGTGTCCTTCTTGAACTGTGGTGCCCAGAACTGGACACAGTACTCCAGGTGAGGTCTGACCAGAGCAGAATACAGTGGCACTATTACTTCCCTTGATCTAGATGCTATACTCCTATTGATGCAGCCCAGAATTGCATTGGCTTTTTTAGCTGCCGCGTCACACTGTTGGCTCATGTCAAGTTTGTGGTCAACCAAGACTCCTAGATCCTTTTCACATGTACTGCTCTCAAGCCAGGTGTCCCCCATCTTGTATTTGTGCCTCTCATTTTTTTTGCCCAAGTGCAATACTTTACATTTCTCCCTGTTAAAGTTCATCTTGTTTGTTTTGGCCCAGTTCTCTAATCTGTCAAGGTCGTTTTGAAGTGTGATCCTGTCCTCTGGGGTGTTAGCCACCCCTCCCAGTTTGGTGTCATCTGCAAATTTGATCAGGATGCCCTTGAGTCCATCATCCAAGTCATTGATAAAGATGTTGAATAAGACCGGGCCCAAGACAGAACCCTGTGGCACCCCACTAGTCACTCTTCTCCAGGATGAAGAGGAACCATTGATGAGCACCCTTTGGGTTCGGTCAGTCAGCCAGTTACAAATTCACTGAGTGGTAGCATAGTCAAGACCGCATTTTACCAGCTTCTTTACAAGAATATCATGGGGCACCTTGTCGAAAGTAAATGACAGGTAACACCATTCAGATGGCAGCTTGGGGAAAAATATGGAATAAAGATCTAAAGTTCACTGCTTGTTATACATTAAAGGAAAGCTTCATGAAGATGTTTTATAGATGGTACATGACCCCCAGCAAATTCGCAAAAATGTACAACACAAATTCAAATATATCCTGGAGGTTCAAACAAGCTGAGGGAACAATGTACCACATGTGGTGGGGCTGTAAAAAAAGTAAAAACTTTTTAGATACCATCTATGAGGAGCTTTAAAAAATGTTCAAACATTTGCAAAGAAAACCCCAGATAGCTTTCCTCCTAAGCATTTTGTCAACAGACATCCCAAGTGATAAGAAGAGGGCATTTTTACAATAGCTGCGAGAATGTTGATTGCCAAAAATTGGAAGGGAAAGAAAATTCCAATGAAGGAGGAATGGCAGATAAAACTATTTGAGTACTTGGAACTTGCAAAGATTATTATTATTATTATTTTTACCAACCACCAAAACACAAACAGTGAAACCCCCCTAGACGGCTGATACATTGGGTATACATATTTAATAATATTCAATAATAACATATTCAAATCAACCATATGTACACTTCTATATACCTTAACACGCCTCCTTCCACAAGGTTTATTTAACTTTTAACATTTTAATTGCCCCAAATTGTTCAAACCTACCCAAATAATTCAATATCATCTCAAACCCATCCTCCTCTTTCTCTCTTTTTTAAAAAAAATATTTTTATTGATACAACAAGAAAAAAGAAAAAAACACAAGTACCAAATTACACACAAGAATAACCATAGACACATAATTTTCTTAGCAAACAATAAAACATATATTGGTCTTAAGACTAAAGACCCGACCTCCCGTCTATTCCATATTTCAATTTCATATTACTTATTGCCAATACACACTTTTATCATAATTAAACTTATTCTTAATAAATCTAATTTCTTATATCTGCCAATCCTCCTCTTTCTCACTGACCTTAAGCCCTTTCATTCTATGTGTCTTCACAGTTAACAGTATTCTAAAATTATAATATTATTCAGTTTTTTCCTCCATTGGTTCACCCCTAGCTCTTCTGCATTTTTCCAATTACTTGCTATAACCTGTCTGGCTGCAACTACCATCAATTTTACCCATTTACATTCCTCTTTTGTTCTTAACTCGGTACTACTCAGGGTAATAGTAAAGGTAAAGGTACCCCTGCCCGTACGGGCCAGTCGTGTCCGACTCTAGGGTTGCATGCTCATCTCGCTCTAGAGGCCGTTAGCCGGCGCCGTCCGAAGACACTTCCGGGTCACGTGGCCAGCATGACGAAGCTGCATCTGGCGAGCCAGCACCAGCGCAGCACACGGAAACGCCATTTACCTTCCCGCTATAAAGCGGTACCTATTTATCTACTTGCACTTAAGAGTGCTTTCGAACTGCTAGGTGGGCAGGAGCTGGGACCGAACGACGGGAGCTCACCCCACCACGGGGATTTGAACCGCCGACCATACGATCGGCAAGTCCTAGGCACTGAGGTTTTACCCACAGCGCCACCCGCGTCCACTCAGGGTAATAACCATTAATTTTGATATTTCCACATTCCTTCCCACAATTACCGATATTTCTATACCAATCTGTTTCCAAAATTCATTAACTAACAGACAATCCCACCACATATGACTGTACGTTCCCATCACTCCACATTTCCTCCAGCAATTCTTACTTCCAGATTTTGTAATATGATATAACCTTACTGGTGTATAATACCATTTTTGTACCAGCTTCAACCCCTGTTCCTGGATTATCCTAGAGGTCGCAACAAAGGGTGGTTGCCGAAAGATTCTTTCCCAATCTTCATATAAAATCTGTTCCTGAGTATCTAACTTCCAATATTCTTTCAAACTTTCCTTTGGTGATTTCCCCTTGTTTAATAACACCTTATACAATTTTGAGACTCTCTTGGCCCTATCTGTCCTATATCCTTTCACTAATTCTTTGAAGGGTGTAATAATTCTTTTACTACATTTTTTAAATTCTTCTTCTTTTAGCAGAGAGGAAATTTGTCTTTTCTGTAACCAATTAATTCCAAATACCACTTTCCTGTTCCAATGTACCTTCTGTTATATTCTCCATCTCCTCAATTGAGATCTCCTTTAATTTATCCCCTACCTCCTTTGGGATGAGCTCCCGTAACGGGGCCATTTTACCATAATACCACATTTTGGTAAGGGGAGAGAGGTCAGGAAAAAGCTCCCTTCTCTACTTCTCCCATACACAGATGGACCCTGTAAATGTTGATATTTTATCTACTTCCCTTTTCCTTTTACTCCTATCAAATAATCTTATTTTCCCTCCTACTAGTTTTTTGCTCTGGTTACCTATTTATTGCCTTCAAGAGAGATTAGGAACCTCTGTGTTCAGCTTCATGTATTAATGTATTGTCATATATATATACTACTTCCAAATGCTTCCGCTCAATACACCCCAAATCTTCCCCCTGTTCTGCCTCCAACCAAATCAGTCTCAGTTGGTAGGCTTCATAATATAAAACCAAATTGGGAATCCCCATCCTCCATCTTGGATCCTATGATACCTCTATCTACCTGCTGTCCTTGGTTTCTTGGATGCAAAAACAAACCTAGCGATTTCCCCTTGCCACCCTTTCAATATCCGTTCCGATATGTGCCAGGGTAATACATAAAAAGATATGTTAATCTGGGTAACAAAAACATTTTAACTAATGCAATTCTTGTACTAATTGATTCCTTCCTTTTCTCCCATATTTTCAACTTTGATTGAATACCGCTCCAAGTTTTTTTATAATTATATTCAAATATTTTCTTCACATTTTTAGTTATCCTTGGAACTTGCAAGTACTTGGAACTTGCAAAGATGACAGAAGTAATCAGGAATCAAACAAATCAAAAGTTTTTTAAAAAGTGGGAGTGTTACAGAGTGTATTTAGAAAAACATTGTTCCCAAGTAAAATCCTTCACGTGCTTCTATTAATTTTTGCAAATTATATGACAGATAGATAGTGTATTTCCTACAATACTGGTGAATTACAAGGTAAAAAAGGAAGCAGTTAAAAAAGGAAGAAAGGACCCATAGTGAGGTAGTTGGAAGTCACATTTAAAGAGTAGGTTATTTATTGGTAATTTAATGTATAGGTGATATACGATGTTGAATCTTTTATTATGTATTGGTGTTTCTCATTTTTTTCTCCCTCCCCTTTTTGTATTTTAGTTTATTTTGAATAACGAATGGAATAGCTGTAATACTTAATAAAATCAATAAAGAGCATGGCAAAGATACAGTTTGCACAAGATGCAGTTTGCACCAAGAGAAAAGAATGAATCCCTATGAACTCCCATCAGGCCATCTAAAGAAAAGTGTATTAGTTGAAGAAGAAGAAGAGTTTGGATTTGATATCCCGCTTTATCACTACCCGAAGGAGTCTCAAACCGGCTAACATTTTCCTTTGTGAGGTGAGTGGGGCTGAGAGACTTCAGAGAAGTGTGACTAGCCCAAGGTCACCCAGCAGCTGCATGTGGAGGAACAGAGACATGAACCCGGTACACCAGATTATGAGTCCACCGCTCTTAACCAGTACACCACACTGGCTTTCATAATAGTGTTCTACTTGGAGTGAAGATGGCGAGGAACCTGTGGTCCTTCAACTGTAGTTAGTCTACAGTTCCTGTCATCCCACCAATAACCATTCTGCCTGGAGATGATGAGAGTTGGATTTCAGTACAGTGGTACCTCGGGTTAAGTACTTAATTCATTCTGGAGGTCTGTTCTTAACCTGAAACTGTTCTTAACCTGAAGCACCACTTTAGCTAATGGGGCCTCCTGCTGCTGCCACGCCGCCGGAGCACGGTTTCTGTTCTTATCCTGAAGCAAAGTTCTTAACCTGAAGCACTATTTCTGGGTTAGCAGAGTCTGTAACCTGAAGCGTATGTAACCTGAAGCGTATGTAACCCGAGGTACCACTGTACCTAGAAAGACTCAATTTGAGGTCCATTTTATACCCCCAAATCCACATTCCTGATGTCACTCATAAAGATTTTGCAAACTAAGGGGAACTTCCAAGAACTGAAAAACTGCACGTCTTAACAAGATAATGGGAGCAGTAAGATTATACACACAGATACACCTTGAAGTATTTATTGCCTGTAGATTGGGACTGATAATATAAACTACCATAAAGAACATAGATAGCGGAGATTGCCATCGTTGCACAATTATTCTACGCTGACCAAGGGTTCTTTCAGACGTAGGGCCTTTTAACACCAAGAAAATAGAGGAGACAGCACAGCTAAAAAGGGCAAAGGAATTAGGGAGGGCTAACATTCCTTTGCCCACACAAGATGAGGCTATAAAAATAGGGTTGAAATTGTGCAGAACCATCCGACTATCCTGCATTGTTTTCGCTTCTTCCGCTTTTGCAGGTGAGCAACCACATGCCCTTCACCCCTTCCTCACCCCCCCCCCATTTTTTACACTTCTAGGAGACTTTGGGATTTATTTATTTTTACCTCCTCTAGGAAACTTCCAATTGTTCATTTTCCTCCCACTTCAGCCTCTTTCTTTCCTTCCCTATTTTCCCATGTCCTCCTTTACCTATCCTGGTTTAGCATCACTTTTGCTCTGGCAGAAGGCAAGGAGTGGGGAGGGGTAGGGAATGGCTCCCTAGGCCCCCTACCCTCTTACAAAAGCAGCTGCCTGCCAAGAGGTGGCAGTTCCTGTGAGACACTGTATACAGTGGTACCTCAGGTTAAGTACTTAATTCGTTCCAGAGGTCTGTTCTTAACCTGAAACTGTTCTTAACCTGAAGCACCACTTTAGCTAATGGGGCCTCCTGCTGCCACTGCACCGCCAGAGCACGATTTCTGTTCTCATCCTGAAGCAAAGTTCTTAACCTGAGGTAATATTTCTGGGTTAGCGGAGTCTGTAACCTGAAGCGCATGTAACCCGAGGTACCACTGTAGCAGGACTTGACCTGGCTGAGGCTGTGTTCCATCTGCTTGACAAGCTACAGCTGCCCAGGACACACCCAAGCCAGCAAACAGGAGAGGATATAAACCAAACAAGTTAGGGACTTCATAGGCAGCAGACGGAGGTGAGTGGGAGGCAGGTGAGCCTGGAGGAGCAGGGAGAGGTAGAGAATTTAAAACCTAGTCCTGTGTCCTATTCCAAGAAGCTTCTGGTTCTGTGAGTTACTGAATATCACAATGAATTTGTTTTATTGTGTGTGGCAGTGTTATGTAGAAACTGAGATATGAAAGCTAGGAGCTAAATGGCACCTTAAACCTAGGTTATGGGTGCCACAACAGAATATCTAGGCACACTTTTTTAATAACAAGAGTGCAAAGCTGAAAACGAATGAACTGCAGCTAAAATCTTATGTTCATTTTTCACATGGTCTAGTCCTCATCTGAAGATTGCAGAAACAAAAAACAAAGCCATACTTCTTCTAATATTCTTAAGAGGATCCCTTAGAGGGTGGCTGGAAGTGGGGAGGCAGAAAAAGGTCCTCCTTTCCTTCCAGCAGTGGCCGTTTTAATCTGAAATCTTAGGCGCAGTACTGCTCCCAGAGCTCAGAAGCTGCTCGCATCAATGAAATTCCCTGTTGCAAAATGCACCTAGAGCAATGGGAATTTCGAACGCTGGTGGGTGAGCTTTTTTTGTTGTCTGCACCACTTCTAGGGTGAGAGACTGCCTGAAGTATTGTGTGTAAAAAGTTCCTCACTCCTGGAATGACAGTCCTTTTAGCATTGAACTGGGTGCTTCCTGGGGATGTGGGGAGTGAGTTTTGGTCCCAGAAGCTGGGGGTGGGTTAAGCTTGATATTGTTGTGCAATGGGTGCCTCCCAGTTTGATGTCTCTCCTCATTGTTTGCTAGAAGAAGACCTATTGGTATTGAAGATTGGGCTGCGTGAGAGTGCTTTTGTGTCTTTAATATGTCTCTAGGAAGTGAAGAGTTGAGTAAGGATAGTGGATAGTAACTTAGTAGTGGATGAGGGACCTGATCTGGGCTTCATCATGAGACCTGAGTGGGCAAGCTGGGAGGAGTGGACCTTATTTAGCTTTGGTTGCCTGGATACTCAGTGCAGCATCAGCAGAGCCCTGAAAGTCGAGGTGGGGGTCATGGACTTAGCCAGGATTTATGTTAGGGGGGCGGGCTTCATGTTAGGGGGAGCAGAACCTCAGTTAAGTATTTTTATTGATTTACCGTATTTTTTGCTCTATAAGACTCACTTTTTCCCTCCTAAAAAGTAAGGGGAAATGTGTGTGTGTCTTATGGAGTGAATGCAGGCTGCGCAACTATCCCAGAAGCCAGAACAGCAAGAGGAATTGCTGCTTTCACTGCACAGCGATCCCTCTTGCTGTTCTGGTTTCTGAGATTCAGAATATTTTTTTTCTTGTTTTCCTCCTCCAAAAACTAGGTGCGTCTTGTGGTCTGGTGCGTCTTATAGAGTGAAAAATACGGTGCTTGATTTAGGGGGAGCAGCTGCCTCCCTGCCTCCCTTTGGCTATGCCCATAGGGTGGGGTTTTCACTATGGTCTATAAACCTTTGAACTTACTCACCAGGAAACCTCTTCACTGAGGGCGGACATGGACAGCCTGCACCTCATGTCAAAGCAAGGAGAGAGACTGGGGGTGTTGCTGGCCTCTTGGGCACCCTGTTGCCCAGCTGCTTCCTTGACCATCATGTTGGGAAACCCCAGGATTAGTGTCCCTGCTGCGGCTGCTCTCGTTGTTTTGCCTTGGAACTTCATGGTCTACATGACAACCATGGGACTGCCTCAAGTGGTCACTGGCCCAGGCCATGGTGTGGGACAGACCATCAACTTGGTTTTTGCCCCTTTTGATTAAGTTGATGGTCTGGAAAGAGAGAAGGTTTCGTAATCCCGTTATCATGATCAGACCACTTCCTGAGAAGTAGGAGTTAACAGTATCAGCTTCCCCCGTAAGAGTTGGGACTCCATTAGGGTAGCCTACTCCTGGAAACTTAGGGAGTTCAATGGATCCCTGAATGCCCTCAGGGATTTTCCACTGCTTTAACTTGCTGAAGCCCTCATCTCACCATGAATCGACAATATGTGGAGGCCATAGATATTATTATTCCTGATTGCCGTGTCTCTCACACGTTTGGCTCCCTGGTATGCTGAGGAGCTATATGTGATGAAACAGGAAAGATAATAGAGTACAGGAGGTGTGGTGATGACCAAACATCTGTTAGATCACATAATCATGCCTACTGTGTGGTGGCAAAATCAGCAAAGAAGGCCTACTTCATTGTTTCCACTGCGTCCTTGAGAAATCAGCCAGAGGAGCTCTTCAGGGTGGTCTGTGGTCTGCTGACATATGCATCGCTCCATGGAGCCCATGACACCTCAGTGAGTTGCTTGCTAGGACGTTTGAGGACAATACTGTATGTTTCCATAGTGAGCTAGATGCCATAATTGATGCAGTCCCTGGTGAGGTTTCCAGCACTCCATAAATCCATGTTTTGTGGCCTCCATTTCAGTTTTTGCAGCCTGATGTTGAGGACAGGGCACTTTTGAGTATGTGCTCAACAATATGCCCTTGGGACACTTGTCTTTCATGGCCCATGAAAGGTAGCCTGTGGGGGGGGGCATGGCTGGCTCTACAGCCTTGAAGGAGGTGATAGCATGGCTGCTCCTGGGCAGAGGGGGTGGGGAAGCCCTCCAGACCTTCTGGAATTTAACAACTGCCCCCCCCCAGTTGCAAATACTCCCTTTTTTAGCAAGTTACTCGGCAGGGTCATGGCAATGTAGCTGCAGGCATTTCTGGAGGAAGCTGGTTATCATTTCAATTAGATCTCTTCCGTATTTATGGGAGGCAATTAATTTTCCACCTCTGCCTGCCCTTTTCTCAGATTGGGACTTTTCCATAAACCGCTCTGATCTTAGTCATTTTACAAAGGCTCTTGTGTCTACTTTGATCTTACCTGAATATTTATGGTCACTTTCAGCTAACACTGGATAGCAACATCGCAAGCAGAGAGGTCTTGGTGCTGTCAAAAGCAACTTTTTCTTCGGACACAGGCTGTCGGGTATTGGGCAGCGCAGTGAAGAACAATGAGTACTCCAGAACACGCTGATGCTGTGGAAATCTTGTTTCAGCACCAGTATGCATTTATGATCCCAAAGGTAAGCTCTGTGATGGGTATAGTCTGCAAAGTTTAAAACTTGCAGGGACTTTCAAACCTTCAGCTTGTTAATGGATGGTGGGCTTAACCAGGATTTAAATTGGGGGGTGGCGGCTGCAGGACACATTCCTGTCATCGTCCTCTGCTTGGCTCTGTCTAGTAGATTCGGAATGAAATGTCTCAACTGTTATGTATTCAGTGGTCTCTGTTTGCCTGAACTTGAGTCTGGACGAAGGGTTCTGAGCCACTGCATTCCGATTCGATATATTATATCCAATCACAGAACATTTCAGGATTTGGACCACTGCCATTGGCCCTTAAACTATGAGTTACAATTTGCAGCTTGGGAGTTTAGACAGCCAATCACGTTGAGAGTGGGAGTGGCCCAGGCCTTCAGAAGCAGTTGCTTTGCCTCTGTTGTCCAGTTCTGTTAGTTCAATAAAGGTAAAAAATCTGTCAAAATTTTCAATCATTTGAAAACTAGGAAGCTAAAAAAATAAAATAAAATAACATCAGGCAGTAGCTTTCATGTGGTAAACGAGTATATTTGCAAAATTACAAAACCCCAGCTTTTTAAATCTTAAGCTTTAAAAAAATCTAAAATAAAACACGTTTTCTTGGATTTGCTGAAAACCTTTTCAGCACTTCCTTCTCAAATTCCTCCTTTTTCTAATCCAGTTTTTCTGTGCTCACGCAGTAAGCATAGCCCGTGGAGATGCTCCCCTGTCAGAGGAAGTGTCAACCTCTGCCCAAACCTGTTGTACTACTCTGAAACAAAAATTGGAAGAATTCTGTTCCCCCCAGTGCTTTTTGCCAGCGTTTTCTACAGCAGGGATGAAGAACCAGTGGCCCTTCAGATGTTGTTGAATTCCAGTTCCCTTCAGCTCTGGTCAGCATGGCCAATGATCAGGAACAATGGGAGTCACAACCCACACCATCTGAAGGGCCACAATAATTTATGGTGACTTTGTTTGTTTGTTTGTTTCAAAAGCATCCTTCTCCTTCTAGAACTTCCTAACTATAGACCATTTTGAACTCTTTCCTTTTGTACTCCCTCGCTCCTTTTTGCATCCAGATTATGTTTACTGCTTCTGATCTTGGTGTATTTGATCTGCTGATGGAGTCCAAGGAACCGCTGACTTCAGTGACTATTGCCGAACGTCTGGGTACCAGTCCCTTTGGGATGGAGAGGCTGCTGGAGGCCTGTGTTGGCTTAAAGTACCTGCAAGTGGAGAGGAAGGACAACCAAAGTATTTATTACTTACATCTTAGCATCTCTGGGGGAGATCCCTAAGCAGTTAACCAAATTATCAAATCAAACCAAACCAAATTGTAAAAACCAAAAGCCAATTAATACAATCCAAGAAAGATCAGGAATACAGTAAATAAATTTATACCAGCAGACCAGAAACTGAACAGGGTAGCATTCAAATAAGCCTGTCGAAACATCTGAGTTTTTAGGACACATTTGAAGCACACAGCAGACAGAACTTCCCAAATCACTTTGGAGAGTATTCAAGAGGAAAAGCTTGTTTCTTTAAAGCATTGTTACCCTACTCTTCAGCAATAATAAAAAAAAGCTTTCCCACTGAGCTGTAGTTGCTTCCCTTTTTTTTGCAGCTGCAGTGTTGTATAAACTTTAAACAGGTTACAGGTGGGGGTTTTTTTTGGGGGGGGGGTTTCATGCCGCCATGCCTGTCATTTCATGCATTTTGTTCCTGCATAATTGGGAAGGGCTTTGGGCTTTGGCGATCATTGCAAAAAAAGCATTAATCTTTTGTCCCTTTTCTTTTTAAGCTCTTTATGGAAACACAGACCTTGCCAATCTCTACCTTGCCAAATCAAGCTTGAAGTCTCAGTATCATTCCTTGAAGTTCACTTCTGAATTTATCTATATGGGTATGCAGTACTTGGCTGATTCTGTGAGGTAAGGAGAAGGATATCGCTAAAGTAGGAAACTGCCACCTAAAGATGTGCCACAGTGCCAAGGCTGGTTAGTTCCATATCCCAGATGCAACTACACTGGTACATACCTCGGGTTACATACAGTTCAGGCTACATACGCTTCGGGTTAGACTCCGCTAACCCAGAAATAATACCTCAGGTTAAGAACTTTGCTTCAGGATGAGAACCGAAATCGTGCTCTGGTGGCGCAGAGGCCCCATAGGCTAAAGTAGTGCTTCAGGTTAAGAACAGTTTCAGGTTAAGAATGGACCTCCAGAACGAATTAAGTACTTAACCCGAGGTACCAATGTATTGGCACTTCCATACTAGGGCTGGCTCCAGATGAGCAGTTACTAGTGCTTCCTTTTCTGTTGCTCATCTGTTGAAAGGTACAGGCAGAACTGCAACTGCAGTTGCATGGTGCCTTTTCTCTCTCTGCATGTTGCTGTCTTCTGTCTACAGCAGCTGCCCTGACATAACTGTTGTGGGTGGAGTTCACGGTCTCCCTTGTGGAGAGTGCCTTTTCAGGACCCTCGTTGATTGGCTTAAAATTAATCTCTTAATATCTGCTAAACCACTTACCAGAGATTTTAAGTGAATGAGGAATATCATGCCCCGTCGCGAAAAATACTACAATTTTACTTTAAACGACGATTGGAAAGAGCAACACTGCAATTAGGCATGTTGCTAAAATGGAAGCGAAAGGGGTTTTCTTTTGTAGTGTAGCATTCTTCTTTTTATATATTTTTGTAGTATAAGTTATTTTATTTTGTTTATATTCAAACTGTTAGTTTTAATTGTATGTTGATAAATTTAGGTCACTGTTTAATGTTTGGTTTTCTGTTACTTTTAATTAATAATTTATATTGTTTTATGTTAACTGCTTAAAAGTCTAACAATATATACGTACATCCAGGTGAAATTGGTTCAATTCTTCTCTGGTGACTAATTTGAGATTTAAAAATAGATTTGGAATCACTGAGATATGTAAGTTACTCAGAGAACTCTGGTTATACGGTGGTATATACATGTCACGAACAAACAAACCTGTGATTGTTAGTCAACCTTGACAACACATATAATTTTTAAAATGTACTTTATTCGGCAATATTTATATATTGCTTAATAATAAAAAACCCTCTAAACTGTTTATACAATAGTATAAATCTTTCATTAAAAAGACAGATAACATGATAACGGTATGAGTGTGTGTGCGCCACTCAATTTTCATTTAATTAAAACAAATATTCTTTTCCAGACAAGGAAAGAGTCAGACTGATAGAGTATATGGCATTTCAGGAAAAGATTGCTTTGATGCTCTTAACAGGTAAAAAAATAATAAGGTTTTCTAGATCTTGATTTTGGAAGAATGGAGAAAACCTGGGATGCTTCTTGTCAAAGTGACCATTGCCGTTGCAATTTGTGTGAAACATATTGCTTGCTTGTATTCACAGTTCCAGTGTTTTCTCTATTCATTGTTGCATTTCCCTTCTCCAAATGTTATCAGATTATTGGGAAATTTCTCACCACATGCCAAACTTGGGTTCCTGTTTTATGCATGTGTGAGGGTGACGTCTGCAACCAGGGCTTGTATTATGCAGCTTGGTTGTGCAGAATATCCTGGTTTGCCTCCACTATGCTCCAATATCGAAGCAGAATTGCATCTTGTCTTCACAAATGGCTTTTTCAGAGTCTTTTCATGGGTACAATGTAGTTTGCCATTATCCAGAGATCAGTCTATGCTCAGACCAGATGCATCTGCACCTCATTTTGGGTATGTGCATCAGGATACTGCATTGGAATTAGATGTTCAAGCTCTCGTTACTGGTGGAGCACAGAGGTCCTGTGCCAATTAACAACTCCTGAAGTTGGAATGTTGTGATAGTTGGGAAAGAGAATCTGAAAGCATGTGTCAGAAAATGTCAAGGATTGCTGATGAGGAAGATAAAAGACTCCATTTCAGCCCTTCGTTGCGTTCAGGGGTCCTGAATGGACAGTGTTAAGGATTCATTAGAGAGAATATCCCCCCTCTCTCCTCCCTCTTTCTCTGTCTTAAATCCTTAACAGGCAATATCATTTATCGGCATTTGTATACAACTTAACTAAAATATAGATTAAAAATGCACACACAATATTTATTCAGATATAATTAAGGAACCAAATATTCAAAGATCTTGTGCAGAATCCAACCAGTGATGCAACATGTTTAGGGAAGTAGTTCAGACAGAAACGTTCTCAGAACTTTGATTTAAATTTGTTCCATTAATGCAAGAGACAAAGTTTTCATTTCATTGTGCCGTAGCTCACAGCTCTTACATTGTAAACCTGCATATGACACGATGACTATCTCGCTTTGTTTTGTTTTGTGTGGTTGTTTTTTTTAAAGTTTGTAAAAAATAAAAGAGGGACGAGACTATTGCAAAGTGTAATAAGAATAATGTTGAAGTTTTGACATGCTCTAAATTGGGAAGTGGGGTTTAACCAAAGTAGCAGTTATGGAGGTGCAGGGAACTGCTGTGCAAATGCTGAGCAAACAAACCATTCTGTTTGTCTATGAGAGGTATTAATGAATTATAGGAACATCATTAGTTAATTTTGTATGCTGCCCTTCTTCCAAAGATCAGAGTGGTTCACAACAGAAAAATACAAAATGAGATCACAAAATGCATAATAAAACAAAACCAAAACAAGCCAATAACCCCCTTCCCATAAACACATTTAAAATGCCATGGAATGTTTAATCTGCCTGGTTTGAGAAATGTTTTTGCCCAGTGCCTAAAGCTTTAGTAATGCAGGCAGTGGGTGAGCAGGGAGCCACCACAGAAAAGGCCTGTTCTCATGTTGCTGCCCTCCAGGCATCTCATGGAGAAAGGGCTCCGGTGATGATCACAAGTTGCTTTGTATGGGGAGAAGCGGTCCTTGAGGTATTGCAGTCCTGAGCTGTTAAGATTTTATAGGTAAAATCAGCACTTTAAAATTGGGTCCAGAAACTAATTGGCAGCCCGTGCAGTCAGGCCAGGATCAGTATGATATGCTCACAATCTGCCCCTTGGTATAAGTGGGGAATAACAGGATCGGACCAAAGAGAATAAAATCTACCAACAGGGGTGAACATTTTTAGAATTGCTAAACGTCTACATGCAGCTAACAATGGGAAAGTGAGAGCATTTTGTGGAATATCGCTCTAGTCTGGAAGCAATTTCTATATGAAACGTTCGTGTCTTTTATATGCCAATGCAATTTTGAATTGCTAGATCCAAGAGTGGGCTGCAAAAAATCTTCATGGGTGCTATGGATGAAAAGTGGCATCTGTTTGGCCGAGAAATTATGACTGCATTTGATCTTTCACATTTCCCACTTGTTTGTGATGTGGGAGGTAAGTGCTGTAAATTCCACAATATTGTCCTTTACTACTAGCTCAAAATCATATAGCGGGAAGAACAGAAATGAGAAAGTGCTACAGGTATGTTTCTGATTTGTGAAGGGAAGGCAAAAATGGGTGGAGTGGATAACACTCAAAGTGAAAGGATCCATGACTGTGAGTGATGGAGAAAGCCAAGCAGGAAGAAAATTTCAAAACAAGAGAATGAATTAGACAAATTTTTGTTGTTGTTTAGTCATTTAGTCGTGTCCGACTCTTCGTGATTCCCTGGACCAGAGCACGCCAGGCACTTCTGTCTTCCACTGCCTCCCGCAGTTTAGTCAAACTCATGTTAGTAGCTCTGAGAACACTGTCCAACCATCTCATCCTCTGTCGTCCCCTTCTCCTTGTGCATCTTTCCCAACATCAGGGTCTTTCCCATGGAGTCTTCTCTTCTCATGAGGTGGCCAAAGTATTGGAGCCTCAGCTTCACGATCTGTCCTTCTAGTGAGCACGCAGGGCTGATTTCCTTAAGAATGGATAGGTTTGATCTTCTTGCAGTCCATGGGACTCTCAAGAGTCTCCTCCAACACCATAGTTCAAAAGCGTCAATTCTTCGGCGATCAGGCTTCTTTATGGTCCAGCTCTCACTTCCATACAGCACTACTGGGAAAACCATAGCTTTAACTATACAAACCAATAGAAACTCATTAACATCTTTCAAACTACAGTACTTTGATGCTACTTCTGTTTAGTCCTGCAGTATCAAGAGCAATGGGAGAAACAGGGTTTGTCCACACTGGAGATTACTGTGCATTTGCATCTGTTTGCATCCTCATTTAATTTGTGTAGCCCACATGATGAAATGGTCTAACAACAGATGAAATGCTCTAACAGCTGGAATCTACATGCGTTTCTCCTGGAAATTTGGTACTTAATTGGCATAAAAGAACTAACAAATTAGAAAGTGGGAGAAGCACACAAGCAAATGCCTTCTCCATGGGTCCTTCATTATTTCAGACATCATGATATATCAGTATATTGTGATGTTTAGCTGGTGATAATCATGCTGTTGAAAACCAGACATCATTCAACCCTAGTTGCCAGTCACCTATCTGATGTGCTACTCTTGAATTTTTGCACAGTAATTTTTACTCTTAAAGCTTTGAGGTGCACAACATTTTCATTTTTTTCTTTGTTCTCCCTTCAAGGATGTACTGGGGCATGTGCCAAGGAATATATTTCATTATATCCAAATTCTACAGTGACAATTTTAGACCTACCTGAAATAGTGGAACAAGCAAAAAACCATTATGTGTCCTCGCAAGATCACCAGATTACTTTCCATAAAGGTAAACTGTGGTTTTCCAAGAGCCTACATTGGTTCGATCATTCTTCTTTTAACAAGCAAGATAGCAAAACTCTAGGGTAGGAATCGGGATCTGTGCCTGTTGAACTACGGCTCCCAGCATCCCTGACAATTGGCCATTCTGACTGGGACTGATGGGAGTTGGAGTCCAACATCATCTGAAGTCCACAGATTCCTCATCCATGCACTAGAAGAAACAGCAGGCAGTAGCTGGGCCTTAATAACTGTTGATTTCTGAAAGATACAGTGAATTATTACTGCATTGCTTTAAGAAAATATGCTTATTTTCTACCTATTCTATTACAGGGGACTTTTTTAAGGACCCAATTCCAGAAGCTGACCTCTATATTTTGGCTAGGGTCCTGCACGACTGGTCTGATGAGAAGTGTGTGCAGCTACTAACCAGACTGCACAAGGCCTGCAAACCTGGTATGTGTATTTATACAGTGAACAGATCAATGATCAGTGCAAAGATGGGGCAGGAGTAACCAAGGGCGGAAGCCCAAGAGAGCTTCTCACATACCCTTCGTTGCCCAACTACAACACAACAGCCCCTCAGGGCTGCCAATGGGTTGCTGCCACTGCCCTTCCACTTACTCCTGCCTCTCCAGGTGGGAGGCGACCTGGGATGCACTTAAGTAACTGCATTTCAAACGCTTCTTATGAGTGCAAAAATGGTCAACACTCCTTCTTGACTCTGCAGACTCTGCTGGTCACGTACCACTCTAGTCCTAGGTGCCAAGCATCGAGGCATGTGTAGGGCTGCCATATATCTGGGTTTTCCCAGACAAGTCTGGGAATCGAGTAGCAAAATGGCGTCCGATTTTCACTGAATCGGCAAAGTGTCTGTGAAAACCCTCTGTGAGTCTAAAATTGGACTAATCCTAGCCTGCTCGCTACAATAATGGGAGGCTCAGGCCTTTCTTCAGAGAAGGCAGAGTGACAGAAGAGCTAAAGGTACCATGGAAATTGGGCCCTTGTTACTCAAAGCCTTGCTGCACTGTCCCAAATTTGCCCTCGCCACTTGGCTTCAACTGCATCGCTTCTGATCATCCCAGAATTCTTGGATAAATTCAGATGAACTCTTTCCTTATGCAGTTTTGAAATAAGTAACCTGCTATTTTGGAAAGTGGTATGTCTTTCTGTCCATCTGTATTCTGTGGGTTCAGCTGCCTTTTGAGATCATTGCCAAACTTGGCACAAGGGTTACTGAACTGAGGGTGGCGGACTTAGCTGATGTTTGGGTGTCTGGTGCCATTTTGAATCAAGATGGCGAATTGAAAAATTGCCCATTTGTTGGCATAGGTTCACCCACCTCTCGAGATATCATCACCCAACTTGGCATGAGGGTTCCTGAGGTGGGGCGGCGGTCTTTGTTGATGTTTGGACAATGGGAGCCATTCTGAATCAAGATGGCAGGCTAAAACATGACTTTTGGCTCCCTGGGTCAGGTTGAAGCACTGAGTTGGTATGTGTGTGCATGTGTCTGTGTGCCACCCTGAAATTCACAAACTACACTATCCATTTGAAAATCATAATATTTTTTGGTTTCTTTGAATTCCTGGACAGTGTTGGGCATTTTCTGCTAATGATATATATCTTTGTCCTAACTTGGTGAAACGTATTTTGAAACAGGTGGTGGAGTGTTAATAGTGGAAATGGTCCTCAATGAAGATAGAAAAGGGCCAGTAAGGTGCCACCTATACTCTGTGATAATGCTACTTCTTACCGAAGGCCAAGAACGAACCGCATCAGAGTACAATGCGCTGCTTAGTGCAGCTGGATTCAAAGAGATTCAACAAAAGAAAACAAGCTTCTTTGATACCATTTTAGCAAGAAAATAATATTGACCGTACTTCATTCTTCTTCTATTCAATACGCTTCAGGTTGCAGACTCCGCTAACCCAGAAATATTACCTCGGGTTAAGAACTTTGCTTCAGGATGAGAACAGAAATCATGCTCTGGCGGCACAGCAGCAGCAGCAGGAGGCCCCATTAGCTAAAGTGGTGCTTCAGGTTAAGAACAGTTTCGGGTTAAGAACAGACCTCTGGAACGAATTAAGTACTTAACCCGAGGTACCACTGTATTTATTTCACAAATTGTAATATCCCTTGCAGTAAGATACTCCCTTGAATACTTTTGTTCGATTCAGGATCGTTTGAAAGAAGGACTTTTTTCCAGCTGGAACTCCAGCACCTCTCAGATGGGCCGGTTGCCATTATAAGAGAACAAGGGAGGTGTTCAGTGTGAGTTCCAGCACCTCTTTTTCTAGAAAAATAGCACTGCTTAGAAGCATTCCAATATTGCCTCTCCCAGTCAGTTTATGCCTTTTTGGATAGAGACCAGTCTTTGCTTATGTTAATCTGAATAAAAAATTGCTATGTATATTGAGTGATACATAATCTCTGTGGAGGATCAAATAGCTGTGGAAGGCCTGAAGTTTACTGAACTTGTTTTCACATGAAAGGATTTTGACTATAAACGGGCAGTTCCCAGTTCTGGGATTTGAGCTGTGTAATACCTCTGGGTGGGTTATGCACTCTTCTTTGAAGGACCAGGTATGAAGATCCATCATTGTCACTAGAGGCCCAGGTGACGTCTGGGGTGCTCTTTACCAACTTTGGTTGGTGTACCAGCTACAACAGTCCTAGGAAGGAGGTATCATTTCCTCCAACATTCCTCAGATGAAAAGGGGAACAGTCCATTCTCCATCATTGTTGTTATGTACTGAAGTTCTCACCCTGGGCCAGCAGGGGGATACTGTAGATAGTTTTCACTCAGGTCCACGTCAGTTATTTTAGGCGGGAAACCCTGGGTTGTTGCTGCTACAATGTTGACAGCCGGCTGCCTATAAAAGCAGGCCGGCTGAGCTGTTTGCTGTTCAGTTTCTGTTCCAGCTTACAAAATAAAGAGCTGCTTTGGAGAAATCGCTGTGTCGTCTGCCATGTCTACCCACTATTCAACACTGGCGACGAAGGTGGGATCGGTGGACATCAGAGCACAGCCAGATGCGGCCATCCTCTGAACTGAGCTGAATCACAGAGCAAAATCACTGAGCGAAATCACTGGACAGAACCAATTCAGAGCTGACTGTTCTGGCTAGAGCACTGTGTTCCACCCATCGCCCTTCACGCCGGCATCAGAATCATGGCTTCACTTGTGCCTCTACCGCCGTTTGCGCCAGCCTCTGAATCATGGGACTCCTACCTCGCTCGGTTCGATTGCTACCTCCAAGCCAACGAGCTGACAGCAGTATCAAAGGAACGGAAGCGGGGCCTATTCCTCAGCCTCTGTGGGCCTGAGGTGTTTGAGACAGCCCGAGCATTGGTTGCGCCTGAAGCAACACCATGGGACACGATCCAAGAGAAGCTCCGCAACCACTACGCGCCAAAGCCGTCCAAGATTGCTGCCCGCCATGCGTTTTACCACCGGAACCAGGCAGAGGGGGAGTCAATCAGCAACTACACCACTGCCCTCAGACAGGCTGCAATGCACTGCGAGTTCCGAGACTTAGACGATGCCCTGATGGATCAAATCGTCTGCGGGGTCCGGGACATCCATCTGCAACGGCGTCTCCTCGCCAAGCCAGACCTCACACTACAGAAAGCCATTGAGGAGGCTGTGGCCTCAGAAGCTGCTGAACGCTCCACCCAGGAGATCCGCAAGTCCAGCAGCCCGCGTCTTGCTAGGAAGCCAGTTCCAGTGCATCATGAAGAGGCCAGCAGTGATGAGGCATCCTCCAGTGAAGACGATGACGTGCACCAGACAAAGCGGGAGCGCAGGAAGTTCCAACAGAAGTCCAAGGGCCAACCGGAATATGCTGGCTGCGGAGGCAACCATTCCCGTGCCAAGTGTCGATTCAGAGACGCCATCTGTAGGAAGTGTTCCAGAAAGGGCCACATCGCTAAGGTCTGCTGATCGGCTCCATCTGACACTCCCCCTTCACCGACTTGCAAGTCCAAGTCTTCACTCCAGTCTGCCAAGGAAAGCTGTTTCGCTCTCACCAACTGCCGCTGCCCGTCTGGAACCACGATCGGCCAAACCGACTCGCCTACGCGACGCAAGCTGAACGTCACGGTGCTAATTGAAGGAGCTCCATGTGACATGGAGATCGACACCGGGTCTGCCCTGTCCATCGTGTCTTGGAGCACCATCAAAAGACTGGTACCCAGAGTGTCCAAAAGGCAACTCGACTCTCACCGCGTACACCTGAGAGACTACCAGGGAAAGGACATTCCTGTGGTAGGCGTTGGCCGGTTCCGGATCGCCTTCAAGGATTTTTCGGGCCAGCTCCAGTTGGTGGTGGTCGAAGGTCAGCGACCAAGCCTCCTAGGGCTAGACTGGTTTGATGCCCTCGGCCTGGAAGTCACCGGCATCAACTGCATCTCTAACGCAGAGACTGAGGGTCTGGTCAAAGACTTTGCCGAGGTTTTTGACGGCACTTTGGGGCAATATACAGGTACGCCCATCTCCTTTAGCCTTGATCCACAAGTCACCCCCATCAAGCTAAAGCCACGCCGGGTTCCCTTTGCTCTCAAGGCTAAGGTGGACGAACAACTGGACAAGCTGATCGCCCAAGGAGTTTTGGAGCTGGTTGACCACGCCAAGTGGGAAACCCCCATCGTCATGCCTGTCAAGCCAGACGGGTCAGTGAGAACTTCAGTACATAACAATTGTCATTGCTTGAGCATTTCCTCCTAGTCGAGTACAAAAGTTATTAGAGGAAACACACAAAACTATAGTATTTAAACACAGAAATCTTTGAATTTTTGTATTGCATTTAGGGAAGCCTAAGGGGAAAAAGAAACCCCCAAATCAATAAATACCACTAACTGGTTGTACACATACACAACATTAACAATAAATAGAACATAATAAAAATAAACATTATTATAAATAAAAACAGCATGGGTGAAATGTCTTTATTACCAAACAATTGCTCTTCATTGCTATTGCTTCCACTTTCAACTGGAGTTTTTAACCAACAAAACTTCCTCCCCTTAGAGAAAATTAATGCTGCTACTGAAGGCCATAATGTGAGCCCAGCCAATCCCCATTTCAGCTTAAGCTGGTTGAAAAGTTTTCTCTTTTCTTGCTATGTCTGCCAACGTAGACCAGGCCTGGGAAACTGTGGCCTTCCACATGCCACCAGACTACAACCCTCAGTGCCTCTGACCCCAACCCATGCAGATTGGGGCTTCCCATTGACTGCCTTGCTGCCCAGCTGCTGTCTGCACCTCTCAGCTCTTCCTCTCAGCTAAGGCAGAGCCCTGGGAACACAACCCACCGCTGTCTCCCATTAGGCTGTGTTGGGAATTTAGGACTCTGCATGACAAAGTAAGGAGCAGAGATGGCTTAAGGGTCCTGGCATTTTCAGGGAAGTTGGAGTCTCTGAGATAGGGTTGCTATGTTGCTTCATACATTGGTACCCTCCTAATTACACTACTGCAATGCTCTGTATGTGGGACTACCCTTGTGTCTGATTTGGAAGTTGCAGCTAGTGGGAAATTGTTCATTATTGCATTTAGATCCCACCACCTTTTCTTCGAGGAGTTTAAGTTGACGTTCTCCCTACTTCCATTTTATTCTTGCAAAGTTAGGTAGGTTAGGATGAGAGTTGTTAAAGGTGAGCTTCATGGTTGAGAGGAGATTTCAACCATGCTGTGGCAGATCCCACCACTAACTACCAATTAATATATGGCAGACTGGCCCTCTAACTACCCCCAGTTAAATATTGCAGGCCCACCGCATGGTACGCCAATTACACGAATGTCTACAATTTAACACAAGCTATCTTGTGAGGGTCTTCTGTGAGGGAAAATTTGGTGATTTAGAGTCTTAGGCAGGAGTTGATCAAACAAGAAAAGTTTTGTTTACAAAAAGAAGTTTGTGAAACAAAGTTGGGTCAGGAGATGCATTCTTTCAGGTAGAAGTTAACCTGTTACTTAAAGCTCAATATAAAGATTTCACAGGCCTAAACACCGTAGTATATGCACAGCTTTTCTTAAACTTCGGTTGCTAAAAATCAGGTAGATGTTCCGGTTTCTAGAATGGGTGGTAAAATGTTTAACTCAATCTCTGTTACTTCATTCTCATTCCTTTACTTAGTTATGACAGGGGTTGCAGTTAAATACTTCGGACACAGCACAGCTGCCTTCACAGCCTAATACTTTGGTTCATGAGTGAGGGACACATTTTGCCACTTAGCCACTCCTGAGGTATTGCAATTAGTATAACACACCCAGGGGATCACCTCACCCCTTGTTACTGGTTTGGGAGTTGTCTTTACCTAGAAGAACTCTCTCTCTCCCCCTCCCCCCCAGCTAGAATGAGGCCCAGGTATCCTGAATTCCCACAGGTTCTACCTCTCCTGGGTCAGACGCAGCCCTCCAGGTGACTGTCTGTATACCTTCCTCAGACACTCAACCTAGTCTTTCTATCTAAGTTGTGAGGCTCTTCCCTCTTGCTATAGATAGTCTCTTCAGTGTAGATGTTCTACTACTCAAACCAGAACCAGCTCTCCTCAGTAAATCCTACCCTGATCCCTCTCTGTCCCTAACTCTCAAGCTAAACCCTGTCTCCCATCTCAAGCCCTTTCCAACCCTCTTCGTCAGAAATGGCTCCTTTTATTCTCCCTCCCAAAGTGCTGTTCAACCCCCGCTATCTAGCTGTCTTGAGAGAAGCTCCAGCACTCTGGTAGAATTTTTGAGGGACTTCATCACCAGACCCTGGTCTGCCTCTGCTGTCCATCAAACATGCCCAGACTCTAGCGCAGAGCTTTCTGAACTTTTCATGAGGGTGACATGCTTTTTAGGCATGCATCATTTCGCAACACAGTAATTCAGCTTTACTAGCAAACCAGAGGTTAAACTAACCCCTTTCCAGCCCCAGGAGGGGCGCGGGGAGCATTTGTGCGATACGCCTACACATTGCAGCCAACACACTAATGTGTTGCGACACACAGTTTGGAAAGCTCTGCAATAGCCACTGCATGATGCTTAGTGGGGCACCCAGCTCTACACACATCTGCAGTGGTTGCTACAAAGCCAAGTTCAAGAGTTTCTTTTTGTGTGTGTATGGACATTTAAAACCCTAAACAACGGGTTCAGGATACCAGCAGTAAAGGCCAAGCTAATCTTTAAGATCTTCCAAGACTGCTCTGCATGCTCCCAGTAGATAGTCACTTAGTGAAAACATGGAAGCAGAACTTTTCAGTGATGGTGCCCACCCTGGCAATGTCCTGCAGAAGTAATGTGTGGTGTGGAGAAAGTAATGACATTTAAATGCCTTTTTGAAATATTGGTTCATTCAAGCTTTGGAGGGATCCTAACTCTTAAATTTCTGATTTTGTCCATTTCGTACACTGATCAGTTTTATTTGTAATACACACTTGTATTCTTTTTTTATCTAGTTTTAGAAAATCTGTATTGAACACTATGGTGTTTTTATGTAAACCACTTAGAGATTTTTATATGATTTAAAAAAAAACAAAAAACAGTTGCCTCTAACACATTTGTTTGCAAGAGAGCACCAAAGTAATCTGAAAAGTTGGATTATACATCAGATACACATCATGAAGTATTTATTACCTGTAGTATGAAGTATTTATTACCTTGCAAGGGCGAGATAAATTACCATGAACCAGGCACATAATGAGCACTGGTGATGACAGAGATTGTTGTTATTGCACAACACAAATACTATACTTTGAAAAAGCATCTTGACCCACAGTCCATCCAGGTGGGTGCCTCCTAACATCAAGGAAATGGAAGAGACTATAAAGCCAGCTGACAGGGGGGGGGCGCTAACATTCCACTTCCCACTGACAAACCTATAAAAAGGGGAGTGAAACTGCACAACAAATCTGTTTTTGCTGCTTCTCCACAGGTAAGTGGTCCTTTATTCTTCACCCCTGCCTCAAACCTTTCTGTTTCTGGACTCTCTGATTCTTAATAACTCTGTCATGTCGTTTCCCTTCTCCAGGAAACTCCTGATTGTACATTTCCTTTCTCTAGGAATCACCTTTTTTCTTTCACATGATTCTCTATGTCAGCATAACAAATAATTCATTTTTAGAAGTAAGTTCTTTGGTGAGTCTCTTGGGATTTTTTGCCATTCGTATTTGTTGACTTGGGCACAGAAACGGTCCCTACTATTTGACTTTCATGTCTTGCTTCTTTGTTAAGCTGCTACCATTTCCTAAAGCGTTTCTGTATTTTAAGAATTTCCAAATGGCCTCATTTCAGCAAGAGCATTTTCCCCAAACCACCTGCTCTCTCTTCTGATGAACTTTCTCCAATAACTTGTTAATTTTGCATTTCCAGACACCAGTTGATTTTCTCTCACTTGTCAGGTTCTGATATCACTTTTACTCACATAGGCAAAGTCAACAATTTCCAGGTACTTCCTTCCTCCTGCACTTATCAGAAAAAAATCCTTTTCCATCTATCCCTTTACTTAGCAGATGGGGACTTTCCCATAAACATACCTGGCCTCACAGTCATTTATCATTAGATGTTTATCATTTCATTGTCATTTTCAGTGAATTCTGAATAAAAGAACCACAACTTGCTCATCAGAGGAAAACTGTGAGGTCTCAGACAGAACAGTAAAGAACAATGAGTACTACAGAAGAAGCTGAAGCTTCGAAAATGTTACTTCGGAATCAGTATTCATTTCTAATATCAAAGGTAAAAGTATTGTCTGCAAAATTTAATACTTGCAAGGACTTTGAAACTTTCAACTTGTAAATGGATGTGTAGATACAAACATGCCTTTAAATGGCAAGGCGAATCTTACAGTTACAGGGGTCAACCCAGCACAAACAAAGGCAGAAACTTCAAATATTGTTAATGTCACTTGAATGTTCTAACATGAAAATGAGAAGAACTGTGAATCTGTGTATGGGATTCACAGCACAGGTGGGATACAGCAATAATTCAAAATTAACTTGCTTAAAATACCTGTGTCCTACTTTTATTTCTACACTTCAAATGGACTTGAACTGTATTATAATCTTTTTGTGTTTCAAAAGCATCTTGTTCCTTTTAGAACATATGTAACTATAGACCATTTTTAACTCTTTCCTTTTGTACTCCCTCGCTCCTTTTTGCATCCAGATTATGTTTACTGCCTCTGATCTTGGTGTATTTGATCTGCTGATGGAGTCCAAGGAACCACTGACTTCAGTGACTATTGCCGAACGTCTGGGTACCAGTCCCTTTGGGATGGAGAGACTGCTGGACGCCTGTGTTGGCTACAAGTTCCTGCAAGTGGAAAGGAAGGAGAACCAAAGTGTTTATTCTTTATTTGGAAATTTAACCAACACTATAAAGTAGAAATACCATTAAAACATCAATTTCAGTAAATAACTTTAAACCATCAAGCCAGCAACTGAACAGAATAGAATCCAAATAGCCCTAGGGAAACATCTGAGGTTTTAGGAGACATTTGAAGCACATGGAACTTCCCATATCTCTCTTTGCGGAGCATTCCAGAGGGCCGGTGCTATAAACAGAAAGGGCTTTCTTTCCAATAGGTATGCAGGTGACACTCTCCTTTCATGATTGTAAAGGGTGATTTGTCCCATAGCAGGAGAGGTGATCTGTTAGATGTGCTTGTACCTAGTTGTTTACAAATGTCAGTGAGAAAGCTCAGTAGCAAATAGGCAGCTAGTGCAGGTCACTAAGCACCAATGCAGCTCAGGACATTCAGAGTTTGTCCTTCTGACTTAGATGTTACAGTGGAACAAAGTTGCCTGCTGTTCATAGATTTCTAATACTTCGCTCCAGATCTCGGAATGGCCACTCCTAGTGGCAGCTTTGTACCCTGAAGTTCCACTGCAAGCAGGTGGAGGCCTAGTCTTTCCATACTTTTCTCTGCAAGAGAAGCTGGAGAATTGCAGTCTTGGTTTTTTACAACGCGAGCAGCATGCCATGGAATCATAGAAATGTGTCTTCTGCCTCATTATCCTTGTTTCAAGCATTTGGTCCCTGCAGAATTGGGGAGGGAAAGGGGCTTTGCACAGAGGTGTTTAAACGTTAATCTTTTGTCCCCTTTGTTTTAAGCGCTTTATGGAAATACTGACCTTGCCAATCTGTACCTTGGCAAAAGAAGCCCAAAGACTCATTATTATTCCATGAAGTTCAATGCTGAATTTCTCTATACGAGAGCACAGCACCTGGCTGATTCTGTGAGGTGAGGAGATTGATAAAAAGGGTAATAAAACGGTAAAACTCACAGACGTTACAAATAAACAAACCTGTGTTGGTTAGACGCAGCTTTGACAACACATGTAACTGTATGAGTAGCACACTTGGTTTAGTTGTTTTGTTGCAGAGTCTGAATTTTAATTCTGTAGTTATGATGCTCATTTTTTCTTAAACTAAAACAAATATTCTATTTCAGGGAAGGAGAGACTCAGACATATGGATTAAGTGACAGTTCTACAAAAAAATTCTATGAGGCTCTGTACAGGTACAGAAAAATTATGTTTTTCTAGATCTTGTTTCTTTTTAAAGAATGGGCAAAGCTTTCCTTTTGCAATTTGTGTGAAACCTATTGCTAACTTGTATTCACCTTTCCAGCATTTTTCTATCCAGTGTTGCTTTCTTCCCTCTCTGATAGTTATCTTCAGTGATATTGGGAGATCCCTTACTATATGTCAGACTTGGGTTCCTGTTTTTTTTGCCCATTTAAGCATGATGTCTAAAATTAGATTCCTTGCAGGTCTTACATTACACAAACTACATAGGAGGCAACTCCTGGGGGCTGTGTGAGTTTCAGCCCCCACAATAAAATACTTGAGGGGGCAGGTCGTCCCCCCAAAGCTGATGGACATTCCCATTCAAACGATGTGTATGAACTGCATCACGTGATCAGTTATCATGCCATCACACTATATTTTATTCAAGTTGGCACCCTAACAGACTAGTTGTGAAGACCCTGCCTTGTTTACCTCTTGAACTTTCCACTGTTGACACAGAACTGCTTCCAGTCATAGCAAATAGCCTTTCCTGAGCCTTATCACTGCTTCAGTGCAGTTTTCCACAATCCAGAGGTCAATGTGTGCTCAGACATGTCAACAGACATCCCCACTTGCTCATTATGGGAGAATCCTGTACAGGCAGTAGAGGCCCTGCGCTATTTAACAGTTTCTGGAGTTGGAATATTGTGATAGTTGGGGAAATAGTTGAGAAAGAAGGTTTGAAACATGTGGATAGGGGCTACTGATCAAATTCAACTGCCAAGAGGCAGCTTTTGCCATGGTCTAAATTATCCTTGGGCAGAAACTGGTCAGTAAAAAAACTGAGTTAAGGAAAAATGCGTAAAGAGAATTCAAAGATATTTATTGCAATTGAAAACATAGCATAAATAGTAGCAAAATATGGGATTGATATATAATTAATATAATATAATATAATATAATATAATATAATATAAATGTGTAGCAAAATAAAATAAAATGATATATAATATAATATAATATAATATAATATAATATAATATAATATAATAATATCACTTGAAAAATGAGGAGAAGTCAGTCCACTTCAACCCTTCTTTTTGTATGAGGTCCTGAATCAATGCTTAATTATTCCTCAGGATGCCTAGTAATATAGGCTTCTGCCCATCAATTAATACACCCAGACCCCTCCATGTGAAGCATTATTAAATTAAGTGCCTCCACTGAGCATGCAGAGGAGCAGGTTTGAAGAGGGGTGCTTTCTCCTCCCCCCCCTCCCCCCCCTCCTCCTCCTCCTCGTCTAAGTGGTCATATATTAGGAACCACAGCCTGTAGAATTGTTCCATTTTTAATAACAAATTAGGCCACCAATGGAAACAAAGATATGCAATGTTTATCCAGATGGAATTCAAATGCAAGAGTTTGGGCATACTAAACAGTCCTTAGTCGAGTTCTTAACAATGTCATGCCACACACAGAGTTGGAGGAAGCCTTAGTTGTCCAATTCACTGGGGAAGATGCGATCACAAGGGAAATGCAGTCCGAAAAATGAAGAAGGGAATTTATCAAAGGTAATTTTAAAAACTGGGGGTTTGACATACTGGTGAGAGGGACAGTTACAGTAAATGATGTATTATTATTATTATTATTATTATTATTATTATTAATAATAATAATAATAAATATTTAAATTTGTGTATGGATTATGGATAGATCCCATCATGATCTGTCCACTGGTATCAATGGGAAAAAGGAGGATGAGGCCGAAGAAAGGAAAGGAAATCCACACACAACTAAAAAGCAACAGCATTATGTGGAATATGGCTCCTGTTTAGAACCATCCTCTGTTCAAAGGTATCCCTTCTGTTAACTGACAATGCTATTTTGAATTACTAGATCAGAGAGCAGCTTGCGAGAATTCATGGAGTTTATGCGTGAGATGTGGAGTCCGTGTGGTCGAGTTGTGTTGAATGCATTTGATCTCTCTCATTTCCCACTTATTTGTGATGTGGGAGGTATGTACCATAAATTCTCACATGTCTTCCTATGCTGGTACTCTGAAATGATAAGGCTGCTGTTGTAGAACATCCCATTTTGTCCTGAGCTGTAGCCACTGTATATTTTGGTGGCGTAGGGTAGGGAGAAGGGCAGTAGATGACTTGAGTTCGTGAATTGTGAATTTTATTATTTCAGTCACAGACCGGTTCCAGCTCACATACAACATCAAGGAAGTCATAAACATGATAGGGATACATTTGAATTTGCAATCAGGTATAACAGAGACAATACAAATATAGCAACAGTTAAAAAATATATAAATTAAAACTTAGTCACTAAAATATAACCTAAAATTATCATTGAAGGCCTTAATCATTATGATAGCACAGCTTGTTCCCTAAGTTTTATAGCAATCACACAGACCCTTAACGTGATCTCAGGATCCTTGTCCTCTACCAGGGATTTTAGACATTGAAGTTTGGATTCATTTGGAGATTTTTGCATAGCAGGGGTAATAAATACCGAGCTTGAGTTCAAATTACCAAAGTCTCAATTAGGTCCACTGAAAAGACGTGTGTTGGCCTTAGTTCTGGCCACTCCTGCCTGGCACACTCTCATATTCCTCTGGTCTGTATTCTCATTGCTCCTGTTAAACAGGATAGAATTGCAGCACAAGGTTTTGCTTGGTATTGTGCAAGTACAATATTGTTCTTTCACCCCCTGATAACCCATGACCCAAGCTCTGAACTATCAGATCTCAGAACTGCAGAAGCGCAGTGGCGTAGCATGGGTTGTCAGCACCCGGGGCAAGGCAAGTAATTTGCGCCCCCTAACCCGTGGGGGCAGAGAGCTGCGAGTGCGAGCGCCCCCCCCCAGATGTTGCGCCCGGTGCGGCCGGCCCCCCCTGCACCCCCACGCTACGCCACTGCAGAAGCGGCACATACTTACCACTGAATGAAATGACTGAACAACCACCTATCTGGTGTGCTATCTTAGAGATATGCGCAGAATATTTTGGAAAAAGCTTTGATATGCACAACATGTTCATTTTCCCCCCTTTGGTTCTCCCCTTAAGGATGTAGTGGAGCCCTAGCAAAGGAATATATTTCATTGTATCCAAATTCTACAGTGACCATTTTAGACCTACCGGAAGTAGTAGAAACAGGAAAGAAGCATTTTGTCTCCTCAGAGGAACACAGAATTACTTTTCACAAAGGTAAAATGATGTTTTATCCTACATATATTAGATCATTTTCTTCCACTAACAAACAAGACAGCCATGCACTATGCAGGGGTCGAGAATAAGTGACCCTTCAATTATGGCTGGACTACAATTTCCATCATCCCCGACCATGCTGTCTGGGGTTGATGGGAGCACATACGTAGTTGAACTATAACATTCACTCCCACAGGAGGCAGTGAAGGCCACCAAATTGGGTGGTTTCTTTTTTAAAAAAATATTTTTTATTAAGTTTTCCATTTAACAATCCAATCATATCACATTAATTAATCCGAATTATATCAATACATATCATAAAATCCAAATATTTTGCCGAATTTTTTTACTTTTTTGTTGGGGGTACCCATGCTTCGAGCTCAGTAAGGGTCCAATCATCTCATATTTCTGCTGCTTTGATGTTCACAAGTCCCATCTTCCAATCCTCTTGTTGTTATCGTTTTTCTTCTTAATAACCTCTGAGTTGTTTCCACAAGCGAGTTGAAGCAAATATTATTATCTTCCTGTGTGGATTTTCATGCTGATCCAAAAGTCCTATTCGGGCGGCAGGCGCCATTTTGACAGTTCTGATGAAATAAAGTCTAAGCGTCTGCTCATTAATTTTCCCAGACCAGTTGCTCCATTAATCAGCCTTTCAGGGGAGTTCTTGCCACATCAGACATAGAATTCAAACGTGATAACAGAACAGGAAGCAGTGAAGGCCACCAAATTGGGTGGTTTCTAAAGGGAATTAGCCAAATTCATGGAGATAAGTCCATCAACGGTTACTAGCTGTCATGGTGTATGCTCTGCCTCCATGATCAGGGACAGTATCCTGAATAGTAGCTACTTGAAACCACAGGAGGAGGAAAGGAGAGAGTGTGTGTAATCTGGTTCTGGTTGGGGGTTTCGCCATGGCTGCTGGGCTAGATGGGTCATAGGCCTGATCCAGCAAAGCTCTTCTTATGCTAAGTTTTCCTTCTTCACAGTAGAAGCACCAGGAGACAGCAGTGCTCATCGTATAGCTACAAATTGGAGAAAGATAAAATCATGTATTCTCTCTGTAAGAATAATCATTATTTCACCAGATTGCTACTTGTTTTATTTCAGGTGATTTTTTAAAAGATCCAATTCCAGAAGCTGACCTGTATATTTTGGCTAGGATCCTGCACTGCTTTACAGATGAGAATTGTGTGCAACTGCTAACCAGACTGAACAAAGCCTGCAAGCCTGGTAGGTGCATGGTGTCAAATGTGTTTCCTGTGGGAACTGATTCTCATTCCAAGCCTCATGGATTTCCCCATGGCCCCTTCCCCTTATGTCTGTGTCCCACTCTGGCTCAGCTGTGTTCCTTTATTTCTTGAGCTTCTGATCCCAGGACACCTGGGAAAAGTAACATGCTGCTTTGTAATATGTAATGATACATCTTCTATGTCCTTTTCTCAAACAGGTGGTGGAGTTCTAGTAGTGGAAATAGTTCTCAACGAAGACAGATCGGGGCCAGTGGAAGCTCAAATATTCGGTTTGGTTATGCTGCTTTGTACTCAAGGAAAAGAACGGACCCCATCAGAGTACAATGCGCTCCTCAGTGCTGCTGGCTTTAAGCAGATTCAGCAAAAGAAAACAGGCCTCTTTGACGTCATTTTAGGAAGAAAATAACATTGACCAAGAACATTCTGTGAGCGTCATGACTGAACGGATATATTTCAGCCTGATTCTTTGCAGCCATAACTGAACATGCTTAATCACTATTTTTGTGTGTGCAAATCCTCACCCTGTGGAAATATCTCCTCCATCCCCCTGCTTCTCATTATGCTTGAATACTAAGAGAAGCTAGAATAATAATACTAATTGTTACATGTTAACCACCATTGTAATAGTAGTAGTTATTAACTTCATTTGCCTGCTTGCCCCCCCCCCCTTTTTGAGCACATGAGCCAAACCAGGAAAAAGAAAGAGGTTGTATCCCATATTGCCTCAGGATTTTTGTGGTAAACAGAACCTGTTGGAAACAATTTCAAAATAAATATAGATAATATACAAGCTATGATCACCTAGCCTGTGTGGCTTGAGAGATGCCAAGCCTACTGAGAGAAGCCTTTCTCAAACTTTCCACACAGGTCACTCCTGACTAACTCTTTATCTTGAGTCCTCAGATGTTGTTGAACTATAACGGCCATCATCGCTGACCACTGGTCATGCTAGCTAGGGATGAGGGGAGTTGTAGCCCAACCGCATCTGGGAATTCAAGCTGTCCTGAGAGAGTAGCTCCATTTAGTTCCCCCTCTTGCTGAACTCTCCATTCCATCATTATAAGAACTTCAGAATTTTAAAAACTGGGACCAGGGTTGGTTTGTTTTCCTCTTCCCTCCCTACAAATTTTCCTTTTGCTTCATGAATTTTTGACTGTAAACCTGCAGGCCCTCTTATGCAACCAGCTCTGGGAACCTCTTTGGCCAAAGAGGAGGGTGAAACAGCTTTAAACATATAAATGTCAGGGAAAGGCAGGAACCCCCAGACCTTCGTGGCCCAGGACCCAGTGTACGCAAAGAATTTTGGGGCAGGCCTGGCATGGGTACCCCCCACAGTCGCCAGGGTGACTGGTCCCGTGTTTTACAAGGTTCTAACGGGGGGGGAGGCAACGCTGGCGCCACCACTGCAACCAGCTACACCAACGATTCCCAGGAGAAAACCTGGAGGAGGGTGGGACAGAGGGGTCCCAAGGGGACAGCTGGGTGGTGAGGCCCGTAGAGCAGGAAGGGTGGGCAGGGGAGGCAGAATCAGTAAGTACAGAGGGGACCCCTGAGGCCGAAAGGACACGGGAACCAGAGCCATGACTGAATGGGCCGGTAGCGCCAGACAAAACAGCCCTGTCACAGCCAGCAGCCTCAGAACACAAGCCAGAACCAGAACCCCTGACCAAGGAACACCCCAGGCTGCAATGGGTGGCCGGCGTACCTTGAAGACTATGAATGAATGCTAACCTTCCAGGCAGGACTGCAACTTAGAGGGGAGGGATGTTATGTACAGTACTGAGCTGAATCCTAGAACAATAGGATCCAGAATGCAGCAGTCTGATTGGTCCGCAGGAGCCACCCAATCCAGCTCCGGGTGTAACTGAATTAGCGACCTGGGGTCGCTTCATCCAGACTCCTGGATGAAGTGAAACAGCAACCTGATTGGCCTGCTGGAGCCAATAAATAATGTATATATAGCTAGAGGTTTTGGGGAAAGTTTCATTCATTGCTACTATGAGTTGAATAAAGAGCATGAAAATCACACTTGACTAATATATTTCACTAACCCAGAGCTTTCTGAACTTTTCATGAGGGTTACACGCTTTTTAGACATGCATCATTTCACAACACTATAATTAAGCTTTACTAGCAAACCAGAGGTTAAACTAACCCCTTTCTAGCCCCAGGAGGGGCGCCGGGAGCATTTGTGCGATACGCCTACACATTGCAGCCAACACACTAATGTGTTGCGACACACACTTTGGAAAGCTCTGCAATAGCCACTGCATGATGCTTAGTGGGGCACCCAGCTCTACACACGGCGGTTGCTACAGAGCCAAGTTCAAGAGTTTCCTTTTTTGTGTGTATGGACATTTAAAACCCTAAACAACTTGGATTCAGGATACCAGCAGATCACCTCCTACAGTAAAGGCAAAGCCAATCTTTAAGATCTTCCAAGACGGCTCTGCATGCTCCCAGTAGATAGTCACTTAGTGAAAACACGGAAGCAGAACTTTTCAGTGATGGTGCCCACCCTGGCAATGTCCTGCAGAAGTAATGTGTGGTGTGGAGAAAGTAATGACATCTAAATGCCTTTTTGAAATATTGGTTCATTCAAGCTTTGGAGGGATTCTTGCTCTTAAATTTCTGATTTTGTCCATTTCGTACACTGATCAGTTTTATTTGTAATACACACTTGTATTCTGTTTTTATCTAGTTTTAGAAAATCTGTATTGAACACTATGGTGTTTTTATGTAAACCACTTAGAGATTTTTATATGATTTAAAAAAAAACAAAAAACAGTTGCCTCTAACACATTTGTTTGCAAGAGAGCACCAAAGTAATCTGAAAAGTTGGATTATACATCAGATACACATCATGAAGTATTTATTACCTGTAGTATGAAGTATTTATTACCTTGCAAGGGCGAGATAAATTACCATGAACCAGGCACATAATGAGCACTGGTGATGACAGAGATTGTTGTTATTGCACAACACAAATACTATACTTTGAAAAAGCATCTTGACCCACAGTCCATCCAGGTGGGTGCCTCCTAACATCAAGGAAATGGAAGAGACTATAAAGCCAGCTGACAGAAGGGGGGGGGGAGGCGCTAGCATTCCTCTTCCCACTGACAAACCTATAAAAAGGGGAGTGAAACTGCAAAGCAAACCTGTTTTTGCTGCTTCTCCACAGGGAAGCGGTCCTTTATTCTTCACCCCTGCCTCAAACCTTTCTGTTTCTGGTCTCTCTGATTCTTAATAACTCTATCATGTCGTTTCCCTTCTCCGGGAAACTCCTGATTGTACATTTCCTTTCTCGAGGAATCACCTTTTTTCTTTCACATGATTTCTCTATATCAGTATAACAAATAATTCATTTTTAGAAGTAAATTCTTTGGTGAGTCTCTTGGGATTTTTTGCCATTCGTATTTGTTGACTTGGGCACAGAAACGGTCCCTACTATTTGACTTTCATGTCTTGCTTCTTTGTTAAGCTGCTACCATTTCCTAAAGCGTTTCTGTATTTTAAGAATTTCCAAATGGCCTCATTTCAGCAAGAGTGTTTTCCCCAAACCCCCTCTCTCTCTTCTGATGAACTTTCTCCAATAACTTGTTAATTTTGCATTTCCAGACACCAGCTGATTTTCTCTCACTTGTCAGGTTCTGATATCACATTTTCCTCACATAGGCAAAATCAATAATTTCCAGGTACTTCCTTCCTCTTGCACTTGTGAGAAAAAAATCCTTTTTCTACCTATGCCTTTACTTAGCAGATGGGGACTTCCCCATAAACATCTCTGGCCTCAGTCATTTACAAAGTCCATTAAGTTTGATTTTTACCTAGACATTTATCATTTCAGTGTCATTTTCAGTAAATTCTGAATAAAAGGACCACAACTTCTCATCAGAGGAAAACTGTGAGGTCTCGGACAGAACAGTAAAGAACAATGAGTGCTACAGAAGAAGCTGAAGCTTTGAAAATGTTATTTCGGAATCAGAATGCATTTCTAATACCAAAGGTAAAAGTATTGTCTGCAAAATTTAATACTTGTAAATGGATACAGCAGGTGGGATACAGCAATAATTTAAAATTAACTTGCTTAAAATACCTGTATCCTACTTTTATTTCTACAATTCAAATGGACTTGTACTGTATTATAATCTTTTTGTGTTTCAAAAGCATCTTGTTCCTTTTAGAACATATGTAACTGTATAGACCATTTTTAACTATTTCCTTGTGTGCTCCCTCACCCTTTTCACATCCAGATTATGTTTACTGCCTCTGATCTTGGTGTGTTTGACCCGCTGATGGAGTCCAAAGAACCGTTGACTTCAGTGTCTATTGCCGAACGTCTGGGTACCAGTCCCTTTGGGATGGAGAGGCTGCTGGACGCCTGTGTTGGCTACAAGTTCCTGCAAGTGGAAAGGAAGGACAACCAAAGTATTTATTCTTTATTTGGAAATTTAACCAACGCTATAAAGTCAAAATACCATTTAATTCCCCCCCTCCCAGTAAATAACTTTAAACCATCAAGCCAGCAACTGAACAGAATAGCATCCAAATAAGCCTAGGGAAACATCTGAGGTTTTAGGAGACATTTGAAGCACATGGAACTTCCCATATCTCTCTTTGGGGAGCATTCCAGAGGGCCGGTGCTATAAACAGAAAGGGCTTTCTTTCCAATAAGTATGCAGGTGACAGTCTCCTTTCATGATTGTAAAGGGTGAGATGGAGAGACGGTCTGTTAGATGTGCTGGTACCTAGTTGTTTACAAATGTCAGTGAGAAAGCTCAGTAGCAAATAGGCAGCTAGCGCAGGTCACTAAGCACCAGTGTATCTCAGGACATTCAGAGTCTGTCCTCCTGACTTAGATGTTACAATGGAACAAAGTTGCCTGCTGTTCATAGATTCCTAATACAGTGGACCCTCTAGTTACATACCGCTCTGGATATGTAACTTTCGGGTTACGAACGCTGCAAACCCGGAAGTGTATACTTCTGGGTTTTGCCTGCATCCATGTGCAGAAGCGCTCAATCGTGCTGTGCATGTGTGTAGAAGTGGCGCCTCTGCCTACGGACTTTTCGGGTTGCGGATGGACCCCCGGAACGAATTTAATTCCTATCCGGAGGGTCCACCGTACAGTACCGTACTTTGCTCCACATCTCAAAATGGCGGCTCCTAGTGGCTGCTTATAGCATTTTCAACCATGTGGCAGCTTTGCACCCTGAAGTTCAACTGCCAACAGGTGGAGGCCTAGTCTTTCCATACCTTTCTCTGGAAGAGAAGCTGGAGCATTGCAGCCTCATCGATTCACATTTCACAATGTGAGCAGCATGCTGTGGAATCATAGAAATGTGTCTTTTGCCTCATTATCCTTGTTTCAAGCATTTTGTCCCAGCAGAATCGGAGAAGTAAAGGGGCTTTGCACAGAGGTGTGAAAACGTTAATCTTTTGTCCCCTTCATTTTAAGCGCTTTATGGAAATACCAACATTGCCAATCTCTACCTTGGCAAAAGAAGCCCAAAGACTCAGTATTATTCCTTGAAGTTGAATGCTGAATTTGTCTATATGAGAGCACAGCACCTGGCTGATTCTGTGAGGTGAGGAGAAGGATAGCACTGAAGTGGGGAACTTAATGTCACAGTGTTGTAGGGTTGCCACCTGTACAGGATTTTCCCGTATTTCAATGTATAATGTAAAATGCTACGTCCTGCATTGAAAATGTTTTGTCATGGGTAGCCAAGCACAGAAAGATTTACAAATGAAACTGTAAGTTTGTGTGTGTGTGACAAATTTGAGAGGGAATATCCTGTTAGACTGCAATAGATGGTACTGGATTGCTTTGAAGTCACTTCAGCACCAGATGAATAAAAATAATCGCTCCCAACTGTCCTCTTGCTGTGCTCAGTTTGTAAGTAGGAGCTGCATGACATAACTACTGTGGCTGAGCCATTTGAAAATTAGCACATATTCACAATATAACCCTTATAGCAAGTACTGTCTAACGACACCCATTTATTTTTCAAAATGTTTATTTATTGCTAAAACACTTCTTAGGTTTTAGATATACACTTTTATAATGAAAGAGAAAGAGAGTGCTACAACACCATTAGGTTTTGATGTGATTTTCAACAAAATAATTAAAAACAAGACCACTACCATAACAGCTGCTGCAATAGGCCATGTTGCTAAAATGGCTGTGAATTTAAAGTTGGATATTTGGTAGTACGGCATTATGCTTTGTGTATTGTATTATGATATTTTAGCACTACGGTTATACTTTGGTTCTTGAACACCTTGGTACTCGTACGTTTTGGCTCCCGAATGCCGGAAACCCGGAAGTGATTGTTCCGGTTTTTGAATGTTCTTTGGTACACAAATATCCAATGCGGCTTCCTGCAGCCAATCAGAAGCCACTCCTTGGTTTCTGAACGTTTTCAGAAGTCAAACAGCCTCTCGGAACAAATTATGTTTGAGAACCAAGGTACGAATGTACAGCAAAATACAAAACACTAGCAGCATAAAAGAATTTATCTTATAATTCTGTACTATGCCTCACTCTTGTTTACAAACGTTTTTACTGATAAGTCAAAGATTGATAAGAAGGGTAATAAAATGATAAAACTCACATACGTTACAAATAAACAAACCTGTGATTGTTAGATGCAGCTTTGACAACACATGTAATTTTATGAGTAGTAAACTTGATTTAGTAGTTTTGTTGAAGAGTTTTAAATTTAATTCTGTAGTCATGATGCTTATTATTTCTTAAACTGAAACAAATATTCTATTACAGGGAAGGAGAGGCTCAGACATATAGATTAAGTGACAGTTCTACAAAAAAATTCTACGAGGCTATGTACAGGTACAGAAAATTTGTATTTTTCTAGATCTTGCCTTGTTTGACTCCAGTATTTTCAAATGTTGAAGCAGAATTGCTTCCAGTCATAGCAAATAGCCTTTTCTGAATCAGGTGAAAGGAACAGCTAAAATAAATGATGTATTATTCATACTAATAGTACTTGCTACTAGTAGTACTACGAGTACTACTACTACTAGTAGTAGTAGTAGTATTTAAATTTGAGTATGGATTATGGCTACAACCCATCATGATCGGTACAATGGGAAACAGAAGGATGAGGCCGAAGAAAGGAAAGGAAATCCACACACAACTAAAATGCAACAGCATTATGTGGAATATGGCTCCTGTCTAGAACCATCCTCTGTTCAAAGATATGCCCTCTGTTAACTGATAATGCAATTCTGAATTACTAGATCAGAGAGCAGCTTGCGAGAATTCATGGAGTATATGCATGAGATGTGGAGCCTCTGTGGTCGAGATGTGTTGAATGCATTTGATCTCTCTAATTTCCCACTAGTTTGTGATTTGGGAGGTAAGTACCATAAATTCTCACATGTCTTCCTATGCTGGCAGTCCGAAATCATAAGGCTGCTGTTGTAGAACAGGAAACATCCCTCAATGACCCAAGCTCTGAACTATCAGATCCTCAGAACTGCAAAAGTGTTAAATTGAATGAAATGACTGAACAGCCACCTATCTGGTGTACTATCTTAGAGTTTTGCACATGAAGTTTTGGGGAAAGCTTTGATATGCACAACGTGTTCATTTTTTCCTTTGGTTCTCCCTTAAGGATGTAGTGGAGCCCTAGCAAAGGAATATATTTCATTGTATCCAAATTCTACAGTGACCATTTTAGACCTACCGGAAGTAGTGGAAACAGGAAAGAAGCATTTTGTCTCCTCAGAGGAACACAGAATTACTTTTCACAAAGGTAAAATGTTGTTTTATTCTACAAAGATTACATCGTTTTTCTGCTAACAAACAAGACAGCCATGCACTAAGCAGGGGTCGAGAATCAGTGACCCTTTAGTTATGGTTGAACTACAACTCCCATCATTCCTGACCATGCTGACTGGGGCTGATGGGAACACATACATACTTGAACTATAGAACTCACTCCCACAGGAGTCAGTGAAGTTTGGATGGTTTCTAAAGGGAATTAGGCTAATTCCTGGAGATAAGTCTATCAATGGCTACTAGCCATGATGGTTATGATCTGCCTCCAGTCTCTGTAAGAATAATAATTATTTCACCATGGAATTCTACTCAATATTGATCCAGCATATAGTTCTCAGAGTAAAAACTTTGCAGGATTTCAAAAAATAGACCAGAGGCGATTGTATTTCATCCAACAGAGCTTTACTGCTACTGAAGGCAAATAAGCATAAAGATGACAAATCCAATACATTCAGGATTGGCCCTGTCCATAAGAAATCCAGTTGCAGCAGACTTAAATTTACAATAACTTAAATTTACAATAACTTATAATTAGTCTAAACCTTAATATTATAGCATACTATATACAGAACACCGCACCAGAAGGAAAAGAGATAGAAAGTAAAGTGAAACTCAGGCTCCTTCTAACCATACTTTTATACTCAGCGTGACCTTGACAGAAAGATATGAGAACCAGTATAAACCAGCTGGACTCATCTTCTCGGAAGGAATAACCCAAACATCATGAATCTTCTGACTGTTTCTTTCACACAGAGAAGCTTCCAGAGCCCTCTTGAATTAGTTAGAATAGGAAAGAACTCTACACATCAGATCAATACTTTCTACACTAAGAAATACAAAATTAAAACTCTCCTTGTTTTATTTCAGGTGATTTTTTTAAAGATCCAATTCCGGAAGCTGACCTGTATATTTTGGCTAGGATCCTGCACAGCTTTACAGATGAGAATTGTGTGCAACTGCTAACCAGACTGAACAAAGCCTGCAAGCCTGGTAGGTGCATGGTGTCAAATGTGTTTCCTGTGGGAACTGATTCTCATTCCAAGCCTCATGGATTTCCCCATGGCCCCTTCCCCTTATGTCTGTGTCCCACTCTGGCTCAGCTGCGTTCCTTTATTTCTTGAGCTTCTGATCCCAGGACACCTGGGAAAAGTAACATGCTGCTTTGTAATATGTAATGATACATCTTCTATGTCCTTTTCTCAAACAGGTGGTGGAGTTCTAGTAGTGGAAATAGTTCTCAACGAAGACAGAACGGGGCCAGTGGAAGCTCATATATATGGTTTGGTTATGCTGCTTTGTACTCAAGGAAAAGAACGGACCCTGTCAGAGTACAATGGGCTTCTCAGTGCCGCCGGCTTTAAGGAGATTCAGCAAAAGAAAACAGGCCTCTTTGACGCCATTTTAGGAAGAAAATAACATTGACCAAGAACATTCTGTGAGCGTCGTGACTGAATGGATATATTTCAGCCTGATTCTTTGCAGCCATAACTGAACATGCTTAATCGCTATACTTTTTTCGCAAATCCTCACCTTGTGAAAATATCTCCTCCATCCCCCTGCTTCTCATTATGGTTGAATACTAAGAGAAGTAATAATAATAATAATAATAATAATAATAATAATAATAATAATAATAGTTACATGTTAAGCACCGTTGTAATAGTAGTAATCGTTACCTTTATTTGCCTGCTTGCCTTTTATTGGAGTGGGGGGGGGAGCACATGAGCCAAACCAGGAAAAAGAAAGAGGTTGTATCCCATATTGCATCAGGATTTTTGTGGTAATCAGAACTTGTTGGAAACAATGAGAGCTACTAATCCATATTTCAAGATAAATATAGATAATATGCAAGCTATGATCAGCTAGCCTGCGTGGCTTGAGAGATGCCAACCCTGTTAAGAGGAGCATTTCTCAAACTTTCCACACAGGTCACTCCTGACTAACTCTTTATCTTGAGTCCTCAGATGTTGTTGAACTATAACACCCATCATCATAATAATAATATAATAATAATTTATTATTTATTCCCCAGCCACTCTGGGTGGCTTCCAATCGAGTGTTAAAAACAATGCAGCATTAAATATTAAAATCTTCCCTAAACAGGGCTGCCTTCAGATGTCTTTTAAAGATAGGGTAGCTGCTTATTTCCTTCACATCTGAAGGGAGGGTATTCCACAGGGTGGGCGCCACTCCCGAAAAGGCCCTCTGTCTGGTTCTCTGTAACCTCACTTCTCACAATGAGAGAACTGCCAGAAGGCCCTCGGCGCTGGATCTCAGTGTCCGGGCTGAACGATGGGGTTGGAGACGCTCCTTCAGGTATACAGGACCGAGGCCATTTAGAGCTTTAAAGGTCAGCACCAACATTTGAATTGTGCTCGGAAACGTACTGGGAGCCACTACAGATCTCTCAGGACTGGTTTTATATATTTCCGGAGGCCTATCCCAGTCACCAGTCTAGCTGCCACATTCTGGATTTATTGCAGTTTCCGGGTCACCTTCAAAGGTAGCCCCACATAGAGCACGTTGCAGTAGTCCAAGCGGGAGATAACCAGAGCATGCACCACTCTGGCGAGACAGTCTGCGGGCAGGTAGGGTCTTAGCCTGCGTACCAGGTAGACTGGTAGGCAGCCGCCCTGGACACAGAATTAACCTGCGCCTCCATGGACAGCTGTGAGTCCAAAATGACTCCCAGGCTGCACACCTGGTCCTTCAGGGGCACAGTTACCCCATTCAGGACCAGGGAATCCCCCACACCCGCCCGCCCCCTGTCCCCCCAAAACAGTACTTCTGTCTTGTCAGGATTCAACCTCAATCTGTTAGCCGCCATCCATCCTTCAACCGCCTCCAGGCACTCACACAGGGCCTTCACTGGTTCTGATTTAAAAGAGAGGTAGAGCTGGGTGTCATCTGCATACTGATGAACACCCAGCCAAAACCCCTTGATGATCTCACCCAGCGGCTTCATCTAGATATTAAAAAGCATGGGGGAGAGGACAGAACCCTGAGGCACCCCACAAGTGAGAGCCCAGGGGTCTGAACACTCATCCCCCAACACCACTTTCTGGTCACGGCCCAGGAGAAAGGAGTGGAACCACCGTATAACAGTTCCCCCAGCTCCCAGCCCCTCTAGATGATCCAGAAGGTTGTTATGGTCGATGGTGTCAAAGGCTGCTGAGAGATCCAGCAGAACTAAGAAACAGCTCTCAACTTTGTCCCTAGCCCGCCGGAGATCATCAACCAGCATGACCAAGGCAGTTTCAGTCTCATGGTGAGGCCTGAATCCCGATTGGAAGGGATCCAAATGGTCCGCATCCTCCAGGCGTGCTTGGAGTTGTTCAGCAACCACCCGCTCAATCACCTTGCCCAAGAATGGTAGATTCATCGCTGACTACAACTCATGCTGGCTAGGGATGATGGGAGTATAGTCCAACCACACCTGGGAATTCAAGCTGTCCTGAGAGAGTAGCTCCATTTAGTTCCCCCTCTTGCTGAACTCTCCATTCCATCGTTATAAGAACTTCAGAATTTTAAAAACGGGGGCCAGGGTTGGTTGGTTTTCCTCTTCCCTCCCTGCAAATTTTTGCATCATGAATTTTTGACTGTAAACCTGCAGGCCCTCTTATGCAACCTGCTCTGAGAACCTCTTTGACCAAAGAGGAGGGTGAAACAGCTTTAAACATATAAATAACTGTCAGGGTATTGCCAGCGGAATGGGGGAGGGAGGCAGGGGGATACAGAGAGCCTCCAGCACTTCTGAGAAGCAGCTCCTTGTCTGGCAGTGGAGAAAGCCACAGCTCCAGTGAAGCAGAGGGGGAAGGGGGTAGCCGGGGGAAGGGAAGGCTCAAAGATGCTATGGAGAGCCCAAGCGCCTCACCTAGCCCAGCCGGCCAGGAGGCACACATGCCGCTTCCGTCGCCCTGCTTGCGCAGAGGGGTGAAATGTAAGGAGGGGAGGCGGAGATTTGGGGTGTCTAAGTTCTTATGCTGGGGGAGAAACCAGAAGGGGGCACTCCCAGAATCTGCAAGTGACTAAGACGGACATGAATTTTGGGGTTCTGCACTGTAAATAGTTTGCACCAATAAAAATCTGCAAAGACGGGTCGGAGTCCTGCCTGGTTACTCGTGAGCAACTACTTCCACACCTGTCAATAACCTTTAACTGCAATGGTTAGATTTCCCCCCACAAAACCCTCAGGTCTGAATGTCTACAACTTGGGTAACTCTTGCCTTCATTAGTTCCTAATTATGGCATCAGAACTGGCTGCAGCTTTGGACAACACATTAAGCCAAGCTCAGCACAGTGCAGGAGTAAAATAGACTGGGGGGGGGGGGTACAAACAGCTACAAGCCTGCCTGCTTGTGTAGTGCCAGTAAGCTACACTTTGGCTTACCATGACATGCAAGCCAGGCAACGGGGGGGGGGGGGAGATTTGGAGGACCTTAGAAATCCAGAGTGTGTGTGAAATACCAACAGACAACTTTGAATTATTCTGCAAATCAGCCAAATCCTGAAAGGAAGTTGAACTCTCTTCTTCTGCAACGAAGAAAATTCTGCAAGTCAACCTTCTCTCTTCTTCTGCCAAGAGAGTCACACTTGATAACCTCGCTGGCCTTTGCAGCAACATGAGACAAATGGGATAAGCTCTCATATGCCATCTATCCATCACGGTCTGGGGACACCCACTGCCCAGAACGGAACTGGAGCACAAACCTGCCAACAGACCAAGTCCCCATTTAACCCAAAGCCCCAGGAACCAGGCGTTCCAGTTTTTATATTACTATTACTTCCAGGAACTCCATCATGTACTCTCCCAGGGGGTTCAGGTTTGAAATTTCAGAACCTTTGAAGCTGGCTGTCCTGCCCTGTTTAGTGCCTGGGATTTGAAATTAAATTTCCTTAAAATGTTCCCTCTTTCCACATCCAAGGGTCGCTCTGGGTCGCACTTGCTTCTGTTGCTCTGAAAAGCCCCTTGGCCTCCTTCACAGTGACGTCCCTCTGTTACATAATGTAATGCCTTGGTGAACCCAAGCTGGGCCCGATTTAGCCCTTTCAGTTAGGCATGGTGACCATTCTTACACCTCAGGCTCCCTCCTGGTATCAGTGCCAAGATGGCATCCCTTTTCAGTTAGCTGTAGATTTCCTCGGGTGCTGTCAGAACGGACAAAATCTCTTTGGGCTGCAGAAGAGCAAGGCTGGAGGTTGGGGTGGAATACAAGCATTCAGCCTGTAGCCCAACTGTCCCATAAACTGATTTGAGAGGAGCTCAGAAGACGAAGCCAGAAGGTGACATTCCAGATATGTCGCTGAGAATTTGTAAAGGATTGGTGTGTGAGGGAAAACTAAAAGTAAGAGCTGTTCAACAGTGGAACGGACTCCCTTGGGACGTTCTGGACTCTCCTTCCTTGGAGGTTTTTAAGCAGAGCTTGACTGGCCTCCTGTCATGGATTCCCTCGTTGAGATTCCTGGACTGGACCACCCTTGGGGTCCCTTCAAGTTCTACAGTTCAACAATTCTAAAAGCACACTCCCTGATTCTTGTTACATGTGAGGTGCGCTATTTGTCATACCACCTACAGTAAGTCCCATTTAGTTTCACAGGGCTTGCTCCCTGGTGTGTGTGTGTGTGTGTGTGTGTGTGTGTGTGTGTGTAGGATTCCAGACTGAGCTACAATCTGGAAAACATCTTTAAGGTGCCTTTAGGCAAGCTTCTTTCTCCCAGCCTTCATACATACACACCCCATATCTGTAATATGGAGGTAATAACACAATTTGAAGTTTTTTTGGGGGGTTACTCTAAATGCCACCTGAGATGCTTCACATAGCCCTGTAATTCTTGGTTGTCAAACTGAGGTTTCACTTAACAGAATAGGCGGCATTGCTGGCTGTTGTGGAGAGGTCAATGATTGTTTTTAGAGAGGAATTTCAAAGGGAAGCCCCAGAGTGCAGTGGTGTAGCATGTCTTCATAGCGCCCGGGATGGTTGCCCCAGGGGGCATGGAGGGCAACATGAGGAGGACGCGACAGGCAGGGCATGCCTCCTTCCAATCAGTCCAATTGGAAGAGCATAAGACCGTTGCTTCTGTCTCATTCCCTGCCAGCCCCACGCTGCTTTGTGAGGCTGGGATGTGGGATCGGACTCACAAATCATTGAGGGGCTGATAGGGACCAGGTGAGGAGCAAAGTGCTCCTTCGAAAAAACTGTGCCTGAGGCAATGGCCCCCCTCAGCCTGCCGGAGTGAAACTGCTACATCACAAGTACTGAAGACATTCGCTCCAATTCATTTGGGTCTGAGTAAAGACAATGATTTGCAGGCATAAATTCACTCAGCATTACCAAGTCGGTTTATTTCATGGCCTATCATTGCTATCCTAAAGGGTCCCTGTCCTTATCCGGCCTACAATGTAGCTCAAATTTGAACGGTTCCTATCTGTGTTTCTGGCATTCCATTTCCCTCCGACCCCACTCCATACAACTCCCCTTCCAATGCCCACCCCACACCTCTTTCCACATCCAAGGGTCACTCTGGGTCACACCTGCTCCTGTTGCTCTGAAAGGCCTCCTTGTTGCTGACATCCCTCTGTTATGTAATGCATGCTGGCATTGGCACACCCAAGCTGGGGCCGATTTAGCCCTTTCAGTTAGGCATGGTGACTCTTCTTACACCCCAAGCCCTTTCAGTTATCCAAGGGTCACTCTGGGTTGCACTTACTTCTGTTGCTCTGAAAATTCCCTTGGCCTCCTTCACAGTGACGTCCCTCTGTTACATAATGTAATGCCTTGGTGAACCCAAGCTGGTCCTGATTTAGCCCTTTCAGTTAGGAACGGTGACCGTTCTTACATCTCAAGCTCCCTCCCAGTATCAGTGCCAAGCTGGCCTCCCTTTTCAGTTAACTGCAGATTTCCATGGGAGCTGTCAGAACTGAGAAAATCTTTTTGGAAATTTGGAATAGAGTGAACTTGTCTTTGTTAGGATGAATATCAGTTATTAAGATGAATGTACTGCCAAAAAGCAGGCCTAGACAG